CGGTCGTTACTGTAGCTGTAATGTTGACTCTTTTACCCCTAATCATATAGCAGAGGCAATTCATGACCAGAAGAAAAAGAAAAAATCAAAAGTTTTATCTTATCATCTTTCTCTCGATTTGCTGTTTAACTTTTTTTTTTAATAACCCATCTCTTTCATTTTCTGTCCTCGAGAACCAAATTCGGATAGTTTCTCAACGGAAGATTGTTTGTAACAAAGAGTTGTCGTTAGGGTTCTTATTGGTTTGTAATTGCAAAACTAAATTGATTCCAGCGATGAACTAGGATGCTGAGATTGCTCAACAAACGGATTCGATTCAGGAGCTTAGTAACTCCGTGAGATATTGTTGTTGATTCGAACGGGGATGGCCATGAAGCCATTGACGATGATGATGATGACGCTGCAGCTTCTTCACATATGGAGCTCAATTCGGCGGTTAAAAATGATGATGGTGATGTTAGGGTTTCTGAGAATGAGAGATCAGAAAAAATGGTGTCGTATGGAGTGAGGAAGAAGATGAAAAAAGTTACATGTCCGAAATAATTTGTTAACTGGGTTTTGATGAGGTTTATTGAGCAAAAGAGGAAAATTGGTATCATTGTTTCTGGGTTCGATTTCGTTATATGGGTAACAATTTAATTAGCAACACATACAAAAATGCTAACTTAGAAGTTAAACGTGATAACTAAATTATCATTATAAATAAGTATGCTAATATAAAAGTTATCGGTAATAATTAAATTATTAGAGTAAATAAACAGTTAATATATAAGTTAGTTGATACCAATCACATAATCAATGATTTAACATGATAAATTTGAGCATACGTTGTATAAGTTACATGTTAATATAAATATTATCTATATATCGAATATTTTACCATGTTCATACAAATATTATTCAGATATTTAATATGTTAGCATGTTATCATTCTATATTAACATATAATTTGTAACTTATCGCGATACTATATTATTTACCATGTGTCATCCGCATATTATCGTGTCGAAATAAACACTGTCGCCCGCATATTAACCTTTTTTAGTCAGTGGCATTTTTGTAATAAATCCAAAAAAGAGGGATAGTTTTGGTTTACAATTTCTTTCTCTTTCCTACTTACCTAATTTTTAAATCACCATGTATTTAAATCTAATTTTTTGGTCAATTGTGGTTTTAAATTAATATAGCCCAACAATTAAAAGCTTTTTTTTTTCTTATCCCTATGATAATTAAAAACTCTCTACATGTTTACATATATCTTTTCATAATTTTTTTTATATAAATTAATTATTCTCATTTTTTTTTTTTTAAGATCTATTTCACTAATAATCATTTTATTTTCATTATCTTCACTAATGTTGGTTTAAAAGAGTATATAGAATTAGTATTTTTTTCAAAAGCCAAATAAGTTTTTTTAAGTTTATCCCACTTCTTACTAATGTGTTGGGTATTAAATTTCCGCATAAAATAATAAATATAAATAAATGTGTGCATTTAGAATATTCATTTCTAAATTTTTATCATTTCTTTTAAATAAATATTTTATTATTAATAATGGATTCTAAGTTCCTACCAAAACAAATAATGGATTACTAGTTTTTTTTTCTTATTGCAATGTTTGGTTATTAAAAATGAATGAATTATATATTATTTTATTTTTAGAGAATATTTATCTATTTATTTATTCATTTATTTATCAATTTATGGTTTTTTTTTCTAAATTCTTATCATTTTTTTTGGTAAGTTTCTAAATTCTTATCATTAATAAAACTATATTTGCATATGAATTCATTTCTAAGATAATTTATATTTATTAATAATAATAATAATAACAATAATAATAATAATAATAATAATAATAATAATAATAATAATAATAATAATAATAATAATAATAAATAACAGTCACAGTTTCTACAGTTTTGTGTTACCAATCAGATTTTAACAGCCAAAGTTTTTACAGTCAAAGTCTTTACAGCCAAATTCTCTGCAGCTCAAATTTTTAAAGTCAAAGCTTCTAAAGCCAAAACTTACAGCCGTTACCAATCGGCCCCCTAATCTTGTTTGTTTGTAAAATAGTACTTACAAATTCTATTGGAAATAGAATATTTCAAAAACCATATTAATTCAGCTCATTGAAAATAAACAAGTCAAATACTAATTTAAGCAATCTAAAAAAGTTATAAAAACGAAAATACATTATTAATTTACAAAAAAGGAATAACCAATCAAAATGAAAATATTGATATCAAACATACCATACTAATTTGTTATTAATCATTATACTTCATCTCTCATCATTATATGTCTCTATTTTTGCGAAACAAATAAATCATCATATCATCCATTTAATTAAAAAATGTATATTTTTCCGCATATGCTGATTTGAATTTTTAAAAACAAAAATAAATTGTAACAAGTCAAAAATTCAGACTTGAGTAATATATTTATTTTAAACAAAAATAAATTCAACAAAAAATACGTCTGAGTAACGGGTTAGAGTTTGAATATTTATATTCAATTTCATAAAAAAAAATTTTGAAATGTGTAATTTTATATACTACAATAAACTTTTATAATATACAAACAGTATATAAAAAATATATACAAAAAGAATATACGATTAGAAAATAAATTATGAGAGAAATATAGATGAGAAAAATACTATATAGACTATACATATTTAAATAAATTATAATGACGAAAATATTAATAGATAAGATAGAACAATTAAAAGTACCATATAAGTTTAATTAAAATGATAAATAGAACATCACATAAATTTCTTGCATGTAAAGTTAAGAAACTAAAAAGAAAAGTAAAACCAACTAATCTCAACATGATAATACAACACTTGATGGGTTCGAAGCTCGAGCAAAGGCATGAAAGATAGAGATGAAACTAAAACCAACTTAATTAACTTAAAATTTTAATCTTTAAATCTATCGGACGTAGTCCGGACTAACCCGTAGTTAAAAAAAAGAACGGAAAATAGAAAAGGACTGTGAAGTAATTAAAAACACAGAACTACAACATGATTGGATTAGTTATAGGTTGCTGTGGAAAGAAAATTGTAACGTATATACGAACCATATGTCTTGACACTCTAGCAATTAAGATATTTTTGCTGTGGTCTGTGGAGAGAAAATTGTAAGACTTTTCTTTATGATTAATGAAACTAACCATATGTATTGTATTACTAACCCTGCAGTTACCAAAAACTTTTTTTTGACCGTGTTCAATGATTTGGCACTAATAAATATAGAATCATACCATACATGCAAATATATGTATATATATATATATATATATGCTAATGTTGACCCAAAAATTGACATATATATAATTGTCATTTCAATTTTTTTACAATAATTTCTGAACTTAGATTTGTATTTAATCAGACATACTGAATGCTATTAATTGTAAGATTCTTTCTACTTAATAAAAATCAAAATCATCAACAACTTTATTTATATGTAGTTACCAAACACATCTTTGACCGTAATATTTCCATGACTATATCTTTGATTGTATAGTTTTATAATAATTGTATATGTGAATATTTTCTTACCACCAAAATAATGTTATTAGCAAATACGGCAAATTATTTATGGTAAAACTAAAAATAAAATATTAGGTTGAAAATTGAGACATTTCTCAGCAGAGAATCCTATAAAGCTTTTAGTATAAGATTTAGAAAAATATAGAATTCTTCTTTTCTTTTTTTCTTTAAACCAGAGAAGTTACTGTAAGAAAAAAATGAATATCACAAAAGGCTAAGGCAGAGAAATTATGATTGAATTTCCGGTTTAGAAGCATATATATTTCAGAAACATCATAAACCAACATATTTATTGTCTGGACTCTGGTTTAACAATTATTGATATTATGACTTGGAAACTAACAGCATGCGGTCGGAACTACGATAACCTCAACAAAAATGTACGGAGCTAAAGCTACAATGAGTGTGTGGGAACCAACCGTAGAAAGAAGTTACAAAAAAAACAATCTTAACAGCATCGAAGTTGGTTGGCAGGTATGCTCAAAATTTGTAGTTTAATTTCTTTTTCAATGTTATATAATGACTAATACATTTACAATAATTTTTTTTATTTTAGGTTTTGCCAAATTTGTATCAAGACAGTAAACCAAGACTATTCATCTTTTGGACTGTAAGTAAATAAATATGGTTTATAAAAAGTTTGATTATCAATTTTATCTCATCTGTTTTATATTAATTAAAAATCACAAACAATAATATTTATTATTATTATTAATCTGAGATTTCAAAGTTTATATTTTAGTTTTAAAGTTAATTAGTATGAAGTAATACTATACCTTCGTTTAAAAGGAGTAATATAATTTTTTTTATATAAAAATGTATCTGCATATTCAATTATATACATAAATCCGGCCCCTTTCTTAACGAAAAATTAGTCAATTTTAATAAGAAACATGTGCATTAAACTACCATATATATATATATATATATATATATATATATATATATATATATATATATATATATATATTTATTTGACTCTATTATTAGAGAGCGGATTTACGTTTATTGTATTGTTATTTTATTTAAATTACGTTTGATCTTTATACCAAAATGTTTTATTAGAAAATAAAGTGAATACAATATTAACATATTTAAATATTTTAAAATATGATTGGAGCGGTAGTTTTGTTTTTCAAATTTAAAATTATTCGATTAAGTTTAATCTCTTGATTTAAGTTATCAGAACAACGATTTTTAGTTATTCCACATAGAGTTTAGTTTACAAAAGGCAATGGAAAAAATTTCTTAACTAGTACTACTATTTACTGACAACTCTGATATAGCTAGAATGCAAATAGTAACTCTCATAATTTATAATCAGTTTAAATTTCATTTGCAAATATTTATTCTAAATATGAAAAAAATCATTGGTTACCTTTTACATAATTCCTCTTTTAGTGCATATAAAATAAAAAGTTTCAGTGCTTTGAAATATTTAGTTTGTTAAGTTTACTAATAAAAATAAAATAAATTTATTCAGAGCGACACATATAATGTAATGGGATGTTACAATCTTCGGTGTCCTGGTTTTATACAAACCAGTGACACCATTGTCATTGGAGGATCCATTTCCCCCGTCTCTGTATTTGAGGGCGACCAATATGAGATCACAGTATCTGTATGGAAGGTTGGTTTGTTTATTATTAAAATAATATATTTTACGTAACGAATTGTACACGTTCAAAATAGTTACATCGTTGATAAATAAATTATGTAGGATCAAAAGAGCGGAAACTGGTGGTTGAGTTTGGGATCCAACTATTCACTGGTTGGATACTGGCCGGCTCCAATTTTCGTAAATTTAGCTTACGCAGATGATGTGCAATGGGGTGGTGAGATCGTGAACTCAAACATATCCGGTCGACACACTACAACACAGATGGGATCCGGTCATTTTCCTGATGAAGGCTTCGGCAGAGTTGGCTACGTTCGAAACCTAGAGATCGTAGACAACAACAACGAATTCCAGCCGGTTCACATAAAAGTAATAGCAACCGACCCTAAATTCTACACTATCAAAAACATGACTGGAGATGATTGGGGTACATATCTCTTCTATGGAGGGTCAGGGTTTAGTCAGATTCATTCAGGAGGTTCTTCTTTAGCATTGAGTTCGTTTTTCTATTATTTTAGTTTCATCATTTTTTTTATCATTTAGTTTATATCCATTTTTTGTTTTTCGATTTAACACAAATGTTGTAAAATAAATGTTAGTTTGAATCATGGAATTTATTTTAATTGAGTAAATTAAAGTTTGGTAACAATGTTGAAAAATGAGTGATCTCTTTGCACAAAAAAAAAAAAAAAAAAAAAAAAAAAAAAAAAAAAAAAACTCAAATTTTGTTCTATTTCATCTATTCAAACTTGTGTCGAGATTCTTCAATCGGCTATGGTTGAGTGGAGTCAACAGAAAACCTTGACCATGAGTGTGGAGATTTTGGAGAAGAGAGAACCATGAGCATTCTCTACCTGCTGCTCGGGGAACAAAACACATTTTTTGAAACAAATTAATTGATATATCTTATCAAATGTGTTAATTAAGAAGAAATGAGTATAGATCATCTAAATTAGTTAGGCCTCCTCCGCTGCACCAATAATCTTTTAGTTTTGAACTATGAAACACTGATGCAGAGAATTAAAAAAAAAAATAGAATCGGACACCAAAATACATTTCTTGTTTACACGATCTCTAAGTGATGCTGTTGCTGTTGATATCTAAATCTGGACAAGCAATGGTGTTTAGCTCCTCTATGCTAGATTTTCATGGAGCAAATCTGTTCACCTGTAACTTGTCAGTCAATCCTGTTCAGAAACTGGATGAAAGTTTTAAGAACCAACACTATCATCATCGTCTATATCTGACTAAAAAGTCACACCGAGTTACTATTCTCTATAATCTTGCTTTCCAGAGTGTTATTCAATCTTAAACAGCACAGAAAATGGGAACAAAAACAGACAAAAAAGAAAACCTCCAAAATGATGCAAAACATTCAAGGAGGTAGTGCTTAAAGTTGCATATTTCATATTCCATGGCAGATAATCCTGATCCCTACAAAATCCCCAAACTTGGTCCTTTAGAAATGATTTTGTTAAAATCTAAATGGCTCTATTAGCTACCATTTAGTTTATAATGGCAGAGACCAGAACCATTGAAGCAAAAATAAGCAGTTTGTTGATAAAATGTACATTAGTCCAAGTTAACTATCTCTGTGTTGTAAAATGTGTTGCAAACCATACAAGTTTCTTTAATCTACAGATGAAACTGACTTAAAGATCACTGGTATTTCATATAGAGGGATCCAGATTCTAAGTTCACAAGCTTAAACAAAATCATTGAAAGTTCCTAGAATTCTACTTGATTCCTCATTGTTAACAGATGAAACTGACAAAATACACACCACACTGTGCTACGTTCACCAGCTTAACTAAAATTGCAACATTCAAAAGTTGTGTATATCTTATATTTTGCATGTTTGGGTAGAATTTTTTATATTTTGGTACCACAATCATTGAAATATGGCCAAAGTTAATTTTTCTGCAATTGCATCGCGCAAACAAAATTAATATCATTCAAGTATATCAAATTAAATGCAAGATCAGTGGCGATTAAGTGCAAAGAATTAATGTAAGTAAAATTGAAAAGACAATTATATATGTTAATATTTGTGACTACGGATCAGTGGCGATTCTGTCAATATATAATCAATTCAATATATATATTTGTTGCAGATTTCTTCAATCATTAATTATGCATATTGTGACTACGGATCAGTGGCGATTCTGTCAATATACGGATTCAGTGGCCATTGAAGAAATCTGCAACAAAGATCACAAACAAAACAACATCACTAATCTAACAGATCTATCAATATAGCTTTCATGTCTGCTACTTTCACAAAGCTTGCACTCACTACAGCAGTAAGAATCTATCTTCATCTCTTACCGGAAATTGTTTGTTTAGATTCAGTGGTGATTTTAAATGTTTGTTTAATTGATTTTTATTATTTAACTCTAATCAATATGTCGCAATTAGGCAGAAATGTGAGGGAACTAACCAAAAACAAATACATATACATAGATATTTTTTTTAAGCATGTCATAGTCATACATTAGTTTTTTTCTATTTTCTTTTGTGAGTAAACATTAATGTTTTAATGGTCATTTTCTAAGAATATTTATTCATTTTAAAAGAAATAATAAATGAATTATAGTAATGTATCTAGCTAGTATTTAAAATCTTTTATTAACATATAGGTGAGAAAATCTAAATCTATTTTTCTTTTCTTTTGGGAAAATTCTAAAAACTTTGACAGCTATATCTATTTAGGAGGAAAACAAATCCTGAATCAGAACTTATATCAAATTTTCACCAAAATTAAAATCTCACACTTTTTAATATTTCCACGTGGCGCTTCACTGTATCCACATCATAATAAGTCACTTTGATCTAGCATTGTATAACAAAAAGTATGTACGGATGGAGACAGTATAAGACAACACATGTTGTCGTCCACAATCTTAAGTTTTCTTTTTTCTTTTTGTGTTACAATCTTTATAAATTTGAGACGAAATCATTTTCTCCTAAAGTCTTCATTGCAAAAAAAAAAAACAAAAAAAACCTTAAGAAAACTTCTTTTCACTTTCTTCAATGACTTTTTCTAAAGCTTGTTATAAACTCCTTACCATTACAATTCTCCTGCTCTCCTTCACATTTACCTCTTTAGCCGGTAACGCCGAGTACGCAGACGTAAGCGAATGCAGAGCGGAATCTGGAGATCCATCATGTCACAACAACAAAATAGCACAAAAGCTTAAACTAATTGCAATCCCATCGATCTTAGTGGCGAACATGATCGGTGTTTCTTTACCGTTGCTTTCTCGTTCCATTCCTGCTTTAGGACGACCCGACCGAGATATGTTTGTGATCGTTAAGACTTTAGCTTCGAGTGTAATTTTGACAACCGGTTTTATGCATGTGTTACCGGACTCTTTCGATGATCTCACGTCCAAATGTTTGCCTGAAGCGCCCTGGAGGAAGTTTCCTTTCAGCACTTTCATCTCGACTGTCTCGGCTTTGCTCGCTTTAATGATTGATTCATATGCGATGAGAACTAGTAAGCGTGAAGGAGAAGCCGTACCATTAGAAAATGGATCTAATTCTGTGCATACACAAGAAAAGGTCAACGATGATAAGACAAGTCAACTTCTTAGGAATAGAGTCATTGCTTTGGTGCATTTAATTACAACTTTTATATTTTTATCATTGCTTATGATCTGTAAATGAAGCTAGAGATCGATTTTTACTAAACTTGTTTTCTCTTGTTAAAAATTAGTTTGGATCTAGGTTTGGAATTTCGAATCATCAAAGACAAAAATGTTTAACCCTAAACATTTTAAATGATTGTTTTGGTGCAGGTGTCGGAACTAGGTATCGTAGTTCACTCGTTCGTGACCGGTCTCGCTATGGGGGCTTCAGATAACAAATGTACCATACGATCACTTATCGCAGCCCTTTGTTTCCATCAACTCGTTGAAGGAATGAGACTCGGTGGTTCCATTTTACAGGTATTTCAATAGCTATATACGCGTTGATTTGGTAGTAATACAATCAGTCTTAACATATTTATAAATTTTTGTTTGTTATAGGCGGAATTGAAAAGCAACATGAATTGGATAATGGTGTTTTTCTTTCCTGTCACAACACAAGTTGGGATTGCTTTAGGGATGGAAATACAAAAGATATATGATGAGACAAGTCCGACATCGTTGATCGTAGTGGGGATCTTGAATGCGTGTTCTGCAGGATTATTGATTTATATGGCACTTGTTAATCTCTTGGCTCATGAATTCTTCGGACGACCAAATATACAAGGGAACATGAAGCTTCATTTCCTCGGTTATGTTGCTGTCTTTATAGGTGCTGGAGGAATGTCTTTGATGGCTAAGTGGGCATAGAACTCTTGAGTTAGACTCATCTTTACTTCTGTGTTCAGTTTAATTTTCGATCATTAGTATAATAAAATATTGTATGATTTAGGGCTGATAATGATTATATGGTACTAGTTGATCTCTTGGCTCATGAATTTGTCGGACCAAAGATAAAAGGGAACATGAAATAATAAAATTAAAATTATACTGAGTTTTTGATATAAAATCCGTAGATTGCATATCCACTGATACGAACAGAAGCTAGTCTAATACACATATGTATCAGCCCTAATCTTCCACAGCCTTGCTTTCTCTGACCCTTTCAAAAGAGTACATTTGATCAAATAGCAATGCTGGCCATTCAGAATTTTCTGATGAGTACATTTGACATCTTATTCTTACCCCTAAAGCCGCTCTCAATACGATAGGATTCGATTCTATGATAGATCAAATCAGGATTCATACTATCAGGTCGGGGCTTAGACATCTCCCATGGTTCGACGAGAGATCTTAGACTTTCTTGCTAAGCTAGGGTTAGGTCAGGGCTTTGAATGTGTCTACGGATGAGGGAGAGCCTTTCGTGTGTTTAGCAAAGCAATCTTACTCAACTCTGTTTCTTGGTCCGAGAGGCAATTGGGCTTTGAAAAATTGGCCTATTTAGTTGTTTAACAAATGGGTCCACGAAAAGTGAAATAGTATATAATGGGCAAAGTGCATTTTTGAGAGAAGAAGGCATACTCCGAAAAAAACTAGATGTATATGTAAAAGCAATTTTGAAAATAAAACTCTCAAACAAAACAAAAATCATGGAACCTTTATAGTGTCTTTCTTTGTGTTTCTATATAGTTTTCTCAGATCCTTTATACCAATAAAAACTATAGTAATCGATGAATGTGTCGTTGAGATATTTCTAAACAATGTTATTCAAAACTTATGATTGTTAATCCGTAGAATAGAAAAATGGTAATTCGATTCTACAGTGTTAACCAACTATCTATATATACAGCTCTTTACGAGATTTTGTACTATTTCAATCTATATTTTTTTATTTCTTTATTTTTGTTTTGCTGATATGATCAAATATAGCTACTTTCAATTCACTGCCAAGATCAAATGTAGTTTAGATTCTTCAGTAATCAACTCTAGAAAATGATGTGCTAAATAAATATTTTATGGGTGTTATGTGAGAGGAATAAGACAAATAAATAGTCACTGAGTGATGTTGGTCCGCGTTGTGAATTAACTTATATATTTATCACATTCACATCACATCATACACCAAACGATGACCAAGTTGCCGATAAATCATATCCAAAGCCAAAATAAAAAACATCATGATATGTCCATTTTTTAATTGTGTTGGTAGGACAAACGTTAATCTTACTCATTTACATAGCTTTATATATGACTATCTATGAGGGTCACTACAAAACTAAAAATATAAAGATATCACTCGTAGAAGAATTGTATTAATTGATGAAAGATAATACATAGTAAAACAATGAAACGTCAAAACTAATATTATCCAAATGTTTTCTATGTTTAGAGCACATAGTGAATCTGTGAATGTATTATTTGTTTTTTCTTTTACAAGGTAAAAAGAAGATTGTCGAATAATGCCCAAAACATTAAAAGTTGTTAAATGCGAAAAGCTTCGAAGCATACCCTACATACTAAAAACTCATAAAAGAAAGAAAAAAAGTTGAATTTAGAAGTTCACATCTAAAATATAATAAATTCTCTTTAGTATGGAAACCAATCATATTAATTTTATTGTAAACAAAACATATATGTACCACCATTTTAACCAAAAAAAAAAAAAACATATACCACCATCGAAACAATCAAACGATACGATATTGGCAAATGTTTTCACCATAGTGATCATATCTAGTAACTGATTTCTTCTAAATTAATATATCCTCTTTAGTCTTTATCTATATAGTACATAATTTGGCTTGTTTTTCTTCCTTGTATTTTGAATTCGAGCATGATATATGTATGAAAATTACTAAAAGTATGATCCATGACTGATTTCGAATATGGAAAAAAATATCATTGATCAAAGAATTCAAAACTTAATATGTAAAATAGTGTTGCCTCTTGATAGTACATATATATAGAAGTACAAGTACTAACTACTACACACTTTTTTTTTTAAAGACATCAAAGGAATGTTACGTTAAATTGATGTTGTCTTGTCGAAAGGACGGATATAAAAAATGATAAGCCCCTACCCACAAATGGGGTCCCATTTCAATATCATCGATTTGTTGCGTCGAAATTTGGTATGATTCTTTGAACTTTTTGACAACTTTGGACATAACCTGATGAGATGATAAATGGATAATGGAGAGAAAATGGGTCGTCGATGCCCATTTCGCTTTCTTTGCAGCTGTCTTTGGGACCATCACGCTTACACTTTACCACTTTCTCTTGTCTCTCTCTTAACACTCATCAAACCTCATATCTTTTGCTCATACTTTGAAGCTATGAATGGTGAAAAATGCAGTTTGTGACGGTTAGGCGATATAACCGCAACATATTTAGGCCTTGATCATTTGTTTGAACCATCCATCAAGCAAACCAATTATATTGCTAATGGGTTCATTGTATCAACGATGACACCAAAAATTGAAAGAAGACTAATCTTATTTATAGGACAAGGCCAAGCCACATGGACATACCAAAGAAAAAAACAAGAGAAGGTGATAAAGGGGCAAAAAAACAAACAAACAAAGAAGATCACAAAGAGAGGTAAAAGAAATATTTACAAAACAGTTAAAAAAACAAACAAAACCCCTTTTCTTCACATTGTCGCTTGTCATAAGCCAAACCTTCCAAAAGTAACTACTATTTTTTACTACCATAGAACTGAAGAGGAAGTCTCCAGTTTCATACTCCAAGCTGTAGATTCTGTCTTTTTTAACTTTCTCTCTTTCTCGAGTTTTACTTTTTACTATACGACTCTCAAAACTGGCATGAAGTGCCAAGTCTCTGTCTCTTACTCAACGTTGCGGTTTTGCGTTTTGCGAAAGCCGGTCCAAGTAACTCTTGGAACCTCTCTAGGAAGAGAACCCACTCGTCTTCTTTCATGTCTGCTACTTTCACAAAGCTTGCACTCACTGGAAGCTGTTCGTTTGCGCTTTTGTGACCAGACGATGTGTTCTCGGATTTGCCTCTGGTTAAGGGTTTTGGGTGTTTACGTGCTGTGTCGCTAAGATGTGTGTTCTTCATTGAAGTTGAAAGCTTTGAAAGAGATGGAGCTTTGTCATGAAAAGCAGCTGAACTAAAAAAACTGTCTTTCATAATGATCATAGGGACAGCATTTTCAGTTTTGTCCTCTTCTTCTTCTTCATCTTCTTCTTCTTCCTTGATGCTTTCTTCAAGCTTCCCGAGTGAAGAACGTCCGTTTGAAAAAGGGTTTTTGGTGAAGTAGTCATCGGTTAGTTGTATCTTGGAACTGTAGACTGATTCTAAATCATCACAGTCTAGATCGAACTGAAACTCTGCTTCTCCTACTACATCTGACCTTGGAGAGAAAACATCGCGTTCAGTGACTGATCTCTTGGCTTCAATACACACAACCTCCAGTTCACTTGGCTCTTCTTCTCCTGGTCGAAATTCCCGAGTCATCATCTCGCCAATCTCAGCAAGACACAGCCCATAAGAAGCAGCTTCTTTGAGGAAAATAGTACAGAGAACAAGAACCCGAAGACACGCCTCTCTAATCATTGGAAGTTCTCTTCTAAGCATGTCACAGTCTTTCAATGGATCAAGACTTTGTATGTAGTCAAGCTCTTCATCAGAGAATGGTAATGATGCCTGAGGCCAATGAATCCACTCAAAATAAGGATCCTCAAGTGTTTCTGGCAGGCAGAGACCATGGTCAATTGGAATAAGCTCCACTTGACCAAACATTCCGACTCCATCAAGCTTCTTCACCAAAAGATTCCCACCATGACGGTCTGTGTTGAAGATCCTTATGTCCAATATACCAATGCGGTGCACAGAAGCTACAGGGAAGCTTGAAGTGCCATGATCGCTAGCATCGAAATCATGAGCCACAAACTTCTGGAAAGAAGCAATCTTACTAACCAGCTTCTTCTCCCGAGGCTTGTTCCCTTTCACCCCATCATTGACATTGAATACAGAATGAGTTATCTTCACAAGAGCAGTTGGAGGGACATTAGCAAAGCGACCATAATCAAGAAGATAAGCAGCAACTTCTCTAAACCCGGTTTCCCCAACTCGCACCGAAGACTTTAATCCAGGTTGCCCAAGGGCTTTCCCAACAAAGCCTTTAGGATTGTTAGGTGCAAACGGCTCTTCATCTGTCGGCTTGACAATCGCAACACTCTCACCCCTTTTGTTCCTAAAATAATATGCACCTCCAAGCCCGCTATGAACAGGAAGCGGTTCAACACCCATCTTCATCGCCTTAACAATGTCCTTCACCATATGTTTAACAATCGAAAAGCAATCCGAATGGCCTAGTATCTCAATAGGACCACTTCGATCTTTCTGTTGCAAATCCCTCCCAGTAGGCGAAAGACAAGGAGTAGACGAACTTCTATGCATAAAATTCCGTTTCAGCAGAAGCGGAGAATCATTCCTCACAGCACTCAAATCATTCGTCAACACCATATCACCATAAGTCAAAGAACTTTCCTCAGTAGGGAAATTAAGAGCAATCTGAAGCCTCCTTTTAACAGTATGAACATTATCACTACGATCCAACTCCATCCCCAAAACACAACCAGTTTCGGTTTGCACGAAAACCCGCCTCCCCGATGATTGCCTCTGAAGATGCTGATGTTTATGATGCTGCTTCCCTTCCATCTTATTAGCCCCAGTAAGGGGAGTCTTAAACACTGCCACTGCCATTTGTGTCTGAACAGGACTGTCTAAGTTCCTCGACATGAAACAGAAGAAGAAACCAAAAAAGGCTTCTTTTGGTAAACAACAGAAGCAGTAGCCGAAGAGAGACCTTCAAGACCAGTGCCTATGTCTAAAACCAACACGAACCGGATAAAGCAAATACCTAGACTGATCATGAAACGCAAGAGAACACACACAACTTCTATAAAAACTCGAGCTTTGAGAATGAATTAGATTCCCAAATTACTACATCAGGTAAGCCATGATGATTGAAGAAATCTGCAAATAAAGATCACAAACAAAACAACAGATCTATCAATACTCTCACTAATCCACCGATTTAAGATCTTGATTTCAAGAACTAAGAACAATAAAGCAATGACCTTTTTGAAACTCACCGGAAAAAAAAGCGAGATCTGAAATCAAAACTCAGAAGAAACAATCGTAGGGACGAATTTGGTTTCAATTCAAAGACATCATCTTCATCGTCATCGTTGGCTTCAAAAGCACAGAAACACGCACATGGAAGAGAAGGAGAATCTTAAAGAAGAGGCATCAATGGAGGCAAGGAATCTGAAGGAGAAGAAAAGATGAAACTTTCAGTGAAGGAATCACTCTCTGATCCCTAGCCGCCTCTTTCTCTGTGTGTGTGTGTGTTGTCTCCTTCGTTGATTCACCTCTCAAAGGAACGCTTTTTAACTCTGATCTGAGTCCTCTGGTTAAATCTCTTAACCATGGTTTGAGTTAATGTTTTCAGCAAACTTATTTGTTATTGGATTAAATTACAAAATCTATCCTTATGACACGTCATTGTATTATTTTAATTTTTGATTATTATTTCTATAGTTTTTTTTTTATAGAACCTGTTTAATTTTGTTTTCTTTCATTTAATTATTTGGCTAAATTATGATTTTGGTTGTTGGTGTAGTTTTTATTCGTTTTGATCGATGATCTTGTACCGTTTGAATATAAAAAATACCGTTTTAATAATTACCGATCATAAAATACGATATCAAAAACGTTATTTTTTTTTTGAACCGATTGTTTTTACCATATTTTATACTTTTTAAAATTTGTACTGTTTTGTATCACTATTTTTTTATTTTTAGAAAGAAAATATCTATTTTAAAATGACAATTAATTTATTTCGTCTTTTTCTTTAACACATTTAAATTATTTCCTCATATTCTGTTTTAAAATATCTAATTTAAAATGACAATTAATTAAATTATTTTGTCTTTTTCTTTAGCACTTTTTCAGATGAAATTGTAATTCTGTTCTCATATATATTTACCATTTCATATATATTTTATTTGGTTTGAAGTTTTAACCCATTTCATTATTTTTTATCATTAATAATATGAAACTGAAATATGCTATAGGAATCTACGACAAGTGTAAAGCTTTAATTCCATAGTTTTCCTTCAGTTTTCGTTATACTTTTGTCCACGACTTTTTCTAATTATATTATCTTTAGAAATAACTAAACATTACTTGGAATATAATTATTACACATACTTCAAGGTTACAAAATAATGTGAAAGATATTAATTTATAGTACATGTTCCCTTGATATTTTTTATGAATCAATACCGCAAAGACGTGCGATCTCACCAATAAAGAGTTGAAAAAAATTCAAATATCTCGTTTTATCATAAAGAAGAAAAAGAACATTAAAATTTGTAACATTAAACGAAAAAATAGCGAAGTAAAATAGAGCCATAAATTGACAGGTAAAATAGTAAAAAAGAAACATTCATCATCGTCCCCATCTGTGGAAGAGTCTAGAACAGGTAACTAGAGCCGTTCGATTGTAGATTCTTATGGAATCTGCACCGTCCGATCTAGGAATGGTACGTGGCAAAGGATGAGAATGCCGACGTGGTTTTAATTGGATTTAGTAATGACATGGACGTACAAAATTGGGCCTTACAATTTAAAAGCCCATAATTAAAATGAAGTTGAAATTAGCTAGTTGCAACTGAAAAGTAATTAATTACAAATCAAGTCCATATTTTACAAATGCTTACAAATACCTTCAACACAAGAAATACACTGATAAGGATGTATTTATAAGATAATTTTCAGATATATCACTAATTAATTAATTTAAAATCTCTATTTTGGGTTATCTTATCTTATTTAAAAGATAACAGAAGAATTAACAATAAATAAAAAAAGAAAATAAATATTTAATTGAAAATTCATAAAGAAATAATACCAATTTAATTATGAAGTCCATTAGGTATCGAATGAATAAAGCGACTACGAAGGCACTTTTAAGTCCACATGAGTAATAGTGAATCATATTATATAATGAGATTAAACCACTTTGGACATAAAAGATCTTGTCTCCATAATGCAAAATTCAGCTTTGAACACTTTTGACTATTTTATTTGATAAAAAATAAAGAGAGATTAAGCATAAATTATGATACATGAATACATGATCCATATCCATGTGCAGTAGTGTCTTCCCATTAACTCAACTATATAGGAAATAATTAAAAACAAGTAATTCTTAAGAATTTTAATTTTATCATAAATATTAAATTTTGCAAATGTTACAGAATCCTATCAAAAAAAATTGGCAAATCAATGAGCTTCTTCACAAGCAAACATAATTCACTAATCAAAAATTTGATGAAGAAAACTTACAGAGAAACAATCTTCTAAACCATCTTATCTTATACTCTGTTTCATTGTAATCTAAAGACATATGATTGTTACCAGTAGTCACCACAAGAACATTTGCCATCCTGAAAATGATGGTAACGGATCGGATCTCTTATAACGATACTGCGGTTTTCAAGCTTCGATGCGAGCTTGCAAAACACATGACAATCCCCACATATTCTCAGATTCTTTCTGATCCTAATGACTTTCTCACTAGGTAATGTCATCAAGCCAAAGGCTAAAGCTAGTTTCTCACTGTGATGTCTAAGTGAATCTTCCATTTGTTCTCCTTCAAGATCTTGTAGCACAAAGTTTGTTTCAGGAACATAACCAATACCAATGAGTCTATGTATCAATTGGTTCAGCTTCTTACTGACTTCAACTATCTGTGGGTGAGATTCGTCTCCAATGATAAAAACATGAATCTGTTTGTTTACTTCGATCCAGCTGCATCCAGGTTCTTTCTTTATTCCTCTGTCTCTCATTCGCTTTCGAATTTCTTCAACACTGTCCCATTTCTGAGAGTTTGCATATATGTTAGACAACACTGTGTAAGTACCTGCATCTTCGGGATCGAGTGCTATGACCTTTTTAGCTGCATATTCCGCTAGCACCATGTTTCCTTGAACCCTACAAGCACCAAGCAAAGCTCTCCATGTCACAGCATCTGGCTCACACTCCATTTCATTTAACAGCTTCACTGCATCGTCGAGCTTTCCAGCTTTTCCTAGCAGATCAATCATGCAACCATAATGTTCCCTCCCTGGATCGATTCCATAAAGTTTCTTCATTGATCTGAAGTAGTACCAACCATCTTCCAGGAGCCCTGCGTGGCTGCAAGCAAAGAGAACCCCGACAATCGTAATGTAGTTTGGCTTCGTCCCAGATGATTTCATACGCTCAAACAGCTTCAGTGCCTCCTGGCTATAACCATTTTGTGCTAACCCTGAAATCATAGTGCTCCATGTAATCACATCTCTCTCCTTCATCTGGTTGAACACACGGCGAGCATCATCCAAGCTCCCACATTTGCAATACATGTCCACTAGTGCGTTGTTGAGTATCAAGTCTTGATCATATTTCACGATATGAACATGAGCTTGCATCCCAAGCTCCAACAGAGCCAAACCAGTACAAGCCCTCAACACGCTAGTCAACGTAGCCTGCTCCGCAATGAAACCAGCTCTCTTCATCCTCTTAAAAAGCTCCAAAGCTACGTCACTTCTACTATTCTGAGCAAACCCACCAATAATCGAGTTCCAAACAATCGCATCACCTGTAACCATTTCATCGAAAACCGAAAGAGCATCCTCCGGCTCACCCAGTTTAGCAAACACATCAATCAAAGCACTCCTAACATAAACATCAGACTCCAAACCCTCCTTAATAATCCCACAATGAAGCATTCTAACATCAGACATACCATTACAAGCTCTCAAAACAGAGGAGTAAGTATACACATTAGGCCTCACACCATCTCTCAACATCAAAACCAAAAGCTCCAAAGCCTTCTGATGAAGCTTACACTTAGAATAAGCAGAAATCATCGTAGTCCAAGAAATAACATTCCTTTGAGGCATTTGGTCGAACAGTTGGTGAGCATCATTCAAAAGATTGAATTTTACATACATATTGATCAATACATTAACCAGAAACATCATTGGTTGATGACCATTGAAGTATAAATGACGACAAATGAGATTGCCTTCGTCAACAGCTCTATGAGACAAGCAACATTTGATAAGCTCAGAATAAGTTGCAGAGTCTGCCCAAAGACCATGACTTTGCAATGAATCCATTGCTTTCATAGCTCTGGGAAGGTCTTTCTGGTAACAGAGTCTGGTAAATTCGTTAAGAAGAAGAGTTTGATCGGTGGAGCTATAAGAACAACGTAACGTGAGGACTGGTCTAAAGAGTTTGATCTTTGACATTACTGACTTCATCGTCTCCACCACAAAACAACTTCAAGAAGCTCAAATCACTATAAATCCATGGCTCAGTAACGAGAAGACTTGGTCATTCGATTTTCCGGTTTACTTCGGTTTTGGTTTTTAGGTTAAAGTAGTGAAAGGAGCTCAAAATGAGATTTGAGAAAGTAACTAAATTCAAGTTAGGTAACAAGAAAAGTGCCAATGATGTTCCAAATAGTTTAAATTGAACATATATGTTTCCAACATCACACGCGAGAGTCAGATAAAATACTCTCTAAGTCGCCAAGTTAAACTAATAGAGAGACATATTGTTTGGGAAGAGAGTCTTTAGACAGCTTCTGCTTGAACGAACGGGTTAGCGATTTCTTCAGTGCCATCGGTTGGTGAGACAAGCATCACCGCTGTTCCACGGCAAACCTAAAAACGAGACAAATTAAGATGATTTAGAATCTAAACTATGAAACTCTATTACAAGCAACAAAATTCCAAATTGTACCCAGAAGAAAGAAAGCTCGTGTAATTGCATTATATAGGGTTACACTTATAGATGTGAAAAAGAAGGTAAATGAGTCATACAATCAAACCAAGGCGTCTTGTCTGATCCGTAGTCTTCAAAGGATCATCGTGATCTGATCGAACATAAGACAAGGGTCATAAAATTGTATAGATCCATGGAAATATGATCTCATTTCTAGTTTCAAAATATAGCTAAGAGAATGATATTATCCCATTCATATCACCAACATAACATGATTAAGCAATCAAACAGTCTCTCTAATCAAAATTTATATATCTTCCAATGGCATCATGGAAACATTTGTATGAAGCAGAGTAATGGAATTTAATGCAATACAGAAATTCTTTTACTAAGAGGAGGATTCCACTAGAGAATAGTAGCCTACATAGATATAGAAATACACATTGATTCAGAAATACATAGCCTAACAAGATCAATGCAGTAGATATGGTAAGATAAGAGATACCTCGAACAAACTCGACTGCTTCATCAAGAACAAGATTAAGTAATTGGTCATAGCCTTTTAGAGTTCCAGTCACTGCAAGCAAATACATAGCAACTATCAAATCTCAGAGAAAACAGTAAAAAAATCATCATCTTTGCAGCATAATCAGAAACACTTGTGTTACCTTGTCTACCACCAGTGAGCTTAACTTGCACACCCTTATCCACAAACTTGGCCAAATCTAAAACCGTTTCTTTTCTTCCAGACTGAAAAAAAAACAGCGAAAATCGAAGAATTAACTCGATTCATATAACAATGATACTATTATACATCAATTTAGGTTAAATTTACCATGTTAGAGTAGAGTCTTCAACAGAAATTCCCCAAAGAAAAAACCCTAAAAATCTGCAGAAAAACGAACATCAAATTGATTCAGAATAATGATTATACTTTAAGACGAACTTCAACGAAAGTATGAAGATTGATCGATGCAAGTCATAAGACGGCAATTCAAAATTAGGGTTTGCAATTCTTTGGCCCCAAGTGGATTCGGAAAATGTAGAAATTCGGAAAACAATAAGGAAATCTAAAAGTGGATGAAGAAACCTCACCGGAAAATTAAAGATCTAAGTGACGAAGAAAACCCAGAGAAGCTCAGGCTAAGCAATCGGAGAACCTCACAAGGAGTCGCCGCGAAAAATCAGAGTCAGTCAAAATAGTCGCAGTGACGCTTTCTTTAACTCTGATCTCGTTATGGACTCTGGTTTAAATCCCTAACCATGGTCCCCATATTATTTGAACTAAACCGTAAATTGAACCATAAACCGAGCTAAACCGAAATAAAATTGGAAGGGGATATGGTTCTCAAACACAACTCCAGGATTTGTGTATATATTAGTTAGGAATTAACAAAATCATAATACAATTGTTCAGTTATCTAAGAAGAATAAACATCATCAGAATAGAAGACAACTAAATTTAGCATCTTAGCAAATGGGCTATTTTGTTACAACTTACAAGTTCTCCTAGTAAACCTATAACCGAATTTTAGCATTGCACCCAAACCGGATTTTAGCATGGTCACTGGATTTACCCGTGCGACGGCGGGTCTGGGTCGGGTTTGAAAATGTAATGTTATTACCGGTTTTGTCAAATTGAACTACAACCGTTTATTTTCTTATTTGTTCGGTTTTAAATCGGTTTAAATTGATTAAATACATAATTTATAAGAAAAATAAAGTAAAACAAAATTACATTATGGTTACATTTGTCAAGCTTTACATGCTGATTACATTTGTAGATCTTTTTAACTAATAAAGCAGATGTTAAAAACAAATTTATATATATCAAGTTCAATTTATAAGAGTTCTGACTATAACATTTCATTATCTCGCATAATAATACATCTTTTTTGCTACATTGCCTCAATGATCTTTATTTGTTTAGGGCTGCATCAAATCTATATACTTAAGTTTTTGGAGGCATTATAGCTTCTTTAACCTCCGCTGCTTTTTCTCCGACGAACTTAGCCGTTTTCTTGCTAACATCCGTGGCTATATCTATAACTTCTCCGGCTTTTTCAACGATGAAGTCTTTGGCTTTCTCGGACATCGAAGCAGTTTCTTTCTTCGTTTCTTTGCCTTTCTCGGTCACAAACTCCGAAGCAAACTGAGCAATTTCAGCCACATTGTCGATTGCTTCACTAGCTTTCTCAAACATATAGTACTTTGCTCTCTCTATATGATCATTAACCTCTTGTCCTTTCTGAGCAGACACATGTCCCACTTCGCTTCCCTTATCCTTCACGTACTCGGATGCTTTCTGTCTTTTTTTGTGTGTGTGTGTGAAAATTTTACAAAATTATTACAATGAACAAAATGGTTATTTATATTTTTCATGTTAGCTATTTCGGTAAAATATTTAACTATATATCAAATGTATGAAAGGAAAATTATATCCTTAGCATTTCAAAAATTCACCCACAAAAAAAATCCTAAAAGAATAAATTTTCATTTAACCAACAATTTATTTTTCTAAACAATTAACTAAAAATTGATTTAAATTTGACAAAAATGACTAAAATATGTGATGATGAAACATATATACCAAATTATAATGTGCTATAATAGTATTAGAACAATCAATATTCATCAAATGATATCATCGTCTACGATATAAGAGTTTTTCATCCCAAAATCTATGTCGATCTCAAGTAACTCCTAATATATATAGACTTACGAGGCATCATCGAGCCATTTGGGGTCGAGTTTTGAGTTTCCATCACCTTTGACGGCTGTCGGAACCCTTGACTTCTTGAACTTAGGTGCAATGATCACATTCTTCCGGCCAACCCTCGTAGCTACTAGGCCAATATCGCTTCTATTGCCTCGCCTGATCAAGAACGATGAACCAAAACCATTAAGCACAGCTCCGGAGATCGACGTCGCCATGAGATTATCTTGCCTTTCCCTCTCTAAGATGTAGAAAAAAAAACTGTTTTGGGAAGAAAATGAATCAAAGGGAAGAGTTTCATTTTTTTAAGGGACAAAATGAGAATCTTTTACACGGAACCTCAGAACCTGACGTGCATTATTTTCTAACAGATCACAATCAATGGCATTCCTTAGTTAGTACTTAATTAGCTAGTCAAATGTTTTCTCCAAGAGGCCGGTTTTCCGTATACAATCCGACCGAACCCTCATATTTTTCGAGACTTATGCGCTCGCCGAATAAAATAGCCAAACATAAGTCCTGGAAAATTCGAGTGTCTTGTCACAACGGCCAACGGGTATAGGAAATTGAAATGTTGAAGTAAACATTAACAACCGTGTGCTACATTGACGTGGTTGTAAGAATCAACATAATATTTAAGAACTCAACTAAGATTATAAAGCATTGAGCGTAAGAGTTTGATCACTTTTACTTTATTTTTGTTATAAGATTCTAATTAGTACAAAAAAGCATGATGTTTATAAGGATTAAGTTCGATAGAATGGTTGGGAGAGAGGGGTCGGTCACATGTTACTCCTAATTAACTCATATCGCATGAAACTCCTAACTCGTATCATATCTTATAGAATTTTTAAAAAATACTAAAAATTGAAAGTAACAAAATAAAGGAGGCAAAAAATTAGAGAATTGTGTTTAGAAATTAGGAGGTTGGTTGTTTGAGATAATAGAAGGGAAACAGATATGCGTACATGCCGGTCTCGTGTTTCTTTAATTGGACTATATATATATAGATTAAATACATAGTAGAGATTGGATAGTATTTTGTTTATTCTGGTTGTTATATCACAATAGTTTGATTTTCTTTAGTTTTGGATTACTTTTTTTTTGTAATATAACCACTGTCATATTTGTTGGTTGATATGCAAAAAAATAACTTTAGAAAGAGTTTGTTAGATAGATGAGAGTATTTTGTTGGACAGGATCTCATAAAAAAAAAAACTCATTCCATAAAATTCCAAGGAAAGTATAAGAAGGCCCAATTACATTATATCCTCTCTAAATTCTTATTGTAGTTCACAAAAATCATCAATAAACATGCTCTTCATTTTTAAGCTCCATTCACATTCATTTCATTTAGTGTTACTAAAGAAATCTTAGCCCTAAATCTTCTATTATCCACAATACACAAACTCATATATTACATCACCAATTCAGGCCCGTCCATGAAGAAAATACCTATAAACTTTCTAACTCCAAAGTGCAAAGTCAGAAATGGCAGGTGATCGACAGTCCAATCCAACCAAGTAAATAAAGGGTTACTAAACTCGATTTAGGTTTAAATTGATTAAATACATAAGAAATAATAAAAAGAAACAAATCATTTATGTGTCTTACATATGTACAAATCTATTTCTGACTTTCTCGAAGGATCCTTAACCAGGCAAACCAACCGGTCATGCCGATGGAAAGACTAAAGATGATATGAATAATGTTAATTGTTATGGAAAATGAATTATTATGTAAATCAGCAATAATCACAGCTTTACATGAATCACAATCGAAGCATAATGTATCTGCAGAATTGTTCCATCTCTTGCAATCAACTTCTACATTGTTATAATATCTTGAAACTGTCCACATATTTGGTTTCTCGTAATTCAATCCACATGAAAGTGGCGGTTTGCAACAACCCGACTGTAAGAAAAAATTAAACAAGATTAGAATGAAATAAAAAGCATTGATCCGATTTTATATGATTAAAACCGGTATCAAAATCGATTCATACTAGATTCGGTTTGATTTAGCTAATGTATATTTTTCGTTATTAACTTATTACTACCGTTTTTTTTTAATGAATGTAAAATTTATTCAACCAAAAAATCTTATCTTTGGTACATTCTATTTTACCTGTATAGGAGTTAGATTCATCTGATAAAACTCAGAAGCTGGCATCTTATGGTTTAACCTGTTACAAACATTGTCCTTAACAAGACATCTCCTTGTACGATACCATTCATCGTCTTTGATGACCAATCTACTAACCCATCCTGAGTAATCCTCGTACCTAAACTCATGAATCTTGGTACCAGGAAACAACCTAGGATTGGTCTCCTTATGTAGAAAGATGACAAAGATTGCTTTAGACACGACAACGAACATCCACAAGAAGAAGATAAAGAAGTGGATTCGGAAGAGACAATCGGATTTGAAGTAAGCTGCGTAGAATCCAGTGAGGGACATAGCGAGCAATGAGAAGCTTATGAAGATGCCTGGAGTTGTGACAAACCGGTTACATTCATCGGTCCTGTAATGTAATGTTATGACGGTTACGAACCAGAAAGCGGCTGTTACGAGGAAGATTGCGGTTGAGATCAAGAAAATGGTGTTGAATGGAAATGAAATATTCTTGATAAATGATGAAGGGTTCTCATTGTTTTGTTCTTCTTTATCTCTCGCCATTATCGTGTAAAGAGAAAGGATCAAGTAAAATAAGAAGATGAATTAAAAATGATCAGAGAGTTCGATGTTGACTTGTGGCAGAAGATAAATATAGGGTTTGTAGTTTGTGATTTAAGAAAACACTTGAAAACAGAAAAAAAAAAACTAATAGATAAAGCTGGTTTGTTTTTTTTTATTTGTGTCTTAGTTTGTTGTTGACCCAGTTTGGTCAAATGGTCCATGAAAAATTTATAACTTCCTGGAATATCTTTTTCACCTGAACAACAACAGAAAATCAAAATCAAAATAATCGAAATTAATAACTGAAAAGTAAAAATATATTTTTTGACCAAAATAATAGGTTTATTCTTTTAATTAGAAAATAAGAAAAATGAATGAAAATACGAACAAGACTAATTTTGGAAATTGTTAAATAGTACTAAGTAGTTTCGCGTGATTTTGTTTTTCGAATAAGTAGATACTAATCGTTAAAACTATTAACTATAAAACAAATTTCTTGATATGTGTCTATTTACGTGGACTCGTTAGTATTTCTAAGCACATCAATTTAATAGTATAGTATTATTTTAACCAACTCAACCACCATGTTGGCATGTTACGGTGCGTGAAACGAAGAGCAAATAAGCTCAAACCCCAAACCAGAGTTTTAGTGTTTTGTCGGCCATTATCATTAATTAAAAAATAACACGAACATGTTCCGTTAATTACAATAATATCGCCAAAACTTGTTCCTCAATGGTCCCAAAGAGACTAAACTACGTTACTACAACCAATTAACCAATAACCATCCTAATAACAAATATTAATCTAGCTAAAACTTTTATTAGTTATTTTGAAATAATATAGTGTTTTCATGGATCAAGAGGTAGAGCCTTGTTGTGAACTGGCCGTCTTCTTCTAAACGTACGATAATCCATCGATAGATATTTCGATAAAGCTTTCTTCTCTTCTTCTTCTTCACTTAGTTTCTTTTCTTCACCCTTAGATTGTCCTGTGAAGTAAAAACATAAACTAGGATTAATACAAATCATCTCAATATCTCATAATCTTTTCGTTTAATTTTATACTATATTATACTTAGCTCGATAAAAACAAAATTCTCATGAAGAAGAAAGAAAAAAACATTGATTAACATTTTCTTCTGACATGGTCAAAGATTCATTTGTTAGGACTTTGTTTGACTAATAGAAGTGTGCTTAGGTCATGTGAGTTTGCTAATTACCGCGATTTCTTTTAAGGAAAAAAATTGAAGAAGAAGAAATTCTAAATAATTTATACTCCTTTTAAGAAAGTAAAGAAAGCATATCATTTCCCAAATGATTGATTTACCTGAAGAAGTAACTTGAAGTTGTTCGCTCGAACCTTCATGAACTGTTGACGTCATCACCTATTATTTGCAAAAGAGAATGTTTGATTAGAAACTTTTCATATAAATCAAACTGGAGTATCAATATGAGATAATATACAACAATCTCTTACATGTTCACTAGAGATGATCATGAGCTTTCGCGTCGCCATTTTCATAACAATCTTTTTGCTTAAACCTGTATTGTTGTAAGTAAAGTCAGTTATCAATCGGTTAATCGAACATATTTTTGTTTTTCAGAAACAAGACAACATCTAAAAAAACTCATTCTAATTTCTACCTCAAAACTTTACACTTCATATTCAAAACTTAGCGGTTTTAAGACCAAAAGAAAGTGAACTTAATTACCTTGGCTAGGAGATGAGTAGGGAGGTTTAAGTTGTAGAGAAGAAGTTGGATTCAGAAGCAATACAATGGCTAATGCACAAAGAAAGAAGATGACTCTAACTAGCTTCATATTCTTCAAAGTGATTTTAGCTATATGATAAGTTTTTTTTGTGCTATCTTTATTTTTCTTCTTCTTCTCTTCTTTTATATCAACCAAAAGGAACTAACACACATATATGTATGTATCTATCTATATACCTATCAAATTTGTATATAATATCTTAATGTGACTATGTGAGATAAGTGCACGAAACACAAAAGTGAGAGTTTCAAAAAAGGTTGAAGATACTATTTATTAAAATTATATGAATTTATTATGTCAAGGTATAGAAAAGGGGTTCACGCCATTGAGGCTCGTTCTCGGGGTTGTTTGTCTTGGGACAAACACAAGTTTGGCATCACACTTCATCAAACCCAATTTGTCGAGTCTTTGCCTTTCTGTCTATTTTTGTCTCTCTTCTCTTATATCCCACGTTCTTTATCTACCATTTTCCATTAACATTTTGTGAAAAAGTTTTTCATATATATTATATATCATCTTATTCAAGAATATAGATAGAGAGACAACCAACATATAATAATCTCTTATAGAAGCTAGAAATCCTTTACCATTCATGTATATTATAAAATCGGTTATACTATGTTGAATCTGAGACGATCACGGCCTATTGATCAGATCCTAGACGAATATCATATGGATAGTAAATTACCAAACCTAACTTGTTTATATATGTTGTAATATTTTGTTCGTGTAATTTCTTTCGATAAAGTGTTTTTTTTTTTCCCTTGAAATAGCTTAATAGTTGATGTTTTTTTTTTGTAGAAATTTCGTTTAGTTTAACCGACAAAATATTTCAAAGATTTAAGTTCAAGTTATTGACATATGGTTTAATTTATGCGTGCTTCTCTTTGCGAGTAGGTATAAACAAAGTTGTTGGGAGTATCACATCATATTTGCCAAAACTTGCCAAAAACCTTTTGCTCTTTTCTCTCACTTTATGGACATTCACACGCCTAAGTTACTTACTTAAAAGTGCTATCCAAACGGGTGAAGATGAGAACATCACTTTCTAGTTTGTTACAAAACACATTTGCTAATGGCATCATTGATCTTATCACGTCTTAAAAGGTTTCCAACTCCATGTACTAGTCAATTAACTAAGAACATGTGGTCCTAGGGTTTGTTCAAGTGAATTTTATGGGTTTTTTTAGCCAATGATCGAGTTTTACTATTCTTACAAATATCGTTTATAGTTCTTTCTTGGCATGTAATGTTTTAAATGACAAAATTACTCGATTTTTTACAGGTCTAAGAAAATAGTTTGGATTTCGGTTCAAAATCTACTCGGCTATATTAAGATGAAAAATAACTAGGCAATTACAATCAATATTTGTTTGGAGGCTTGTAGTTCAATCTGATCTAGCATTGTCAATACCAGCTCACAATTTTTATGTTTTTGAAAATAAATCAAGATCAGAATTCAGATATGCTCTGGCTTTTATAGCTAGGACTAAACCAACTAGACCGTACTAAGTAAAACCTGCATTTTATAAAACTGTACGAGGCCAATCAGCAAGATCTACTAGCTAGGATTCGAATGGGTTGGATTATTCCATCATGACATTTATAATCACAATCATCACTCTCGTGTGACCAACGTATATAACCACTAATTCAAATCTAAAATATAACTTAAATATAAAACTTGATAAAGGATCGTTATAAAATAAAATTTTATAAAAGATGTATATAAATTTAAAAGAAAAACTTAATTATAATTGATACTCTATATAAGTAAAATAGTAACAAGATTGAGACAATGATCTTGAAATCGCTGAGAGTCGAGACACATGTCTTGGAACATGGAAAAGAGGTTGACCCAAGTCGCTGAAATGTTTGACCAAATGACATTGAATTGTGGGAAATACTGGAACCTTTAAATGAAATTAAGTTAATTAACAAACTGTACTATAACAAAATGTAAGTAAGTTTTTGTAAGTAGCAAACTGAACTATAAATTAAATTATAGATTTAATGAAACATGCTGGTCCTGAGTTCTTGTATTGGTCAAGTAATTAGTTTTGTGTTCCTTATTATTAAGTTTTAGGTTCACAAATTATATGTTCATGTATGTATGTGAAATTTTGATTTCCACAGTTTAGTAGTATATATTTTTTTTTTTTTTGTATGAATGTAAAATTTATTCACCAAAAAAAAGACTGTTTTACAATAAATGCAACGTTAATCTGAAAATTCAAAACAATTGAGGAAGAGATTACAACATGAAAGAATCATCCACGTCAATGGGTACTAAACCAATATCGCAGCCCGCCTTCGAAAACGGGTGATCCAGTCAAAACCAAGGTACTTAGCCTGTTTCTCATACTCTTGTCAATCACTTTTGTTAACTGCGAGGCCGGTGTTGGAGGCTCCCCATGTCTTCTCCCATTCCGTTCTCGCCAAAGACTATGAATAGAGAGTTGAAATACATACCGCAACACAAACAAATGAATTTGTGGAGTTGTCGAGGATGTGAGGAGAGGTAGTAGAGACTCCCAGCTTGTTGTAAACCGTAGTCCAAGCATATCTCGGGTTAGAGATGACCAAACGTGAGAGGAGTAGGGACAAGAGAAGAATAGGTGGTCCCTTGTTTCTACTCTCTCTTGGCAGAGAACACATCCTCCATTTGCAGCCCTGTTCCATTGCAACAGTCTGTCTCCCGTAGCGAGGCGATTTCGAATGGCGATCCAAGCTGTGAATGAATACTTGGGTGTGGAGTGTTGGAACCATACACCCTTGTACCAGTCACATGTTGGATTTGTTTGCCGTATCGCTTGCCAAGTTTCCTGTGAGTTAAATGAGTTCTTGAAAGTACCATTACTTCTTTTCCAAAGAGAAACATCATTACCAGAATGGGAAGAAAGAAGACAGAGAGAGTCCATTTGTTCCTCAATCTGGTTCAAAGCACTTGCGCGATGTCTACGGCGACGATGCGACGAGAGAGCTGCGGCTACAGTGCAATTGGAAGAGATTCCCATGTCAATGCTACCACGGGGGCCAGTGATATCAACTAATCTCCCAAGGGAGCACCACGTATCCTGCCAGAAAGAGGTATGCATACCTGATCGGACCTCCATTTTATGTAGAGGTTTAGCCATGTCTCGATATTTCAAAATTTTCTTCCACATCCATGAACCCGCATTACTTGTGCTTAGTAGTATATTTTACCGTTGTGTTAAATACTCTATCGTTTTCATCAACCAGTCATCAAAATGATAAAGCCAGAACAATAAGATAACCAAAACGATAAAACCTTTAACACAACGGTAAAATAGACTATTTATTCATTTATATTTATTTTCTTACTAAAAATTTCAAAAACGACTAAAATCTATAAACTTTAATTAAAGACTCTAATCTCTATCGTTTTCATCATGACCAGTTATCAAAATGGTAAAACCAAGTAATAAGATAACCAAAATGATAGATAAAAAATAATCAAAAGAGTAATAACTTTAAAACAATGTAGAATTTATTTATTTTTATCATGAGCAGTTATATACTCTCTTTTTTTTTAATATCGTTTCTCTTCGTTTTCTTACATCTTTTCATTATTTCATAACCATCAATTATTTTTTACACTATTAAAAGAATTATACCGTTTTAAATTACCATTCTTTTTTTTCGTCTACTATTCATGTTTATAATTTTTAAATTCTTTTTTAATAAGATTGATTGATAACAATATTTGAGTTCTTTGAGAGGTTGATAAGAAAAAATATTAGTGGCTATTACCGACCTAATTTAGTTCTACTACTGTCATGACGCGTGGATTTAAATCCACTTGAAATACTATTTTTTGTTTTTTTTACTAATAAAAAGCCATATATACATTATTACACAGCAATTCATTTTTCTAAAACATTTTAGGGTTTTAAGAAAAAAAACCTTCACCGTCTCTGCTCCGCGACGCCGCCTTCGCTTTCTTCAAACTCCGATTTAATTCTTCTCAGGTAAGCAATCTTCTTCGATTCCCATTTCTTCGTTCTCTAAGGTTTTGTATCAATCGTAGAAAGCTTTAACCTAGATTTAATCGGAATCAATTTTGTTTCATCGAGTTTTTTTTTTGTTCGCTGTGGTGTAGAAAAATCTCTAATCCGGATTCAAATCTATAGAAAACGGTGTTGTGTTATCGAATTTGTGATCTTGTAATGATATTTCATCATTTGATTGTGTTGTTTACAGAGATATGTCAGTAATGGATGAATCAGGCATGTTTAACGTTCAACAAACCATTGGAAGTGTTTTGTGTTGCAAGTGTGGTGTTCCTATGGCACCAAACGCAGCTAACATGTGTGTGAATTGTCTTCGTTCCGAAGTCGATATCACCGAAGGTTTACAGAAGAGTATTCAGATCTTCTATTGCCCTGAATGCACTTGTTACTTACAGCCACCAAAGACTTGGATCAAATGTCAATGGGAATCTAAAGAGCTCTTGACTTTTTGTATCAAGAGGTTGAAGAATCTTAATAAGGTTAAGCTGAAGAACGCAGAATTCGTTTGGACTGAGCCTCATTCCAAGAGGATTAAGGTTAAGTTGACTGTTCAAGCTGAGGTTCTTAATGGTGCTGTTCTTGAGCAGTCTTATCCTGTTGAGTATACGGTTAGGGATAATCTGTGTGAGTCGTGTTCGAGGTTTCAGGCTAATCCTGATCAGTGGGTTGCTTCGGTTCAGCTTAGGCAGCATGTTTCGCATAGGAGGACTTTCTTTTATCTCGAACAGTTGATTCTTAGGCACGATGCTGCTTCACGTGCTATTAGAATCCAGCAGGTGGATCAGGGGATTGATTTCTTCTTTGGGAATAAAAGTCATGCTAATAGCTTTGTGGAGTTTCTGCGGAAAGTTGTCCCTATTGAATACCGTCAGGACCAGCAACTGGTGTCTCATGATGTGAAGAGCAGTTTGTACAACTATAAGTATACTTACTCTGTTAAGATCTGTCCTGTTTGCCGTGAGGATCTTGTATGCTTGCCTTCAAAAGTTGCTAGCGGCTTGGGGAACCTTGGTCCACTTGTGATTTGCACAAAAGTATCTGATAACATAACTCTACTTGATCCGAGAACTCTAAGGTGTGCCTTCTTGGACGCGAGACAGTACTGGAGGTCTGGGTTCCGATCTGCGCTCACCAGTAGACAACTTGTCAAGTACTTTGTGTTCGATGTTGAACCACCTGTTAGTGAAGCAACTGTTGGCGGGCAAAAGTACGCTCTATCCTATGTCCAGATAGCCCGTGAATCAGACATTGGTAAGATGTTTTATGTCCAAACTCATCTAGGACACATTCTGAAACCTGGGGATCAAGCTCTGGGTTATGACATCTACGGAGCCAATGTGAACGACAATGAAATGGAGAAATACCGTCTGAGTGTGAAGAATGGGCTTCCAGAAGCAATTCTGATCAAGAAATGTTACGAGGAGCAGAGAGAGAGGAAGCAGAAGAAATCCCGTAACTGGAAGCTCAAGTCGCTTCCAATGGAAATGGATGATTCAAGAGGCAGGGTTGATCCAGAGAAGACAGACAAGGAATACGAAGAGTTTTTGAGGGATCTTGAAGAAAACCCTGAGCTAAGGTTCAACATATCCTTGTACAGGGACAAGGATTATCAAGCTTCTGAGACTGCTTCAATGACAGATGGAGAAGGTGCACCGTCTGTTCCAATTGAGGAGTTGCTTGCTGACCTTGACCTAAGTGAGGAGGAAGAAGACGATGATGATGACGAGGAGGACATGGCTGAGTAACTTCTGTTTCTCCGATACTCATAAGGTTTGATCCCAAAACTTTTATATGCTTCTCTTGTGTTTCTCTTTGACCTTTAATCTTTTTTGTCCAAGTTTTGTTTTGAATGTAAGCTCAACAGTGGCTGGTCTAGCTTACTTGCTATATGTGTTGACACTTTCTGGCTATTATAATATGTTTGGAATTTTGATTTTCGATACGTATAATATTTGTGTGATTGCTTATTAATATGCCAATTTAGTCGCCAATATCAATTTCTTCAACGAATGCAAGCATCGTCTTCTCCACAACCATTTAAATCCTGTGCAACACATCTTTGTGCTCTCGTCACCGTTAATCGCATCAATCCTCCGAACTAAACCCAAAACAAATCTAAGCTGCGTAGTACAATACCACTCTAAGAATGACACCACAATGGTTACCACTTTAAGAGTTTTCCTTAAAAACCCTAATTCCATTCCTATGTCTTCATGAGAGAAATCACAAACTCATCTCCTCCATCCAAAGGCATCTAACAAGCTCTTGACAACGAAAACCGCCTTCGCAAACTCTCTCTCCTGCTCTCCATGAGATATACTCACGCAGCTCGTGCCATGTGGTTTCGTGAATGGTGAATAATAATAACTCGAAAATCTGACGGACTGATAAATAATCTCGAAAATGGTTTCAAAGATTGCTTGCTCTTGAGCAAGGCGAGAGATGAGTAATGACGAGAGTTCTTGGACCACTGCTAAATCCAAAGAGCCCTTCATTAAAAAATTTATAATAACTCATTGGTTCCAAACTCAAAAGCCCTAAACTGTTAAACCCAAAATAATAAACTACCAAAATGCCAATTACACACCAAGGCATAATAAACTATAAACCACTCACCCAAAAGAGAAAATATATTTACTTTCAGTATTCAAAAAAAGCACTCCCATTGTAAGAAAATACTGTAAACTTTCATAAATCTTTCTTCTTCTTCTTCTCCCTCTGTGCTTCAAAGTGAAAAGCTTTAGGACTAAATTCTGGAGGAGAGACATCAAGAGAATCTACAGCAGAGAAGAGTGTGTCTCCATCCTCCTTTTTGTCTTCTCTTGTCAGCTTTCGCCATTCTTACAGGACTGCTGTTCCATTCTGATTGCAATCTGCAACATAAAATCATCGAAATTCAGCAAAAAGGTTTCTCTTCTAGGTCTCAAAAAGTGATGAGATGAAGAACCAAAGCAATACATGGGGAAAGCAAAGGATCTTCCACTCGTTGTGCTTGCATCGGATCTAACAGAGAGGCTTCCAGAGTATGCAATTGGTCCTGAGTATGTTATATGACCTGAGATTGAAACTGATTCTGCTGCTGAGAAACTCGTCTCTCCAAATCTGCTTGAGGAAAGTTTATCGTCTTCGTAAGAGTTTCCCACTAAGGAATTTTGTTGATGATGATTCTCAGTTTCAGGCTTTTCAGGCTCGTTGCAAGTTTTATTTGGTTCTTGAGAGGTCGTTGTAGAAGCAGAGGGAAGCTTCTCTTCTACTGGTTTTGGCTCCTCTGTTTTCTCAAGCTCTGTTTCAATAGCTGTGGTTTCTAAGCTTCTTTTTTCTTTATCCTGCAGTCACACATTAGAAAGTTAGAAACTTTGGATTTAAAAAACCTGAAACTTCATTTGATAGTGTTGTATATTACCTGAAGCTGAGAAGGAGATTGTTCTTCATGACTATCACTGCTAATGTTACCGTGGTTGGGAGATTTTTGTTCATCTTCCCTTGATAGAATATCTCCCAAGGTTAAAGATTCCTTTGAGTCAGTTTCCGATGATATAGCCACTTCGTCCTTTGAATTCTCATCAGGTTCAATTTGAGATGGATTTAGCCCATGCGTGGGTGAAGCCTTGGCTTCCTCTGTCACAATCAAATGTTCTTGATTGTAATCGCTAGAACCTTCAGCGTCAGCAAAATCTTCTCTTGAAGATTCTTCAACATCTCGGTCTGTCTTATGATCGTTACAAAACTCAGAATCATCAACATTTGCTTCCGCAGACTTAGTTTCTGAAGGATTCACATTTGCTTTGTCTGCTTTAATCAAATCCTCTGAGCCACACTGGTTTGAGTTTGAGCTAGACTTTACAGAATCCTTCTCGCCGAATAAGAACTTCTCCTGAACAGGCACACCTTCATCGACACATATATCTTTGACGACATGGTAAGTATTCTCCTTGTAACAAACAACAATCTCAGGTAAATCACAGGCCGTAACATTCTTGTCCATATAGAAAACCGGATCCTTTTTATCAGGAGAATCCACATTAGCATCACAATCATGACTAATATCTCGGACTTTCTTTCCGGCCTCATTAGCATCTCCACAAGAATGAGGTTGCAATATCTTTCTCTCATTCTCTTTATCCCATTCGTCGCCGCTTCTTGTATCATAGAACAACTCACACACATTGTTGTTGTTCTTCCCATTTTCCGGGACCTTTAGCTCTGCATCTTCCCAGTTCTCTTCAAGACATTGATGAGGCTTAGATTCATCTTTGCAAATCTCTACCGAGTTTCCAAGCGCGTGATCATTATCTGAAAAGGGAAAGAACCACTTGAGCTACTGATTTCCATAACATTTCAAAGACCATCAAAACATCTTATAGGTACAAAGCAAAAAGTTATACCTGCTCTCATTCTTCTAAGAGAGTAAATCTTGCATAAAGAGAAGCGTTCTTCAACAAACCAGAGCTATATCTTCAAGCAACCGGCTCGAGAAACAATCTACACATCCAAGAGAAAATCTCTATCAAAGCATTTTCAAGCAGGACCCATAAGAAAGAAACAGATAACAAGAATGAAGACAAGTATAAGTAAACTTCATTCTAGAGGATAGAATCTATCCTATCTATCAGCAAATCTCAAAGTTAGATACAGAAGCAACCTCCATATGAAGAGTTGTTCAACGAAGCAATGGGCCAGGAAGATTGCGACAGAAACAAACCTTAAGGCAAAAAAATATTCTATGGATACATAACTTAACTTATGGTCAGTCACACATGTGAAAGAAAGATTCTTTATTTCTCAAGTCCAAAAACAAATCATCATGAGGTCTAAACACAGCAAAAAGATGCAATCAACCACTACAATGACCACTTTCCAACTTTATACTAATTTAAAGAAAAAGACATTTAGATAAAAGCTGTAATACCATAATAATACGCAAGAAAATTTTCAAAACAATGCTTAATCTAGATTACTTGTAACAATTGTAAGAATGATTTGTTTGCAAATTTTCAATCATGGTTACACAAATGTGGCAAAGTTTTTATCTCTTAAGCAAAAAATGAAGAATCTGTAGCACTACTGTCATAAGAAAGAAGACAAAAAAGAAGAAAGCTTTAAACTTTTTTTTTCTCACAAAAGCTTACACAGCTGCAATGCAATCAAATCAATCATATGTTTTTATCAAATAAAAATATTGGATAAGAACATCAATAAACAATTGGAATTTGCAGAGAAAGAAGAATCTAGAACAGGTTAAAAACACAGAATTGGATCTAGTGACAACAAAATAAACTAATAAAAACAAAAATCAAAACTAGGGTATAATATAAACAGATCTCATAAAACATGAATCAAAAGGTCAAGACTTTAAGAAGAATCTTATCATAAAACAGTGAAGAACCTTACTTTGATCACAGTAGATAACACAGACTAAAACCTTCTTCCTCCATTAACAAAGAGATCAAAAAACCCTAAGAGAAAAATCAAAACTTTGAGAAGAAAAAGGCAGATACTTTTTGGCTGTTAATAAAAACAAATCTCGAAAACATGTAAAAAGGATGTTCAAAGGTCAATTAAAAATCACTATCTCTGCAATAAATATGAACACAGAGAAGAGAGAAAGAGATAAAAAAACCAATCTCTTTCTTCTTTAAATGCTCTCTCCTTTGGTTTTCGCATTTAATTTACCAAACCAAACCACATAATAATAAAAATTCCTCAGCCATGGAAATCAACATTTAATGCCACCATTTTAATTACAGAAAATTAAGCAAATATAGAAACTTTTTTTTTTCTCGGAAAAAAGATTTAAACTTTCATGAATCATTCAAATAAAGTATGAAAATTTTCACTTACCAATAACTCTAAAATCTCTTCACTTTCCTGGGAAAATCTGAAACTCTCTTCATAATCATGAGTGAAGTGAAAAGATTGAAACTTTTTGTTTTTTTTTTTTTCTCAAAGATGGGATTTTTTGTTTTGATTTTCCCGGAAAATAAAGAGGCGATTCAAAAGCTGAGAGCTTTGGAGAAATCGGATCAGAGAGAGTATTTTTCTCTTGTGGATTTGACTTTTTATTTTGGGAGGATTCAGATTATTAAAAAAAAAAAGTTTTGGGGATTTATAAAGAAAACAAATAAAAAGTCAACTATCTGCCAAAAGAATTTGAGCGAGGCGGTTTATATTTTGTCTCTTCTTCTCCATTTTTTATTTCTCTATCTAAAAAAAAAAAAACTTCAAGTAGTGTTTAATTTTTCTTTAATAGTACAATGAAATTCCTAAGTTTATTATTTAAAATTTTAATTTGTGAAAAATTTATATTATGATGAGTTTTTTAGTCCTAATGAGAACGTTTGTACAATTTGCTGATTTCTTAAAAAAGTTTCATTACTTTAATTTTTAATTTATTAAAGTAGTTAGTGGTTCATATAGTATCCATGAAAATGATATAGACGTGAGTTCTAAGTCACACCAATCTTTAGTTTCATAAATTTCTTGTTGCCAAAATTGCCACAAACAATTTGTTATGATTATGTAGATATGTATATATTTGATATGGTACAAAAGTAAAGCTAACAAAATTTAAATAGTAGCATAATAAAACTATAGATTAAGCTACATAAACAAGATTTGAGTGATTTTTTTGGCTGTAGATTATCTTTGTTACGGTGCGTAGTGTTACACTCGATAAACTAATTTCGTATTTTATTAACCATTGTTTAGGGATCGGGAAAAAGATGATTCTCGAAGTAAAACAACCATAGTACAAGTGACACGTATGAACCAAATATTACCTGTGCAGCTGCTAAACTAATGAAATAAAAAAGCTTACTTCGTCGTGTTATGTCAAAATAATAAAATTAAATATTGAAAATATATTAAAAAAAGGTTTAGTTGGGTACGTGCAGGTGTATAGTATTAATATAGTCCAAAGGTAATGAGTACCGTAGGATCTCTGCGTGTGCCAGCGAGTTTATTAACTGTTTCCTACTAATCGACGGCTATGTTTCGTTGGCTATGTTGGCCCTACGTTTCAATCTTAGTATACCTATAATTATATTTTTGATGTATCTACATTGCCAACATTTTCTTAGTTTAATACAAGTTGATTTCTTAATTCTTATGGTTCCATTTCTTGTGTGTGATATCATTTATGTAATATAGTCTATACTTTGTATATTTTGTTTTCTTTTTGATATCCAATATTTACATAAAATTTCGAAATATGAATTTCTGTCATTCAAAAATCTATTATTTCACATTGAAGATGTTAAATAGTTTGAGTAATTAATGTTATTTTATGAAATGCGACAAAAAATATAGAATTTAATAGTTTATTAAGTTGTGTTTAATACTAGAATACAAGATACATATGTATAGCGACAACGTTAACAAAATGATAACACCAAGTAAACTTTTTCAAACACACAAAGTAAATATGCTAAGATAGTATATTGAGAACTAGAATTCTTCTTTCAAATTCATGGGATTCATTTCATAAATGGGTTTTCATAGCCCAAAGTATTTAGGCATTTGGTTTGCAAGATATACATTTCGTTTACCAAGTTATCTCCAAGAAAAAGTTTTCAAATATATTGGATGAAGATATAAAATACTATTTGTTAGGGTTATTGAAATATGAATGCTTTTCCTCTAAAAATACATTACCTATACTATTAATTGGGTAGGTTTTGAATATCAAGAAAATAAACATGGCAATGTTAATTAGTACATAGGTGCATGCATTAGATAATGTCATGTAATTTTTTCCTATAAAATGCGCAGTAGTCACGTTATTTTCAATTCCCCAGATTATACGACGTGATTTAGTTTTCTAACTAACCGGAATGCAATATAAAGTTCTTTGGAATGGATGATTTATAAGTTCTTATTTCAAGCACATAGTTCAAAATATAAATTATAAGAAAACTATATGAAATATCATGATACTATTGAACCACAAACAAAGTACCAAAATGGTTCTTTATCTGATTTTCACATCCCCAAATCATAATTTCTCCCCCTCTTCGAGGAAACGAAGCAAAAGAAAAAGCACTAACAAAAGTGCGAAAATGACCAATTCATAATTGATATAGTGATCAATTGACTTACTTGAATAAAATGTTAATGTATCTCCTTGGTCTAAATTTTCAATAATTAGCTAAATAAACTAATTTTGAAATTGTAATTAGTGAATCTTCGGACAAAGTTAGAAACCATCAAACTCAAAAGGAATTTCCTATCCAAAACTTCAGTAAAGTCAACTATGCCACTGACTAATAGAGAGATAAAAGTGACAAATTTGAAATTCTCAAAAGTCTCTCAACAATTGAAAAGAGACAAAAACAAAAACAAAAACTCAACTTGTGTTTTATTCTACATTTCTCCAGTTTTGTCTTTCATGTTTTATTCTTCTTCTATCTAAATCTGAAAGTGAAACTTTTACAGATGAATTTCAATCTCAACTTAGTTGTAATAGTTGAAAATAATCTAAACCCATCATCAAATGATAGATTCTGAATCAATAAACATGTTTTAGGGTCTCACAGTTCATGTGAAATCGTTTGGCTTCCCAACATCGATGCTCTCTTCTGCCAAGAATTCTGTAATGGCCTTCTTTTGCCATCCTTTGAAGCTCCTGCAATAAAGAAAAACAAACCCCGTTACTCGTTATCCAATGCGAGGATCAAGAAAGTAAACAATATCAAGAGAGGAAGTTATAGAGTTTACTTGTGGTCAAGATGAGCCAAGATTTCGCCTCCTGGGAATGCTGCTTTAGTAGCTTCAAATGCTGCCTTAATAGACTGTCTCCAATTTCCACCAATGTAATTCTCTCCAGGCGTTGTTTTGGTTTGAGTTGGATCTTCCATCGGTAATGAGTATCCAGAAAGTAAATGGCCTACCCAAATATCGTCTTTCCTGATGAATGCAGAATCAAACAATGAGATAAAGAACGGATTCAATGTTGTGCTCGCACGAAGCAGAGTTCTTGACAACTTACAAAACTTCATCCATGTGACGAGGAGCATAGTGTCCACCTCCAATCCCTAAAAGAACTTTCCTCTTTCCGTTTTCACTGTCCACCAAAAACGATCCACATTAATTTAGAATGATACTACTTTTCTTCTTTTTGTCGAGGTAATGGTCAAGTTACCATAGATATACCTGTTCCAGTTCCCCACGGCTTCATCGCCTCCTAGCCCAAGTCCTTCCCACATTAACTGAAATCACAAAACACAAATGCCTTTTACTAAATGGAAGCAAGATTATAAATATTGACAAGCAATTTTACATATCTTCATGAGGAATTGATATAAGACTAAATGCTACTGGCCAGTCATGAGCCTCGAAAGTTGTTGTTAATCAGTCATGGTGATCGGAAGCAAATTTTATACCCCAAAAAGTCTTTAAATCCACATGAAGCAACAAGAAACAAGAACAACGACCTTCTTCTACCTCCTAAAAGAAACCATTTAAAGTAACAAACTTTTTTCACTTACAAGAGCCATGACTTGAGCCGCATCATCTCTCTTCCAGTATTCCTCTGTACTACCTACATATACACAATAAGCAATGGTTAACTAGAGCTCAGAATTGTCGACCCACACACGATAAACATTCTTAGAGATCAATGATGACTATAAATTCATATAACCATCAAAATGTAATACCAACTCTTTAAGAAATTCGAATACACGACAAAATGGCAATTTCAAGAGAGCAGAGATCTTTTCAATACAGATAAAAAGTTCAAAGAAAGAAACTCACCAATCTCCAAAAACATCGTTGGCTTGTTAGTTATTGGTCCATGATGAGTAGCTTCCAATGTTATCTACATCCACACAAAGAAATTTACATTCTCAACTTAAACCAAACTTCAATTCCAATCAAAAGCAAAACTCATGAGTGAGAGACTAAACAACAAATACCTCAAACTCAGGAACTAAACCATGAGCTTCAGCCATTTTCTTCAAAAGTCGAAACCATGGTCCAATTCTAGGGTTTGGCAACGCCGCCCATCCTGGCTTTCCTCCTTGCGGCGGCGATTCTCCATCCTTTAGATGAAGCACTCCTACACTTGTCAACCAAAACATCTTTCAGAAAATCATAAAACAAACAAAACCCAAATACAAAGTTTAAATCTTTTGCGTTTACCAATCGGATGAACAGTTAAAGCAGGACGATTAGAGACGGCGGTGTGACGGCTGAGGAAGATGACTTCATCAATAACTTCACCGGTAGCTTCTTCCCAACGTAAATCAAGATCGTCTTCTTTAACAATAGATCTATCGTGTTGAATCACTCTCGTTTGCTTGTTACTAAAACTCTTTATGTCCTGTAAATTTCGAGAAGAAGACAATCAGACGAAAGAAAGGTTGATACTTTACCGGCGGAGAAAGATTGAAACTTTACCGGCGGTAAGATGGGTCCGGCGATCCAACCGGGCATGGCGAGAAGCGCCGCTGCAGGATTGATCGACGCTGGATCGGAGGTGGTGGCTACGATCAGTGTCACCATTTTTCGATTCGTTACTGTAACGCGAAAATTGGCGTTTAGAAGCGATTTGATAGGAGTTGCGTTTGCTTTGAATCTATTGTTGTGCGTGTGGAGGAAGCGTATAGCGTTTCGGCTGTTTATTTTCAAAATCATGAATACTTTTTAGCTTTGAACTTTTTGGAAAGTGTTTGAAAAAAGATTTTATTTTGTTTGGTCGACAAGCTAAGCTATTTACCGAGTTCGATTGGTAATCAAGTTTAAACAGTGTGCCTAATTTTTTTTAGCTGTTATAAAAAGAGAAATTCTTCAAAATAGCACTAATTTCAAATTTTATGGATAATTAAAGCACACACTCCATAAACTTTCAAAAATAGCACTAGTTGATTAACTATAAAATTTTAGTTCTAAAATTATTACCATTAGTTTATTTTTTTCCAATAATATCACAATTTCTATATAAAAACTATATAAAAAATAAATTAGAAATAAATTTAAAATATTATATTTGGGTTTTTTATTTATAATTTAGGGTATATATTTCTACCATTTAAAAGAGTTATTGATTCATTTTAATATGAATTTGTGTTATTATGTTTGGGTTCATTAATTCCAATTTAGGGTATATATTTCAACCATTTAAAAGAGATTTTGATTCATTTTAATATTAGTTTGTGGGATTATATTTGGATTCCCTATTTTCAATTTAGGGTATATATTTCCACCATTTAAAAGAAATTTTGATTCAATATTAGATTAGTGTTTGCTCTTATTTTCTATTTAAATTAAAGTTTAGGATGCTATTTGTAGAATTTTAAAAATGTTATGCTAATTTTGGAAGAAAAAAAACTTTTTTTGGGCTATTTTTGTCAATTGTCCTATAAAAAACCACTATTCGATCATATTACGTTTGAACATTAATTCGTTAATCTTGTGTAGGGATATATACTGAATCAAATTGAATGCAATTAATATGAAGGAACGAGAGAACCATGACCATATACCTTGTTGGAATGATACATATAATGTTTATTCATCCCTTTTTCACATGAACATTTTAGAAAATAAATTATTCTATATTATTTATTACCTTATTACAAATTTTGTTTTACATATAGAATAAATTTTGATTGTTCGAACAAAATAAATTGATGCATTTTTGGTGAAATTGATGGTGAAATCAGTGATATAGAAACCAAAATAAAAGCTTATATGTCTAAAAGACAACCCTTTTTTTTTTTTTTTTTTTTAGTCTACAAGACAAACAAATACAGTACATAGTTTAATGTTTGCTTGCTTAATAGATAGCTTTTGATTGTTTCTGAGATTCGTAAGATTTAGTATGATAAGATTCATGACTCATAATGTATCCTATGAAATTTTATAACATTATTGGTTTTTTTTTTGTCTTGTCAAACTACATAAATGTATATAAACCTGAAATAATATAAAATTATCTTACAACTAATCTTCGATTAACCGAGTAATCGTTAGGTCCACCTCGATTAACGCCTAACGATATTTTGAACATGGGAAAAGACTAATCATATCTACATGGATTAGCTTTTAAACATGAAATCAACAATTACTAAACTTTCATATATCATTATGAAATCAAATTAGCATTAAACTCAAATCTAGTTATTTCAAAATACTTGCTAACATCAATTCTCAATGACTAGAAGAGTGTTGGTCATTTCAAACGGATCCATGCATTTTATTGAACAATTTTTGTGCATAAAATAATCTCGGTTCTAGAACTAGGTGATCAAGGTAAAAACAAATAAATTAATCAATTTTACTTAGCTTTAACTAAACACACGATTCACAAAACCCATCAATCCCCAACTAAGTGACTATTCACTCATAGACAAAGAACATACACAAATATATGAAAGAACACATGATTCAACTGACATGTAAAAGAAAATTGTTTTATAAATCTTTTGATTTATCAACCTCTATCATTGAGTATTTGATATTAACGTGACAAATTGGATATGCTTTTCCAACAGTTTTGGCCTCCTTAAACAAATTTTGAGCTTATAAAAAATGTAATGATAGTCAGAAATTACAATATTTTGACTTCAATATGTATGAATAATATTGTTAAACTAATAAAAACTTGCATAAGAGATGTTGTTGTGACCATGTCAAAATCTCGAGATGTTCGATGCATAAGCAGATCTCTTACACAGCTACCAACTAAGTAACTCTCAAACCCTAAATAATAATGAAAACCATTAGGACTGTTACCGATAGTTAGTAAAACTGTAAGAAAATAGAATTATAGAAACTGACTTTTCTATTTTAGAGTTCTTAATACAACCCAGCAGGAGGTTGGAATCATGGAACCTTTAATCCCAGCAGCTTTCGCATCTACTATATCTCTCAAAAAGACAATATCCCTTTTGTCATCTAATTTAATCTTTTCAAAGACCATCTCAGTTTTGTCATTAGAAATCTTAGTTTGTTATAGAATTTAATCATGCAAGAGCTTCTCTTTTGGTTTTCGCAAATCCAACAAGAAACTTGTTTCTCGCCTTTGTTCATGGCTTCCAACAATTCATGTCTTTGTCCAACTTGTTTCAAACAGGCGAAGACAAACTTATGCGTTGGATAGATTCAATAAAACCACATCCCAAGAACTCAGCGATTCTTTTCATCTCAACTCCGGTTTGCTTCTTGAGCTCTTCGTAAGTAACAAAGAAGACATTTTCGGGATTTTCGCGGCTCGCGTATCAATACTCCAATATATGATCGCAAAAATCCACCAATAAACTTCCCTTCACAACGTTTTTTATTGGATCCAGTTCAAACATCTTTTTCTATTCAAGCGTTTTTGATCATTTTTGCTTAAACACACATCATTAGTAGCAAATAAAACAGTTCAATTATACTCGTAACGGTTGTTTATTATTAACTAACCATTCTAATTGTAGTATATCCCAATCAAAACCATGAAAAAAAAAAGAATCAATCAATTTGCAATTTAGAAAACAAGAATCACGTGTTTCCTGAAAAAAAATAAAACAAAAAAATCGCATAATTGATAAAAATAAAATATATTTTATAAGGATGGTGCTGCCCAGGATCGAACTGGAGACCTTTTGCGTGTAAGGCAAACGTGATAACCACTACACCACAGCACCTGATGTTTTCTTTGTCTCGTTTATAATTTATATTACACAATAATTCATCACGAATAACCTCTTGGGCTTCGAGCGAGCATCGGAGAAAGCAGACAGATGTTGAGTTGTTCTTCATCGGCGTTCCAAAGAGTAGCCTTTATGCTAATGGCTCCCAAATTAAAACCTCAGAGACTCCATCAAAGTATGTAATCATGATTTGAGTAGTCTATTTAGTGTTGATTTCGTGACGAGGGTTTTGGTCTTTGTGTAGTTGCAGAGACTGGTGTAGAACAATTGGTTAAGAAAGCTAGGACGATGAGTACTGAATCCTCCATGAAAGATGCTTTCTCTACTTACGCTGATTATCTCAATAACTTCGTAAGTGTTCTTTTTTTTTCCCTCTGTTCGATGTTTTCTAGGTTTATATTGTTATAAAGATTGAACCTTTCCTCATGGGATTGAGTTCTGTAAGTAAGCAACTAAAGAAATGATTTTCAATTGCAACTTTGATTCTTTTGTTATTTAGTCAAGAGTGGGTTATGTATAAAGGAGAAAGCTTTATCTTGTTGTCTTAAGATTGTTATGTTATTGTAGAATGAGAAGAGGGAAAGAGTTGTGAAGGCAAGTCGTGATATCACAATGAACAGTAAAAAAGTTATCTTTCAGGTTCACAGGTAACATCAAAACCTCTGTTGTTTTTGTTTGTGTTCATTAAGATTGTGTGTGTTTGTTGTGTTCATCAATATTCTGTTTGATTGTATGGTTTACAATTTTGTTGTGTGGCAGGCTTAGTAAAGACAACAAAGAGGAGGTTTTGGAGAAAGCAGGGAAGGATTTAGAAGCAGTGAGGGATCAACATTTTGCCCGGCTAATGAGAGAACTTCAAGGGACTGATTTTTGGAAGTTGAGACGAGCTTATTCCCCAGGGGTTCGTGAAAAGATAAATCATTCATCTTCGGTACCATTTATGGTTAACGGTTTTTAACTGATATGTTTTGTGTTTTTTGTGTAATTTACAGGTGCAGGAATATGTTGAGGCTGCAACGTTTTATAAGTTCTGTTTGTCTGGGACTCTATGTACTCTCGATGAGATTAACACAACGCTTGTACCACTTAGTGACCCTTCTTTAGAGCCGTTGCAGATCAATATCCTTGACTATATTCTTGGGGTCTATAGTCTCTCTTGATTTATGGTTACTGTTAAAAGATTTTCGCATTCTTTGGATTTCTACATTGTGTTTGATTTTTGGTATTTACTTGCACAGCTTGCGGATCTGACTGGAGAGCTAATGCGAATGGCAATTGGTCGCATATCAGATGGTGAAATCGAATTCGCGCAGAGGATTTGCCAGTTTGTTCGACAGATTCATAGGGAACTTATGCTAGTTGTGCCAAAGATGGATGACAGTTACGACATGAAATCCAAGATGGAAGTGATGCTTCAAAGTGTGATCAAAATAGAGAACGGTATTGCACAAATTTCATATCCGCACACTATTAGATACCAACCAATACGTTTTGTAACTCTTTTTATTGCTTGTTTATTAGCTTGCTTTAGCGTCCACGTGAGAGGATCAGAGTATATTCCGCTGCTTGGAGATGATGCGCCAACATCGTACCTATTGGGAGCTGCTGATGTCGAGTGATTAAAAGTGAGTGGTCTTTTCCGTCTCTCAGACACATTTCTAGGTTCGTGTGTTTGCGACAAGTAGGATCATTTTAGTATGCACTATCTTCAGAGAATTTTAGCCACTTCTTGCTTCTGAGGAACTTTAAATCTCTATGCTGCAAGACTTTTAAGAAACGAATGGTTAGAGCAAGTTGTAGAACTTATCTGTTTTTGAGTGGAAGCTTTTTATTAATAGATTACATTTGGAGCTAAAGTCTACAGAATCTAGCAATTACTTTATTATTCAAGTTAATAAGTTTTCTTCACTTTTTCTCAATCTTTCGTAATCCAGAAAGTACATTTTTTGGTTCTTGTTGTTTGTTTGTGCTTAATGAGGAAGGATATATAGATTCTTATCTACATATAATGCATCTTATTATAGTTCGACATTTGGTACTTTTATATAGGATTTTGACATTTGTTATAAATTTATATCTATCACTCATAGAAATAGTTTTATTTTGAAATCATAAATTATTCTTTTGGAAAGAAAATGATAAAAATAGAGAAAAATCAAGTAAAAAAGTCTCACATTTTAAGATGTTCATAATTTAGTTATATATAGAGTTATGTGCAAGCAACACTACAATCTATGTGATATGATTATTGGTTTTTGGTGTTTTTCCTTTTTAAATTAGGTTTGATTGTTTTCTTTTTTATTTTTAAGATTTCATGGCCTATATAAAGGGTTTTTATGCTAATGAAAACACAACTTCCAACAATTAAGCTAATTAATTCTCTAAGAGTGACTTAGAGTTAAGAGGAAGCTTGCTTTAAATCTCTTTGTTCTTAAGCTTAAGCTATTCTATAACAGAGGGTCCATTAACAAGAGCAAGAGCAAAAGCTTTGGCTCATATAATCACTATGACAAAATCCGAAACCACTCTTTCGAAGTTATTGGTAGAATCTGAATTTTACCAAGAATGTAAGGAGTTGCTGTCTTCTCTTCCTAGAGACAGAAGCTTTTATGCAGAGTATCTCTATCAATACCAAGGCTTTTGGTACCCACCAAATCTCTTAGAAGGTGTTCTATACAGCCAGAAGCATTTTCAGGCCAGAGATTCAGACATCATCCTTGTAAGCAGTCCTAAATCAGGTACAACTTGGTTGAAATCACTCGTCTTTGCTCTGATTCATAGACAGGAATTCCAAACCCCTCTAGAATCACATCCTCTGCTCGATAACAACCCGCATACTCTCGTGACCTTTATCGAAGGTTTCCAGTTTCACACTCAAGATACTTCTCCTAGTATCTTCTCTACACACATTCCTCTAGGGTCACTCCCAGAGTCTGTTAAGGACTCGTCCTGTAAAGTTGTGTATTGCTGCAGGAACCCAAAGGACGCTTTTGTCTCACTTTGGCATTTCGTGAAACGTTTGACTCTCAAGGAGATGGTTGGATGCACAATGGAGGAAATGGTGAGTGGTTTTTGCAGAGGGTCAAGTGTTTATGGACCGTTTTGGGATCATGCATTAGAGTACTGGAAAGAAAGCCGAGAAAACCCGAAAAAGGTTATGTTTGTTATGTATGAAGAGATGAGAGAGCAGCCTCAGAATTCGGTGATACGGATCGCTGAGTTCTTGGGATGGCCATTCACAGAGGAAGAGATAGAGAATGGAGTTCTGGAAGATATCGTAAAGCTGTGTAGTCTTGAGAATCTGAGTAAATTGGAGGTTAATGAGAAGGGTAAGTTAGTGAATGGAATGGAGACTAAGGCATTTTTTAGGAAAGGAGAGATTGGTGGATGGAGAGATACTTTAACTCCTTTATTAGCAGAGGAAATTGATAAAACCACTGAGCAGAAACTAATTGGTTCTGATTTTAGATTCTTTTGCTAAGAACCTGCTTTGATAAATCTTATTTTTCAATTTCTTGAGTTTTTTTTTTTTTTTTTTTTAAGTTGGTTTAATATGCATTATTACAAGTAAGGTTGTTGACTTCTTGTGATGGACCAAACTGGTCTGTTGACGAATAAAACTATTATTATCTTTGATTTTTAGACATTAGAGTCGTGATTCTCCTTCTGTCTTGTCTTGTTTTGTTATCTTTTGATATTATTCTACGTGCTCTTCAAGTAAAGGATGTGTTGACCATTCCACCCAAAATAATATCTTAGAAGCAAAAGAGAAATTGGAAGTTTTTGTGCTATTTAATTTACTTGTAGAACAAACTTCTCATACATATATAAAAGCACACAAGCATTTACCCTCATAGATGCAATAAGAGCTTAAGCAAAAGATCTCACACTTTCAATATATTTCAAGGTTGATCTATAACTCTTTAACAATGTCATCATCATCGGTTCCTGATTACTTGAGAGATGAAGATGTGACACAAGAAACAAGAGATCTGATCTCTTCTCTTCCAAAAGAGAAAGGTTGGTTAGTGAGTGAAATTTATCAATTTCAAGGACGTTGGCACACACAAGCTCTGTTACAAGGAATCTTGATCTGCCAAAAACGCTTTGAAGCTAAAGATTCTGACATTGTCCTTGTCACTAATCCTAAATCAGGTACCACTTGGTTAAAAGCTCTTGTCTTTGCTCTCCTCAACCGACACAAGTTTCCGGTTTCTTCTTCTGGTAATCATCCTCTTTTGGTGACCAATCCACACCTTCTTGTGCCCTTCTTGGAGGGAGTTTACTACGAATCCCCAAATTTCGATTTCACTGGGTTGCCTTCTCCAAGACTGATGAACACACACATATCGCATCTTTCGCTGCCCGAGTCCGTTAAGAGCTCGTCTTGTAAGATTGTGTATTGTTGTAGGAACCCTAAGGACATGTTTGTGTCCTTATGGCATTTTGGGAAGAAGCTAGCCCCTGAGGAAACCGCGGATTATCCTATCGAAAAAGCGGTTGAAGCGTTTTGTGAAGGGAAGTTAATAGGTGGGCCTTTTTGGGATCATATATTGGAGTATTGGTATGCAAGCCGTGAGAATCCAAACAAGGTCTTGTTTGTTACTTATGAGGAGCTTAAGAAGCAAACCGAAGTTGAGATGAAGCGGATTGCGGAGTTCTTGGGATGTGGTTTTCTTGAAGAAGAAGAAGTGAGAGAGATTGTCAAGTTGTGTAGCTTTGAGAGTCTAAGTAATTTGGAAGTTAACAAGGAAGGGAAATTGCCAAATGGAATGGAGACTAAAACTTTCTTTAGAAAAGGAGAAATTGGAGGATGGAGAGATACTTTGAGTAAGTCCTTGGCAGAAGAAATTGATAGAACCATTGAAGAGAAGTTTCAAGGTTCTGGTCTAAAATTCTCTTCTTGAATCAATCTTTGAAACTTGTTCTTATGTTTTTGTTTTGCTTCAATTATGTTTTCTTCAATCTTGCGAGTTTTTGTTTTTTTTTGTTTTCTTTCTGTTGGTGTTATTGTCTGAATAAAATGAATCAATCTTTATCATTTTGTTTATTTCAAAGAGAGAGTCACTTCCTTTGGACATTTCCAAGAAAAGTCTATCCAAGATAAGATTTCTTATCTTAACATTAAAAATAAATGTGGCTTATCCACTCATGAACAATTGTTCAAAGCATAAAAAAAAACTCTTTTATCTTCACCTTTTTCACTATCCTCTCTTAATTTGTGTTCCAAATTATTACAATGGAGGCTTCTGAAGAACCTGACCTTCCAAACTACATGAAAGACGACAACGTTAGTCAAGAAACCAAGAACTTGATCGCTTCTCTACCTTCAGACAAAGATTTCATGGGTTATGGTCTCTACAACTACAAAGGTTGTTGGTACTATCCAAACACACTCCAAGCCGTTCTTGACGTCCAAAAACACTTCAAGCCACGAGATACCGATATAATCCTCGCTTCTTTGCCCAAAGGTGGAACCACTTGGCTCAAATCCCTTGTTTTCGCCGTTTTACATAGAGATAAATACCGCGAAAACCCCCAAACCCATCCTCTGCTTTCACAAAACCCTCATGACCTTGTCCCATTTCTTGAGATTGAGTTATACGCTAATAGCCAAATTCCGGATCTCACAAAGTTTCCTTCTCCTATGATCTTTTCTACACACATGCACTTACAAGCATTGCGTGAAGCCACTACAAAAGCTTCTTCACCTTGCAAAATCGTGTATGTGTGTAGAGGTATCAAAGATACGTTTGTCTCCGGCTGGCATTATAGAAACATGTTGCATCGCACCAAGATGGATCAAGCCACTTTTGAGCTCATGTTTGATGCTTATTGTAGAGGAGTTCTCTTATATGGACCCTATTGGGAACATGTATTGAGCTATTGGAAAGGGAGCTTGGAATATAAGGAGAATGTTCTTTTCATGAAGTATGAGGAGATAATCGAGGAGCCTCGTATTCAAGTGAAGAGACTCGCCGAGTTCTTGAATTGTCCATTCACCGCGGAAGAAGAAGAATGTGGATCGGTGGAGGAGATCTTAAAGTTGTGTAGTCTACGAAATTTAAGCAATTTGGAGGTTAATAAGAAGGGGACAACGAGAATTGGTCTAGATTCTCAGATATTTTTTAGGAAAGGTGAAGTCGGTGATTGGAAGAATCATCTTACGCCTCAAATGGCGAAAACCGTTGATGAGATTATTGAATGTAGACTGCGAGGTTCCGGTTTGATATTTCAATAAGGTTGTGTTGTGTTCTTAGCTTTGAAATTCCATGTTTCTTCTTTTATGAACTTTGTTGAGTAGGTTTCGCTCAAATAATGTTGTGTACTAATCATTTACGTACATTTAAGAACATTAAAACCAAATCATTTATAAGTTAGAAACTATATTGTGGGCTTTTTGAAGTCTTTTTGGGCCTAACAACTGCTAGTAGCCTAGTAATCTTCGTTTTAGTCGAAATATCATAGATATCATATCATTGCTTTTTGAGTGTCCTAGCTAATTTATTTTCCCGATTTTAAATTTAGTTTTTGTTGTTTATAAAGATCAATTACTTTTTTATAAATATATTAATACGGCCATATAGAGTCCAAGTTATCGGATAATTTTATTAATTTATCTTCATAAAATATTATGATTTTTAGAAGCCCGAATTCTTAGTTGAAGTTTATTTGTTTTGTTTTTTTTTTAATAAAGAAACCTATATCCTTGTTTGTCTGTTTTTAAAAGTGTTTATGAAATCTATTGAACAAGTGTATTAGTCAAATAATTAACGGTTTATCTCTACGACTATTTTCACCGGAGTTGGACTCCAACAAATCACGTTACTTCACATAATAAAGTTTGGATTATGGGTCTAGGTTAGTCGACCAATATACTCTATCCTAATGGTATTAAAAAAGGGTTTTGTGCAAAAAAAACCCTCGAAGTAGCCAATTTTTGCAAGAAAACCCTCCATCTCAAATAAATGCAAGTCAATACCACCATCTCAAAAGTCACCCGCAATATAGCTTCGCGTGTATCGATGACGTGGCAGCCGTTAACTCCGTTCCAAAACGTCACGACGAGTGAACTTTTGTGCAAAAAAACCCTCAAAAGTAGTCAAGTTTTGCAAGAAAACCCTCAAAGTAGCCAAATTTTGTGCAATAAAACCCTCAAAGTAGCCAAGGTTTGTTTTGAAAAAGCGACTGTTGGAGAATTCGATTGTACAGGGAAGCAAAGGAAACAATATGGTAATAATCGATTTTGATATCTTCTTAAATTTCTGATCATTGGCTCAGAGCCTCGACAAAACATATATTACTTCTCTAAAAATCATAGCTAACTCTTGCGTATATTTCGTATTCTCGTTCACTCGAATTCCATCTCTGTAATCACAGAAGCACGATTATCGTTAATAAGAGAAATATCTCCGTTCGCTCCCAAAAACTCGTACTTATTTATTATTGCAACTTCGGTACGAACAATAGGGTGGATAGATTTACATACAACAATTTTTATTTTTGGGTATTATAGGTAAACCCAAATCCGTACCCGAATTTTAAAATACCCGAAAGGGTTTTTTTTTGCAAAAATTGGTTTAATGAAGGGTTTTTTTGCAATTTGGCTACTTCGAGGGTTTTTTTGCACAAAACCCACTGACGGAGTTAACGGCTGCCACGTCATCGATACACGCGAGGGCTATATTGCGGGTGACTTTTGAGATGGCGGTATTGACTTGCATTTATTTGAGATGAAGGGTTTTCTTGCAAAAATTGGCTACTTCGAGGGTTTTTTTGCACAAAACCCTATTTAAAAAATAGAAGTAAAAGAACAATTTTTTTTTGAAAAATTTTAATATATAGCGAACCAACAATTAAGTTTGAAACTTCTTCTATTATTGAGATCCTGCAGACATAAATCTGATGTGGCGATAGAATCAGCATCTAGTCAGGATGATGACATTTTGTGTACCACATGTATATGGCCGCTTTTAGTTTAAGTTATTTTATTCTTCTTTTTTGTTCAAAAAAAATATTTTATCGTTTTCCTAATTAAAACCTTAAAAATATATTGCCGACGGAACTAATTAAATCGTCGGAAACAAAGTTGACAGAACACAAGTGTTCTCCAGAGAGAGTAAGCTCTAAGAGAATAACATAGGAAGTCATAAATAAATACAAAAAGAACTAAAAATTATAAGAGATCGAAAACCCATACCCTAAAGTAGACCAACGACCAACTTAAACCCGAAACTACGCAAATGAACTAAGACCTATAAGCATTATAATTTCCAGAGATCTCTACACTCGAATAAACTGAAAAATATAAAATTTGTGATCGAACGATAAAAGAATCCTTCGGAAGGGATGAAAAACTATCTCTATAATTCTGAAAATTTAGGGTTCATAACTTGGCAAGGAGAAAACAAAGGTTGGGGTCACTTGCTTTAATTTCTAGTGATTTTTTTTTTCTTCATCCCCAAATATTCATTATAAAAAATTATTTTGTTCTATTTGTCACCTTTTTGCATAGCTAATGATAATATTAAAAGAACAAAATTTGGGGAGCGGTTCTAAAAAGAATTTTAGTATTAAATCTTTAGCAACGTCAGTATTTTGCATAATTTTATCCGGCGTAGGTATTAGAAAATTTTGTAAGTAATTACTTAAAGTTAAAGCTAACGAAATGTTTGGTCTATATTCTATTGAACATTCGTGGAAAACATGTTTGTTGGCTGATTTTATGGGGCCACGGCTGGAGAAGATTCGTGGATTATACATCCATCATATTTTACTTTATAAACAAGTTAATGGGAATAATATAAATGGTCCAGCTAGATGTGGTGAACAATAATTATAGTGGTTTGGATGGATATTGACGATTCAACTATATACTTTTAAACATTATAACAAAAAAAAAACTTTTAAACACTGTAAAATTTTAATTTTAGAAAGGAAAATCACTTTTGATACATAACTCATACTTAAGAATTAAATCATACAAATAGTTAAATATGTATATAGCATCTGAAATTTTTGGCGACAAAGTTTGCTATGAGTATTAGTATACTATTTACACATTATTAGTTTTTCTATGCCAATACATGAACACGGCATGTTATTAATGTAGTGTCTTTTGTGAACAAAACTCTCGAAACTTGGATCGAAGGTTTAACTCAACAAAACTAAAACTAAACAAATGTAAAGACACAAGTAATTCTTTGTATGGAAAGATCTCGAAAGTCCACAAAAGAATTGCTCATTCTCCAGCCTTAAACCCTTTACAATTTATTCTGTTTTATTCCTATCTTTCAGTCACACGATTAAATAACGAGGGTACATGTCACATGCTCTTTGTTTATACGAAAATAGAAGTTCAAATTTTGAATAGAAATTGGTATTATTAGCCCAATTCCTAGCCAAGTAGAAGTGGCCAATGATCTGAACTTTTATGAATTTTAGATTTTTATATAATTTTATTTATATTTAGGTTTTCTGGACATAAAGCTGATGTGAATCAAACAGATGTGTATCTTTAAAGATCCTTTTGTCACTTTCACGTAATCCCTAATAGTTGGACCATCCGCACCACGGCTTTCGTAAATTATATGTTTCTCTAACTAATCATATTCTGATTTTCCTTGATCGTTCTTAAAAAATAAAGAATATTTCTTGATACATATACATCTTAATCAACGCGTTTGGTCAAATTTGGTCGACACCAAAAAATCGGGAGATTATTGAAGTGTATTGTTACTGTTTAGTACTCGGTGGGTTCAAAAGTTGTTGTGATTTGATGCTTATCTAAAATATAGGTGGGAAACTCAGAAAGAATAGTGGGCCAATTACGAAATTTCTTGATTATGTTGCTTCAGTAGTTAGTCAAAAATAGACACAGTATTATCATGCAAAATAGATTTATATGATTGAAAAAGATAACCAAATATATATTTTTATTAAGCTCACCACAAGAGGGTTGTCTCAAAATCAGCAAACCCTTAACTGGAGACGTGGCAACAAATTTAGAGATCCATAATTCGGAGAAAGGGAAACGTGAAACCCTAGCGACGTTGTTTCAATGCAGACAAGTTGTGTGAAGTGATCCTTGGGTTTCTTTGAACAAACATTCATAGTCTTAGATTTTATCCACTCTCTACGTAAAAAATATATTTTTTAGGTTAAATGTTTGTATTGATACTCTTTTCTTTTGTACATCTTTTTATTTATTTATAAGAATGTAAATATCATTTGATTAGGTTTTACAAGATATTCAACCGATCTAATCGGGTCTCATGTCAAAAACAAAAAAAAAAAAAACATTATGGAAGCAATAAAACTCACGGTGTCAAGATCATTAATAACAATCTTTTAAGACCCCAAAAATTAAAAGATGGTAAGCCAGCAAACATTAGTAACTACGTAGTACGTACAGATTTTATCCATTTAAAGTTTGGCTAACCATACAGAAACATGCATGCGACCGGCATGACCCCTTCTTGTACGCAATTCTCTTTCATCTATATTCCAAACATGCTATAACACCATTCTTTGTTATCTTCTTCTTTTCATTATTTTTTTATTTTGTTTATTTTAACTTCTTATCATATATGTTTTTATAATCCATAATAGAGGAAGGTATTAGGATTAACATGCGACCGGCATGACTCTTTTTCTACGCATTCTAAAAACAAAATCTTTCCCCATTTCTTTCTATTCTATAAAATTTCATTAAAATGTTTTTAAAAATATATATATAACTATCAAACTATCACAATATGTTTAATAGTTTTAGTTTTTTAATTTATTCTTGCAAGCATGTCAACATTTGAATTTTAACTAAAAAGACGTCCTTGTTTGTAACTAACTAAAAACTAATCCACGTTAATTAGTGTGGTACTTATAAAGATTCTCACTTTGTCTATCTTACAAATTAAACTCCTCCTTTTTGATACAACGAGAACATATTCAGTTTATTCTTGCAAGCATGTCAACTTAAATTTCTATGTACGTTGTTGGCCAACGTGTTTCTTGTAAAATTGAGTACACGTGTCAAGCTAAGAACTAACAAAGGAATCTCATTGATTCTCATTGGTTAATTAGAAACTACTTTACGTCAGCCTCTGAGGTTCCTTATAAATTAAAGACTCACTTGGTTCCTCTAACAAACTAAACTCTTTCCTTTGATTCTGTTAATTTGCTCCCAAAAACACACATTTACACATCTTAGAGAGATGTCGATCTCCGGAGCTGTGCTTAGTGGGTTAGGTCCTTCGTTCTTGATCAGTGGAGGCAAGAGAAGCGGCATTGGTGGTGGAGCTATGAGAGTTTGCCGGAAGAATGTGATCATTTCTCCTCAGCGCAAGAAGTCATGGGTCTCGGCCGCCGTGAAAGGTGATGGCAACTCAACGAACGACCCCAAATGGCTTGATGATGCCTCGTAAGTCTAGTTTGGATATACTTGAGATTGACATAGATATTGGAGATCGGCTGCGTAAAAACAAAACTCATAATTACTCTAACATAATAAACAAATCGTAGACGATGATATCATTTGGTAATACAATTAAAAGAGATATTAGGATAGAAAATTGATACACATTATGATTTAATTAGTAATATGTTTCCGCATCACTTTTTTAGTCACTTGTTTTCAAATTTTAATCAATCTCTTAAATAAATTGTTTAGAAAAAATTGTTGATCTTTTGAAAATTTAAACTTATTCTTATGAGATATTTTTCGTATACTTGTGAAACATAACACATAAATGTGGTTTCAATAAAATTTAAACATTAAAGGATAAAATTTTGTTTGTATATATAAGCTTAAGATGAAGTTGTTAACACAATATAGAGATCAAGTTTTCACTAAATACCCATTTTATTCATTGTAGTAATTTTGTGTAATTGTCACACACACACACACACACATACACACATACACACACACACACACACAAATAATAGACAGAAAGCTTCGGAGTACGTGAAGGAGAAGGGAAGTGAAGTGGGAAGCGTGTCTTCTCAAAAGGGACAAGAGCTTCAAACTCAGATGGAGAGAGCAAAAGACTACATTTTTGGAAAAGCTGGTGAAGCAATGGACTCGGTGGCTGAAAATGCAAAGAGAGCTTCGGAGTATGTGACCGAGAAAGGCAAAGAGGCGAAGGAAGAAACTGCTTCAAGGACCGAAAAAGCCAAAGATTTTATCGTTGAAAAAGCCGGTGACATCAAAGATACGGCAACGGATATGAGAAACAAAACGTCTAAGTACGTCGGAGATAAAGCAACGGAGGCTAAAGAAGCAATATTGCCTCCAAAAACTGATGCATAGATTAATGTGTTGGTCATTTAATTAGAGGTTCGAACCTACAAGAAAACAACCAATTTCCGACAGACAATTCTCATGTTATATACTTGGAGCCATAAACATATTGAAGCAATGTAGAAAATAATATCGCTGTTTTTACTATGTGTGTATAAGTAAACTGTTATATAAAGTATTTAATTATTCCAATGAAATTCTTTACTTCTCATATATTTACATATAACTAAGCCATACAGAGTTAACGAAACGCAAAAAATTGCAAGTTCGATATAATCTAACGTTTTAAACAATTATTAGATTACTGGAGATTATATATCAGCTATTCTGCATATTATTTAACTTTTGATTAAATCGTATTGAAATATTTAGTTAATAAATGATTCTTTAATTGGTGTGTAAAAACTTTAAACATCAAATAAATAAATAAAAAACGGAGAAAATAAAGTTTTTGAAACAAATTAAACATTAAGAGAAAACTTCTATAAACAGACTTTAATTTCCGACGTGCAAACACCAAAATTAACATTTATATATAGTAGAATATTGTTCGATTGTTTTGACTTTTTAACATATATATATTGTCTACAATGTCACATTAAAAAAATCGAACCAAAATTCTCTCTATTGTTTTTGCAAAATTTGGTATTGTCAACTCAACTCATTAAATCAGTATATGATGATTAGGACTCTTGGAAAGTTTCACCCTTTCAAATTTATTCTATAGAATAGACTTAAAAGGTTGTGCTACAAAAAGAACTAAGAAATATGTATCATATAAAAAGTTATAAGAGAAGAAGAGAATGAGCAATGAAGAGCCACATGCGGCCGGCATGGTCCCTCCTTATACGCATTTCTCTTTCTCCCAAAACATTTGACATTAGAAACAGCATGCTTTTCCACCTTCTTTTGTATTTTATTATAATTTCATATTCCATCAGGTTGTTGTTTAACACAAATTATATCACTAATCAAACTCAACTAGAGTTTTTTCTGATGTTAATTAATATCTTAAACTATGTTTTATCACAAGCATGTCAATGGAATTTGTGTGCGGCGAATTCTGTTAACTCAGTTATCCAAATTCTTTCTATATACACATTTTCACTTTAATCTCCTTGCTTTTGAATACTTAATTACTATGAGTAATATTACTATGATATATTGAGTATATAAAAATGAATTAAAATTTATAGAATTACGGAAGTAGTTCTTTTGTGTATCGATTGATGTTCACAACTTCTACATTTACACGAATAACACATGGTTAAAAGTTGAAGACGATCGATAATAGAGACATTTTGTCACCTTGGTAAAAAGATATGGAAAGTTCACCATAATTGATGGAAAATTTAGCGTGACATATATGAAACATTTTTCCTTAGATTCTGGCCCTTGTTAAGTGCATAATTGTTCATGTTCTTTGTTTTGCCGCTTTGGTTGGATACCACTAAAGTCTAAACATCCAAAATCTTTGGAGTGTATTTGTACACGACATATTCTGCCAATTCGAGAAAAGAGAAATTATTTAAATACAGAAAATCCTAAATATGGTAGGTAAAACACAGAAAACTTGAAATATTTCTTAATTTTTTAAAAAATGTTTTTTTTTTTGAAATACCATGCTTTGTTAAAATTTCCAAATGTGAATTATGTTTTTTTCAGTCATCTTTTATTTCTCAATCTCTTAATTTGCATGAGTGATTCTTTGGCTCGTAAGACTATATGAATCATGATGCTATATATTTTTTTTGGTGTTAGCGTCACTGGTTTGGCTTGACAGTTGACACTACCATATCCTAATCTGTATATATTATGGAAAAAAGTAAGAATCTAAAGATTTAATTTTAATAATTTCACTTTTTGGCCATGTGAATTGGTGTGTTTTCTAATATTTTCCTATCTATACTCCCAAAAAATATATTTCAACTGTCATTTAAAATCCCAAAAAATCTCCATGAATAGGAAAATATTGAGTCAAAACTTGATCAATTTGTTTCTAATAACCCAAAATATTCTGTAATTTACTACCACATAAAGAGAAATCTCATAACCCAAAATATTGTTAGTAAATACTATTGTCTATAATTTACTAATTTAGTACTATATTAAGAGAAATCTCATAAACCAAAGATAAATAATAATGCTGTCTGTGTCTGTAATCTACTACCTAATTAAGAGGAATCTCCTAAACCGGGTTTACCGGTTTAATGAAAAAGAAGGGCGGCTGCTAACGTGCGCATCGGGTATTTATGAGTAGAATCCTCCTCAATCCTCATCACAAACACAACAATTAACAACAAAATTAGTTTTTTTGTGGACTCTTTTTCTTCTTCATTGCAGGTTTTGAGGAGAATCGTGTCGGCTAAATTTGTGTCAGACACACCTCACTCTCTGTAATTCATCTCCTTTCGATCTCTCTCACTCTTTTTTTTTAATAACAATCTCTTCTCTTTCTTCTTCGTTATATATATAAATTAACAAACTTTCTTCTTCTCTCTGGCAATTTCAGTTGCAAAGTCTTCGTCTTCTTCTTCTTCTTCTTCCACCAGAGACAATTCGATCAGGGACGAAATCAATTTTCCCTTTTTGGGTTTTCTTCTTATTGACGCGAAGATATTTCACACAATCTATCGAGAATGGGTATTCGTTAACTTTTCTCTGTTTTTTGTTTTACCCAATTTCGATGATTGATCCCAAATTTGTATCTGTTGATTAGTTTCCGAAACTGGGTTTTGTTCAATTTTGGGTCTTTTGTTGTTTTTATTCCGTCTAGGGTTTAATCTCTGTTTTGATTGAATCTCATGGAATTGGGTTTTGTTTCTGTCAGATGTTTGCTTGAGCTATTCATATAATATGGATGATGAGATTGCGAAATTCATCAGAAGAGTGAATCCACCTAGGTAATTTGACTAACTTCGAAATTGTTTGTTTTGTTCTTCGACTTTAGACTTAGTTTAATTTGATTATCATTTTTAGGGTTGTGATCGATAACGAAGTCTGCAAAGATGTCACTGTCATCAAGGTATTGAAACTTCTCTGAGTTTTAATTTTCACCGGATTAGGTTTTGATTTCGTAGTTATAAACCATTGTGATTTGTTTTAGGTGGATAGTGCGAATAAACATGGAATACTTCTGGAGGTTGTTCAAGTTTTGACTGAGCTTAATCTCACTATTAAGAAAGCTTATATCTCCTCTGATGGTGGTTGGTTTATGGATGTTTTTAATGTTACTGATCAAGATGGGAACAAAGTTACCGATGAAATCGTTCTTGATTATATCCGTAAAGTAAGTAAAGCGATTATCGTCTCTTGTTTTCTATTCGATATGGTTGTTAACTCTTTTGTGGTGTGATTGTTGCAGTCTCTTGGTCCTGATGAGTCTTCTTGCTTCAGTCCATCGATGAGATCAACCATTGGGGTTAAACAATCTGTCGACTACACTGTGATTGAGCTAACAGGAACTGACAGACCTGGTTTGTTGTCTGAGCTATGCGCTGTTCTTATGGACCTCCAATGTAATGTGGTAAACGCTGAAATTTGGACACATAGAGCAAAAGCAGCAGCGGTATTACAAGTAACCGATGAAGAAACCTGCTCTGCGATCACTGATCCAGAGAGGTTATCCAAAATCAGGAAACTTCTTGGTTATGTGCTTACAGGGGGAAGCAGTGGCAGAAGATTCCGTGAACCGAAGACCACGGTTTCTTCTGCTCTCGATGACACTCACACGGACCGTAAGCTTCATCAATTGATGTTTGCAGATAGAGATTACGATGAATGGGACAATAATGTTGATGATGAGGATAAATGTGGGAGAGTAGTTCCAGATGTGGATGTATCCAATTTGCATGATTTGGATTACTCAATTGTGATGATCAAGTGTAAAGATAGACCAAAGCTTCTTTTCGATACCGTCTTCACTTTGACAGACATGAAATATGTGGTTTCACATGCCAGCATTGATGCTGAAGGCCCCGAAGCTTATCAGGTATGTATACATCACTAGGCTCAATTTAAGCTCTTGATTGTGTGATCCACATGTTTTCTGTACCATCATCTGAAATCTCGGGTTTTTTTTTGTAGGAGTACTACATAAGACATACGGATGGATCTCCAGTAAAATCCGAGGCAGAAAGACAGCGAGTGATCAAATGTCTAAAAGCAGCAATCCAAAGAAGAGTCTCTGAGGTAGAAACTGTTGTCATTTGCTTGAAAATAATCATAAGAACTTTTGTTTATTGTGGCTTTAACATTTGGTTATTGTTTCCATGTGTTTTAGGGCTTGAAGCTTGAGCTTTGCACTTCAGATAGAGTCGGGTTACTCTCGGATGTGACTCGGATTTTCCGCGAAAACAGTCTTACAGTCACAAGAGCTGAAGTGAAAACAAAAGGAGACAAAGCTCTTAACACATTCTATGTAAGAGATGCTTCTGGCTACCAAGTTGATGCTAAGACCATAGAATCCATTCGACAAGTCATTGGTCAAACAATACTTCAAGTGAAAGGCGGAAACACAGACGCAAAACCGAGTCCTCAAGATTCACCAACAGGATTTCTTTTCGGGGTATTCAAGTCGAGATCTTTCGTCAATTTCGGGTTGATCAGATCTTAAATCTTGAAAGAAGTGTTTCCTCTATTTGTAAATAACCATAGTACATTGTGTGAATATGTAGATAAAGCTTTTAGGAAGAAAGTAAAGGTTAGATTCTTTTACAGGGTTTTATAGTATAGATTCTTGTGTAGTAAATGTTGGTTTTATATTTGTGGATGTATATAAAATTGGATTTTTCTTGATTTATTGTTGTTACCAATCACTTTCGATCGTTTTCTATAATCGCTGGTTTGGTAAATCTCATTAGATTTCATTTGACTGGTCCTGTTGATACATCTATTTCAGAAGGTGATAGATTTTTTTGGCATTTCTCATAATTAGTTAACTAAATAATATTCTGTAAAAAAACCAATAAATAATCGATGGCATATAATAATGCTAACTTTGGCAAAAAGTCATAACAAATATTGGGTCGGTGTCAAAAAAAAAAAATATTGGGTCATGATCCTTGTTGATTGGTGTGCCACACCTTTGAGGATGACTGTTGCCACGTGTCACTCGTTGTATCCATAACTTTCTTTGTTTTTTTATTTTTATTTTTGTATGAAAATCAAATTAAGAAAAACTTGCACCCACGAACTCTCTTATTTTTTTTTAAGAAAATTCAATTTAAATTTTTTTTTTTTTGGTCAAAAAAATTCAATTTAAAATTGTTTGTTGTGATGTGTATTATTAGAGTTTAATAAACTTTCTGAATATTCTCATTAAGATTAATGTTGATCTGTACAACAGTATATATAGGCATTTACATGTATGTTAACGTCTAACTATCTGATTCCGTTATATACAAGTAACACTGTTAATATCACTGTTAAGTGCTCTGTTTTATGTTATCATGCTCTGTAAATCCTCATGTAGTGTAATATCCCCCCTTAAGCTGGCATGAATAAATTGGAAATGCCAAGCTTACTCCGTAGACTGCGAAAGAGGCCAGGATAAAGCGGTTTGGTAAGGATATCTGCAATCTGACATTCACTTCGAACATGACTTAATTTGAGTGTTCCTTCTGTGACACGGTCACGAACAGTGTGACAATCCCTGCCGATATGTTTCGTACGTTCATGGAACACAGGGTTGTTACCAATGTGTATAGCTGCCTGATTATCGCAGTATAGAACAGTAGGAGTCTGAACTGGAACACGCAAATCCTCTAGTAAACTGCGAAGCCAAACAATCTCACAAACTGCAAGAGCCATAGCTCTATACTCAGCCTCAGCAGAAGAACGAGACACAATATCTTGCTTCTTAGATTTGCACGAGATAAGAGAATCACCAAGGAAGACACAGTAACCAGAGACTGACCGACGAGAATCATTACATGTACTGAAATCAGAATCAGCAAATGCTGTCAATTCCATGTTAGGATCTGATGAGTAGAAAAGTTCTTGTCCCACTGTACCCTTGATGTAACGAAGAAGCTTGTGAACCGCTGTATAATGAGGTTTCCGAGGAGAAGCAGTAAACTGAGCTAGCTTGCCCACAGCAAAACAAATATCTGGCCTTGTAATGGTCAAATAGATCAATTTACCCATAATACTTCTGTATGATTCCGGATTATCAATGAGCTCTCCAACATCCTTATCCAGAGGTTGATTTGGCTCCATAGGTATAGAGGATGGCTTAGAAGCAAGTAATCCAGCTGAATCTAACAATTCAAGAGCATACTTTCGTTGACATAATGAGATACCTGAAGAAGACCGAGCAATTTCAAGGCCTAGGAAGTATTGAGCAGGTCCAAGATCACGAAGTTTGAAAAAAGACTGCAATTGTGACTTGAGAGTTGCTGCAGCATCATCATCATTGCTTGATATTATAATATCATCGACATAAACCAAGACCATGAGAAAAGCAGAACCTGTCACTTTCGTGAAAAGAGTATAATCTGAATCATGTTTTCCAAAACCAAGATGTTGAAGTGTCTCTGCAAATTTCATATACCACTGACGAGAAGCTTGTTTTAAGCCATATAGAGACTTGTTGAGTTTACAAACCGCATTAGGAGGCAATGTTTCACCTTGCTTAGGAACATATCCAGGAGGTAAGTGCATATAAATTTCCTCCTTCAGATCACCATTCAAGAAAGCATTAGAAATATCCAATTGTGATAAGGACCAGCCTAGTTTAGCAGCAAGAGCCAACAAAGTTTTCACTGAAGTGAGTTTAGCTACAGGTGCATATGTGTCAACATAATCCAAACCTTCCTTTTGTGTATAGCCTTTAGCCACGAGCCGAGCTTTATGTCTTTCAAAGGTACCATCAGAATGATATTTGACTTTATAAACCCATTTGCATCCAATAACATGCTTGGCTGCAGGAAGAGAGCAAATTGACCAAGTATTTGTTGATTCCAAGGCATTTGTTTCTTCTCCCATGGCATTGATCCAAACTAGATGTTTCTTGGCCTCATTATATGTAGCAGGCTCAAACTCTCTAGTGATTACCGTGAGAAAGAACAAATAAGGACCTGAAATCCTGTCATAAGACAAATAGTTGCAGAGTGGATAAGGAATATCACAACTCATGAAGTAACAGTGGTAATCCTGCAAATAAGCAGGTGGTTTTGATTTTCTTGTGAGATCAATAACCATATCTACCCCACTGTCATCATTATTATCAGCATTAACAATGAGTGAATCTTCTTCAGTCATTGTATTCAGTGGATCCAGCTCAGGGGTGTTTGTAGTGTTCTCAGAATCTCCTACTGAAGAATCACTAACGATCACTCGCTGAGACTTGGAATCCAGGTTGAGCTCAAGTGATTTGTTAATAGATGCAGAATCTCCTACTGCAGAGCTACCAACTCTGTCACTATGTTGCTCTTGCTCAAGTGAACCTTTGATAGACGCAGAATCTCCTACTGCAGAACTACCAATGGTATCACTATGTTGCTCTGAATCCTTATGTGACTCTGTGATGATAGCAGAATCTCCTACTGCTAAATCATGCACAATCTCTGTCACAATAGGAAACAGATTCTGAATTTGCTGAGACATATCTCCACTGACCAAAGGGAATAACTCTTCATGGAAAACTACATGCCTTGATATGAAAACTGCATGTGTTTCTATATCCAATAGTTTATATCCCTTAAAACCAGTAGGATAGCCTATAAAGACACATGCTCTAGCCCTTGGAGCAAATTTGTGCCGTTGATGGGAAGAAGTAGAAGCATAAGCCAAACATCCAAAACTCTTCAAAGCACTGTAATCTGCAGGAGTCTGCATCAATAACTCGAAAGGTGATTTATTAGAAAGATGCTCAGTAGGGAGTCTATTGATGAGAAAAGCTGCTGTCAATACACATTCATTCCAATATTCAAGAGGAAGATGTGACTGAAACATAAGTGCTCTGGCGACATTAAGAAGATGTTGATGCTTCCGTTCAACCACTGAGTTTTGTTGAGGAGTTTCTGGACAAGAATGATACGCAAGAATCCCCTTTTCTTTGTAAAATTGAGTAAAGTTGAACTCTGGAGCATTATCAGAACGAACTCCTTTTATCTTTGTATTAAACTGTGTCTCAACCATTGAAACAAAACCAGGTAATACTGTAGTAGCCTCTGACTTATTTCTGAGAAGAAAAATCCATGTAGCTCTTGTGTAATCATCAACAATCGTCAGAAAATAGCGAAAACCATCATGAGAAGTAACAGCAAAGGGACCCCAAGTGTCAATATGAATCAAATCAAAAGCTTTATTAACCTTATTATTCCGAGATACAAAAGGTAACTTCCTCTGTTTTGCAAGATGACAAATCTTACAATGATTCTCCTCTGGAGTTAAAGCCTTAGAAACTGATACAGACAATAAACCAGAAAGAGATTGTAGCTTTTGAGAAGATGGGTGACCCAGTCTTTGATGCCATAAGTGTGAAGAAACTGTGATGGTAGCACAAACAGTCGGTGGAATTTGTTCTGATGGATGATATTGCAGATCCAAGAAATAGAGCTTGTTGTGTAAACTACCCTTTCCAATGATCAATCCCCGTGTAAGATCCTGAATTTCACAACCATGAGAATCAAACCACAAACCACAAGAAATCTGAGTTGTCAATGAACTCACACTGAGCAAATGAAACTTAAATTGAGGAATGAACAAAACATTAGTGAGAATAATGTTTTCATTGAGTTTAATAGTTCCCAAACCATCAATTCTCACACCAATACCATTAGGAAGCTTCACAGTAGTGTCAAGAATAGGAATCATCTGTTGAAAGAGATCCTTATTATAAGTGACATGGTGAGTAGCACCAGTATCAGTAACCCAAGTATCCATGTTATCAACCTTAGCAGATAAGGAATAATAATATGAGTCATTCTCACTTGTCATGGAACAGAAAATGGATGGAAGAGAGATACCAGTGAATTGACATATAGTAGGCTTGACTCCTGAGGTTGAAGCTTCTGCAGGAATCTCAGTTATAGTAGCATGTGTAGCTGTTGAATGCTGAGGCTGCAACTTCGAACTCAGGTAAGAAACCAAATGTTGAATTTGATCATTAGAGAGAGCAACACCTTTGTCAATATCTGAGACAGAATCAGTGATAGCTAAGTTGGTAGAAGCAGGTGTGAAACGTTGGTTTGAGTTTGTGCGTTGGCTCTTTGGTTTCCAACCAACAGGATAACCAATGACCTTATAGCACTTGTCAGCAGTGTGACCAGACATTCCACAATGAGTGCACATAGCACGATTCTTTTGGAAAACCTGTTGTTGAGAGTTGCCAATCTGAGCTTTGACTTGAAACGCAGAAGGATTTGGATTAGTAATGGTACGTTGTCGTTGAGACTCATCAGATTCAAGCATATTGTACATATCAGAGAGACTAGGTCGAGGCTTCATGTTCAAGATCTGACCTCTGATATTAGCAAAATCATCATTGAGACCCATAAGAAACTGAGTAATACGAGTTGTTTCATGATCTTCCAACAGTTTCAACACTTGAGAACAACGACATCCACCATTTTCCATTAGATTCTTAGTACAAGCAAGGCGTTCCCAGAGAGTGACCTTCTTGGTGTAATAATCAGAGAGAGACATAGCACCTTGACGAAGAGAACTTATCTCTTGCTCCAAATTATAGATCTGAGGAAGATTACTCTTATGATAACGTCTCTGTAAATCCTCCCAAATTCCTGCTGCATCTTGAAAATAGAGTATACTAGCATAGATTTGCTTTGAAACAACATTTAGGATCCAAGCTTTAACCATTGAATTGCATCTAGTCCAGATCTTATATAGAGGATCAGATTCCGATGGTCTAGGTAGAGATCCATCCACAAAACTGATCTTATTCTTAGCCTCTAGACTAGTTCGCATAGTAATAATCCAGGAGTTGTAATTATCACCAGTGAGAGTTTCAGAAACGATAGACATACCGGGATGATCGCTGGAATGGAGGTAAAACGGATTATGATGACTATCAATCGAATCTGAGTTCGCCGGTAACATATTCAACGAAGATCCTGGAGCTGATCTCTCAACATGAGAAGATCGAGTAACAATCGGTGATTCATCACCAGAATCCTGAGGAGAAGGTCGATTCCTGAGCTGCTTGGTTCCTTTCTTCGCCATAACAATGATCGGAACGAAGAAAGATGAACACGACAAGCTGAAATGAAATCGCCTAAGAAGAAATCGAAGAAGAAAAGAAAAATTTTCCCGAGAAAATTTTGATTTTCCCGGAAAACGCAACAACTTTTTTTTTGAATGAGAGAGATTTAATGCTCTGATACCATATTAGAGTTTAATAAACTTTCTGAATATTCTCATTAAGATTAATGTTGATCTGTACAACAGTATATATAGGCATTTACATGTATGTTAACGTCTAACTATCTGATTCCGTTATATACAAGTAACACTGTTAATATCACTGTTAAGTGCTCTGTTTTATGTTATCATGCTCTGTAAATCCTCATGTAGTGTAATATCCCCCCTTAAGCTGGCATGAATAAATTGGAAATGCCAAGCTTACTCCGTAGACTGCGAAAGAGACCAGGATAAAGCGGTTTGGTAAGGATATCTGCAATCTGACATTCACTTCGAACATGACTTAATTTGAGTGTTCCTTCTGTGACACGGTCACGAACATTGTGACAATCCCTGCCGATATGTTTCGTACGTTCATGGAACACAGGGTTGTTACCAATGTGTATAGCTGCCTGATTATCGCAGTATAGAACAGTAGGAGTCTGAACTGGAACATGCAAATCCTCTAGTAAACTGCGAAGCCAAACAATCTCACAAACTGCAAGAGCCATAGCTCTATACTCAGCCTCAGCAGAAGAACGAGACACAATATCTTGCTTCTTAGATTTGCACGAGATAAGAGAATCACCAAGGAAGACACAGTAACCAGAGACTGACCGACGAGAATCATTACATGTACTGAAATCAGAATCAGCAAATGCTGTCAATTCCATGTTAGGATCTGATGAGTAGAAAAGTTCTTGTCCCACTGTACCCTTGATGTAACGAAGAAGCTTGTGAACCGCTGTATAATGAGGTTTCCGAGGAGAAGCAGTAAACTGAGCTAGCTTGCCCACAGCAAAACAAATATCTGGCCTTGTAATGGTCAAATAGATCAATTTACCCATAATACTTCTGTATGATTCCGGATTATCAATGAGCTCTCCAACATCCTTATCCAGAGGTTGATTTGGCTCCATAGGTATAGAGGATGGCTTAGAAGCAAGTAATCCAGCTGAATCTAACAATTCAAGAGCATACTTTCGTTGACATAATGAGATACCTGAAGAAGACCGAGCAATTTCAAGGCCTAGGAAGTATTGAGCAGGTCCAAGATCACGAAGTTTGAAAAAAGACTGCAATTGTGACTTGAGAGTTGCTGCAGCATCATCATCATTGCTTGATATTATAATATCATCGACATAAACCAAGACCATGAGAAAAGCAGAACCTGTCACTTTGGTGAGAAGATCGAGTAACAATCGGTGATTCATCACCAGAATCCTGAGGAGAAGGTCGATTCCTGAGCTGCTTGGTTCCTTTCTTCGCCATAACAATGATCGGAACGAAGAAAGATGAACACGACAAGCTGAAATGAAATCGCCTAAGAAGAAATCGAAGAAGAAAAGAAAAATTTTCCCGAGAAAATTTTGATTTTCCCGGAAAACGCAACAACTTTTTTTTTGAATGAGAGAGATTTAATGCTCTGATACCATATTAGAGTTTAATAAACTTTCTGAATATTCTCATTAAGATTAATGTTGATCTGTACAACAGTATATATAGGCATTTACATGTATGTTAACGTCTAACTATCTGATTCCGTTATATACAAGTAACACTGTTAATATCACTGTTAAGTGCTCTGTTTTATGTTATCATGCTCTGTAAATCCTCATGTAGTGTAATATGTATTATATTGCCCTCATCATCATTTTATTTACATATAATTTTTGGACGGCAAATTTATAATTCTCTTGTTTCGTATAAAATAATGTTCCGGCAGCCCCGACAAATACCAAAAGACAAAAATATGCAAGGACTGAAGGACTTTTACAGACTGAGCCAAACAAAGTAGAAACCCAGTTAAGAGACCAAAAAAAAAAAAAAAAAAAGCCTGAAACCGTGGGGCAAAATTATATTATTTGTATTTTATATAATAATTTATAATTTATTGGATTTTAAATTCATAATTTTCAAAAATATTTCTCATGTATTTGTTTTATATTATAATTAATATAGTTTGAAATATATAAATATTTTTTTTTGAGTTGTATTTGTTAGCTAAATGTGTTAATTTATATTGATATACTTAGAAGATTTGTAAGTGTAGAAATGATGTTTTAATATTGGCAAATATTTATAATTATGGACTATTATAATAATTTGATAATATTTTGTATCTAAAAAGTTTACTCCGGTACATTGCGGATCGATTTTTAAAAAATACAAACTTTAAATTTTAAGTTATATTTGTTTTGTTAATATTTTTTGGTTTGTTTAGTGTTTAAAATTATATAATTATATAATTATATTTTTAATTCTAAGATTTTACCCGTAAATGTAATATACCGTCTCATATTAATATCGACATAAACCCGTCCTACCATATAATCTCGTCCGTGAATTTGAATAAGAATGAGTAAAAATATGTGTGTTTTTCTTCATCGATTGAATAATATATGTCCGTTTTTAAAAATTTAAATCACATCATATGCAAAAAAAAAAAAAAAATTATTAATTATATGAATTTTATATAAATTAAAAATAAATTAAATAGAAAAACATATAAAAATGAAAGAAGACTCATATATTAATATTTAAATTAGGTAGAGAGGTTTTAGGAAATTACTCCCTCTGTTTTTGAAAAGTTGTCGTTTTAACTGTATTTAGACAAATTAAGAAAAGGTATACAATGACTATATTAACCTCATAAAAATGACAAGTAATTATTTACAAATAATTTGTATTTAATTAAATGAGGGTAATTTGGATAGTTATTGGCATAAGTTACATTATTACCTTAAAACGACAACTAATTTAAAACAAAAAAAATGCTCTAAAACGACAACTATTCGAAAACGGAGGGAGTAACAATTAATCCAATTTAAAAACAAAATCAATTAATTAATGGATAAACATTTATGACAATGACATTCTCTTGTAAATAAGTGGCAACTCTAGGAATTATTTCATATTTGTACTTAAAAAAGTATATATATATATATATTTGATTAATCTTTTTATTTTTAATCTTTGTACCTAGATATATGATTTAACAAAAATATGAAGTATGAGCTATAATCTTCCTTTCTTTTATGATTATATAAAGCTTTGGACATTTGGTTCTTTTATGAAAGATCGTAAGGTATTTTTGTAAGATGCTCTATTTTATGAAAAGAAATTGTAGGATATTTTATACATTAATGAATTTTATTTGATTTTATTAGTTATCATTTGACCTAGGTAAAAAAACTTCCTGGGTGTATATACCTAGTAAATGCCAATCAACTCCGAACTATACCATTAAATTCTCATACAAAATCGTAATTAAGATCTCTTCCTAGTAAATTGAACTAAGATTTTAATTCATCTAACAAATCGTTTGGCATCACATCTACAGCTATAAAATCACATGTAACACCTCCTGTCCGAAAGTAAAGTAGATTAATCTTAAAAATTGTGATTATCAAAAATAAACCAAAATGAGCGGCAACAACAGTAACAAGTCATGTTTCTAGATCGGCCACTGCATATATATAAGATTAAAGATTCACATGTTATTACAATATAACTTAAGCAATGTAACGTACTAGCAGTTTTTGGGCTCACTAGCTAGTATCTTTCTTATATGTATGTACTCTATGTTAAGTGTTGTCTTGAAATCAATAGTTGTATAAATTTATGTAATAGAGTACTATTTAACTTCTAAATTAGTTTTTATGGCATCAAAACCTTAGAATAACTTTAATAGTTGAAATTTTAAGCTTATCAACTTAAAGCTATACGATTTTTTTTTCATTATACTAAGGGATTATTGTCTAAAATGCCATTTTTTGAGAAAAACTTATGAAAATGCCATTTTTTGAATAGTTTACGGATTTTGCCATTTTTTAACACTTAAAAATGTACGTATTTTGTGATTTTTTTTGTAAAAATACGTACTTTATACCAAATACTAAACCCTAAGAACAAATGGAACCGACTAAACCCAAACATAACGAGTGAAACGCATGTTAAATCATATTTTTGGTGCCTGAAAAAGGGCAAAATCCATAAACTATTCAAAAAAGGGCAAAATCCACAAATGCCACTATAAAAAAGGGCAAAATCCGTAATTAATTCTTATACTAAAGGGATTATAGTTTCCTATCCTTGATGATGTATCTCCATTCTCTAGTTTCTTTACTAGTTTACTTTGCAGACTTTCATGTGAGTTATAAATACTAACATCATAAGCCATAACTGCTAATTAATCGTTGTGGTTGAATGATCCTTACCTATGTATTATGGACATTTTGAATTAGTTTTTTTTTTTTTTGCTTTGATTTATTATAATAATCCTCTACGTTCCCCATATTTTAATATTAAAATATGACAAAAATACACCAAAACATTAGATAAAGAAATATTCCCACAAAAGATTAATATTGTATACAAACGATGCCTTAACATACATTGAGTTGAAAGTTAAAAGATTTGTCTTTGGACAATGCCATGAGCTACATTGAGTTGCAAGTTAAAGTTCTCCTTGGGTTCTGGCGAAGAAGACATGTGTTTAGTCAGCTGACTCCGTAGATAAGAAAACATACCTACGACCGTCATGCTAGCGATAGCAAGAGTGGCATAGACTAACCATTTGGTTTCTTCAAGATGTGGTAGCGTGACCCATGTGGCAGCGACATAAGCAATTGCCATGGCTGCTATAGCCACCCACATCATCCTATATGTTAAAATCAATAATTTCTTAAGTGAATTCGTCCTGCAAGGCATAACGCTGACGAGAAGAATGACCATACACACTGATGTAAACAACGCGATGGTGTTGCTTATAGAGAAGATCTTGAAAGCTAGGGTTCTTCCTGCGGTTGATTTCCCCATGTAGGGTCCATCTTGGTACAGCCCACCAGGTGGGTTTATACCGCATGTGAAAGTAACCGATGCAATTAGGACGGCGACAATTGTGATTGTGTTTCTAGAGTTCTGCAAAGCCTCTGATTGCATCTCAAATTCGTTGTTTTTACTCTCCCTACTTTGAACTCTTACTATTTGGTTCTGCATCTTCTTTAACTCACTGAATACTTGGGCTTCGAAATTCATCACCTCTTTAATACTTGAAGGGTGTTTAGTTGTTTTGGAATTACACATTGCTGTATATAGTGGAAGGTAATTATCATCATTTTCTTTGAGTAGGTCAACCGCTGCAAAACCCCTTTTGTTCTGTGTGATGACATCTATTTTTGTTTCATTGATTAAGTAATTTACCAGCTGCAATATGTCCAAATGGAATCTGTTAAATCATATTTTAAGTTTTGAAATCAAATGACATCTCATGGAAATAGTTCCTAAAATGCAATTGCTCATATTTTTTTATTAATAAGATGTTCAGCTTTGTTATAGACTAATATTGGGAGACCCGATGATCGACCAAGATCGAACGGTCAAGTGACTAACCAAAATCGAAATTCGAGATTAATTTTTATCAATCTTCCAGATTCTTCTTGGTCAAACTTGACCATACGGTCTTGGTTAGTCATTTTGACTGTTCGATCTTGGTCATTTTCTGGTTCTCCCAATAACTAATATTGGTTTCATATAAATTAATTATGCAGAAATGTGATTTATGTTAGTCATTACATCCTTACCACCACAATTAAAAGGAATACATGTACATATTCTTTCACAAGGGAACAATTAGACTAAAATGTAAAGAAGAGAAAAAAGAAAAAGAGAGAAACAGAAAACTTACGACAACAGAGCCTACGGAGACGGCAACGTGAAGAACAGTGTTGCCATTTGCATCCAGCTCGTGGAGAAGTTGGCCTAACTTAGCATTATTTGCCATGAAGATGAAGGCTTCGTTGTTCTTGTGTTTCGCAGCTATGTGAAAGACAGTTTCTTTGTTTCCTCGTGTGACTAAGTTGAAAGAAGAGGGAGCCTTATCGAGAAATTCCCTAAGGATTTTCACTGAACCATTCTTTGCCGCACAATGCAAAGGTGTCAAGCCATCATTATTCATCATTTCTGCAGGTTTTAGACCATTTTGGGTTTGTATCTCGCAGGGGTTATGCAATTGCGTGGACATTAACATCATGACCAAGATGCTTGTGTGTCCCAAGCTAGCAGCAATATGAAGAGGAGTGTCACCCTTTGAGTTAGTGGATCTGATTTGGGAAGGGTAGAGCTCAATTATCTTCTTTGCGAGTACCACATACCCAAGCCTTGTGGCTACGTGCAAATCCGATCCCTCGTATGTTTCCTCCAGCATAGACGGGTTCACTTCTACGAACCTAGAAGCAGCCATGTCGTTTCTGCTGGAAATTTGTGGATCCATCTTTAGTTTCAAGTGGTTTAAGGAAACTCTTGTCTTTGAATCTATTTGAGAGATGGATTTGTATTTGTTATTTCAAGTTAGCTATATTCATTCTCTTAAAATTCCAGTAAATAATACCCTCTAAAGGTCGATCATGCTCCCCTCATTGTGGTCATTATATATATAATAAATATTTAACAATTTGGAAAAAATATTCCGATGTGTGTACCTTCTGAGGTCGATCATGCTCTACTCGTTCAGGTCTAAAAGTCTTTGCTATAATTTTATTGGATGTTGAAGTTGTAATTAATGTACCAAGTCCAAAGTCACCAATCTCATATTTCTTTTAGGGAGACTCACAAAAATGCCCCTTTTTCAATACCCCTTTTCAAAAATGCCCCCTTTGGCTGTCCATTTTTAAAAATACCCCTTTTTATGTACAAAATGACTAAATTACCCTTCTTTTAATAAAATATATCACAAATATATAAGGAAATATAACAAAATTAGGTCTACAAAATACAAAATATTTTTTGGCGGGAAAATTGATCCCGCAATTTTTCCCGCCAAAACACTTGTAAAACCTTGTAAAAAACCTTTAAAATACCTTGTAAAATTTTTCCCGCCAAAAAAATTTTTTTGCGGGAAAAGTGATTCCGCAATTTTTTTGGCGGGAAAATTTTTCCCGCCAAAAATTTACAAGGTATTTTAAAGGTTTTTTACAAGGTATTTATAAGGTTTTACAATGTATTTTAAAAGGTTTTACAACGTATTTACAAGATATTCTAAGATTTTACAAGCTATTTTATAAGGTTTTTACAAGTTATAAGGTTTTACAAGTTTTTTATAAGGTTTTACAAGTTATAAATATCTTATAAAACCTAATAAGTACCTTGTAAAACCTTTTAAAATACATTGTAAAACCTTACAAAACACTTGTAAAAAACCTTTAAAATACCTTGTAAATTTTTCCCGCCAAAAAAAAAAAATGCGGAATCACTTTTCCCGCAAAAAAAATTTTTTGGCGGGAAAATTTTTTGGCGGGAAAAATTTTACGGGAAAATTTTACAAGGTATTTTAAAGGTTTTTTACAAGTGTTTTGGCGGGAAAATTGCGGGATCACTTTTCCCGCCAAAAAATATTTTGTATTTTGTGGACCTAATTTTGTTTCAAATAAGGGTAAAATGGTCATTAAAAATTAAAAGAGGGCAAACTTAAAAATGGACTCTCAAAGGGGGCATTTTTGAAAAGGGGTATTGAAAAAGGGGCATTTTTAACAATTTCTCTTTCTTTTAACTAATACAAGTCAACACCCTCTTTTAGTGTCCACTCGTCGCAAACCTTCAAACCAACTTGTAGATTTTTCAAACCCAGAAAAAAGTCTTCTACAATATTAGTTTATATCAAATTTCACTAATATATATACTACTTATTGACCGTTTATACTCTATATATCTACGAAAAACTATATAACTACGATTGGTAATTTGTACCACAACGATAATTATTTACCATTTTAATAGCTATCAATCACAAAAACGATCAAAATTAATGGTACAAAACGATTTTTTTTTCATTGTTTGTGTCACTATATTTAACCCACTACTCTTACCTCTTTCTGTTTTAAAAATTTGTGTCATTTTGTGTCACCATTGTAAATATATATATATATTGTTCCCAAAAAATTCGAACTCAAAATCATAGTTAATTTGGTGCAAAGTGCCTTCGGAGATGTCCCTCCCCCCTTCATTCGGAGATGTAAGTTTTAATTTGGGCTATGAAAAATATCATTTCAAGAAGGATTGATTGTCAGGTATTTGAAACAGATTATTCGGAGTTAGTCTCGATGATACAGTCACCTGAAGATTGACCCGCTTTCTCCAATCTGCTAGATGAGTTTGGTTTGCTCCGTGTCTACTTTCCCTTGTTCTCGCTTTCTCTTATTTCTCGTTTATATAATGTTAAAGCGGACTGTTTAGCCCGATCTTCTAGACTTTTATTTTCTGAAGTTACTTTTGTAAACACTTATCCTCCTAGTTGGGCAACCAATCAAGGAGTTATTTATTAATTAATGTGTGGTTGACAAAAAAAAAAAATTATGTAACTCCATTCTCTATTTCTTTACTTGTTTACTTTGCAGACTTTCCTGTCAATACTAATTAACCTCGTAATATATTTTTTACCGTATTCTAATAATTTTTCTTTAATTTTATTTATTCGTTTTTTACTGGGACGTTAAATCATTAAATACGTATCAACTTATTAACATTAAAACAACCAAACCCATTTGGATTCTCTTAAAGAAAAACCAAACGTTGAAATAAAACCTTGCATATATAGTTCAAGTCCTACCTCTTTTTAGTCTTTTCGTAGTAAACTAGAAAATGCCAATCAACTCCGAACTGTACCATTAAATTCTCATATAAAATCGTAATAAGATCTCTTCCTAACAAATCGTTTGGGATCACATCTACAACTATATATAAAAATCACATGTAACACTTCCTCTCCAAAAGTAAAGTAGAATCTTAAAAATTGTGATTATCAGAAATACATCAAAATGAGCGACAACAATAATGACAAGTCATGTCTTGAAACCGCCATGGCGGTCATAGACTCATAGGTGTCGTCGGAGCGATTGCCGGTTTATTCACAGTAATAGGTTCGGGCCCCAACAAAAAGACCATGAAGTTAAACCAAAAAAAAAAGACCATGAAGGCACCAGGTCGAATTTTGAGGGAGATTTTCGAAAGCGGCCCAAAAAAGTATTTTTAGCATAATAACAATTTCAGCTAGGTTTCATGTGTTATGTCATATATATGTACCATGTTATGATTGTTATTATCTTATAATTTTATTTATTTATTTTGCTCGTTCTCTTGTTTAATATTCATCGATCCTAAATTGTTAAATTTCTATATGAAATGACGAATAGCCAACTAAAAAACAACACGAAATTTAACTTTTGCTGCATCAAGATTAACAGGGTGGTCAATCAAACAAGAATTTGATTAATTAATATACAAAATCATACAATTGTTGTGTTTACCAGTTTCACCAAAGCATGTGTTTACCGGTTTCAAGTCGGGCGTGGAGGAGGAGTTATTGGATTTGGTAATCATCTTGGTGCGTATGAACGTTATATATGTTTAGGTAATAATATTACTTCGACTTTACACATTTCATATGATGAAACTTTGATATTTATAATAAGAAAATTTCATATGAAGCACTAATAATAAAATAATCTTGATCTAGGTGACATGTTGATGTTATTCTGCTTATATTTTTCTTTCTCTTTTTGATAAAACTCTGCTTATATTACTATTCTTTCTTGCTTTTGAGGTTGAACACAATAACAAACATTGACAAATATGAAATCTTTACATGAAAAAAAGACGTCTTATAACGAATACAGATCATCAATCATCCATAAAACATGTATTCTTTAAAAAGATTCGCTTCGATTACAAAAAAAAAAAAAAAAAAGTTTTTGGGATGAATGTGTGTTAAATAAAAATTAGGCCAAGAGCCAGAAATCTTTGTGACGTTTCGTGGTGATCAAGTAACCTCCATTGTTACTCTTCTTCCTTACGGCAATAGCCATACAATCGGAGTTATGAATACAATACTCGACCACTCCTCCTCCCATTCCTCCCTTCGCACGCCATTTCCAAATCACACGCCACTTTGAGGTTCTCTTTCTCTGCCCTAAAACCAAAACGCCTGCTCCTTGTTTCTTTGATTCTTCAACTATTGTCTTCCCTTTCTCCTCCGCCGTCTCCACCACCACTATCTCTGTTTTGACCTGAAAATAAAACCCAAACATGTAAGCTCTACTGTCAAAGAAGGGGAACTTTTGAATCAATATCAATTTGTTGTAACCTAAAGCTTACGTTAGGTTTCTTGAGTTGACAAAAGTTCTTCAATGGATGAACTTGTTCATGAGCCCTTGAGTTTCTCTCCCTTTGTGTCTCATCTATAGCTATAAATATAATAAACACATTTGTTAACAGAGACTCAATAAAATCAAATTATGACCACACTTTTTCAAAATTACATCAAAATAATATACAAAAGACAACATTGGGCCCAATAAAAGCCCAAATAAAAATATGAGGCCCGATCAGCATAAAAGCCCAAAAGAATCGGTCTTCACCTTGTGTTACTAGGCAAGATATAGTCTGGTTTCGAGTTTTGGCTCTAATGGTTGACCTCTAAATTTAAGGTTCTAGTGAATGCAACATATGAGAATGTATAAATATATAGTTATATACCTTGTCCTACGGGTGTTCTTGTGACATGGAGGAGAGTGATATTGTCTTCATCTTGAACACAATGTGTTAAAGCCCATTGAAGAGCATTCTTAGTTTGTGAAGTTGTGTCCACAACAACCATCACTTTCCTCCCACTCTCAGCTTGAACTCCTCCTTCACCATTCTTATTAGCTTCCTCTGCTTTCAGATTCTTACTATGCTTCGAACTGTTCTTTCTTGAACCAGAAGCACTTCCTTCATCTAATGATTTGCTCGACGATGATCCTCCTTTGAATGATGTCCTAATCTTATTCACCCAATACCCAGCTGGTTTCCCCATTTTTCTAAAATCCTCCTCTCTGTTTCTTGTTTTCTTCTCTCTGTTCTTTGAGGTTTTAGTTGTGTTTTAAATACTGTTTTGTTTGTTTGGTTTTGGTTGGAGCCATTTCTTGAACGTGCTTGCCATGAAAATAAAATTATATAACAACATTTTGGACTTGTTCAATCTAATCCAACCTGGCAAAAATTCTCATAATTATTTAGTCGTTTTAATTATCCACATCACAATCTTGATACAAATGCAGAGCACTACTTGTTTCAGAATCCAATTCTTGAGGCATGTTCTAATCCGGAGAATACAAATTTATATGATATTCGAAAAAAAAAAAAAAAAAAAGCTCCCAAAACAATGTAACAAGGTTATATATTTCAAGAGAGCAGAAAAAAAAAATTATGATCTGGGGTTTGACATTAGAGCCTTGATTATATAACAAAGTTTTGTAATAATGAACTATGTTTCTCTGGCAAAAATCAAATGACGACACAAGCAATGTTCTTTGATCTATAAAACACACATATGTATACATATAAATATGTATTGTTTCAGACCATCCATCCAGGGAAGAATCCATTAACATTCTGAGATGTTGTTGCAGAGTTGCTTGCATTTGTCACAGCAGCAGGATTGTGATTGTAATGACTGCTAATTATATCAAAACAATTATAAAGGTTAATTCTTTCATATTGTATAAGGTAAAACAATTCAAGGTTCTTGATTATTTGTTTATGAATACCTCATTTGCAATGCTACATTGCCTTGCCTTGTAGAGGCTTGAAGAAACCTGCTTCCTGAATTGGAGGGTTTGATTGATAAGAGCTCATTCCTTGTTGCTGTTGATGTTGATGTTGCTGTTGTTGTTGTTGTTGTTGTTGTTGGGAATGTTCTGCAGCAGAACCTCCCCAAAACGATTGAGTAAGTGCTGCATCACTTTCATCCAACTGAGAAATAAAGAACAATGTTATAGGAGATCTCAAATGGTTTCAGTTTCTTGCGATAAAAGATTCCGATAGCTACCTTTCTCCTAAGATCTCTGTTGGTTTCCAATAACATTTCCTCCTGTAAATTGAGAAAATGAGAGTGTGTTGTATTGAGATTATTAATGGACATTGTGTAACTTTTATTGTATAAAGTATGTACCTTAGTTTTGAGGTCAGATAGTTGATCAAGCATAGACCGAGCCTGGCAATGAAAAAAACGCGCCATGATTTAGGATGAAAGATTCAAATAAAAATTTGTCGATATGGTAAACTTATATATACCTTGGTTGATCTTATTTGTCTTAGTGATGCATCTACTTGGCGTTCTAGTTGCTCAAGCTCATTCACATCCATCTCGCCTAGCTCTTCACCTAGCAAATGCCTAAAAGGAAGAAATCTTTTATAACAAGAGTACGCATATCTACATATAAATGAATCAGGCTAAGTACCTTTGTGAATGTTGAAGGATCTCAACTCTTGATTTAAGCTTCAAGTAGTCTTGGTACTTATCCTGCCAATCAAGACAAAATTAAGGACAACTTTAATAACTTTGAGGTAAGTCTTTGATCCCATTGATTGAAAGAGAAGATATGTACCTGCAAGTCTTTAGCTGATTGATTTGGATCCATTGTTGCATAGCTATATTTTCTATACTTGTCAACCGTCTTCGCCATACCACTATTCATACAAACAAATGATCATTTTAATTTTTAACATATATTATCAACCAAATTTGAATTTCATTTTGAGAATATTTCAAAAAAGGTAAACAAAAAACCCTTTAAAGCATCAAAACCAAGAACATCAAGATGGGTATCAATCTCATGATGTTTATGTGCAAAAGATAAGTAGTGAAATTGAGTATCATCGCAGTTGTCTCTTTAACTTTAATAAGATCATAAGTACTTGAGAGAGATACTAACTTAAAGAAGTAGTCAAAGTATTTTTTATATCTTTTACAGCTTTGTGTATATATCCAGAGGTCAATTCTTTGTCTCTTTGGAAACTTGGATCAATCCTTTGGAAACAATATCAACAACACTCTATCTCATGTGTAAAAGCTTTAACTATATTTATATGCTCTATACACAACTCTAATGTACTTTTTTCATCCATAGTCTCTAGCTTTAATCATCATCTAGAGCAACTAAGACCCTTTGTACTTTGATCATCCTTTGTTAACTTAATCTCACTCTCTTGGAGCCAGATTTATGCATAATAAAACCCAGAACTCACAAAAGAAATGAACCCTAATCATCTAACTAATTCTAACTAAATCAAGAAAGACAACAAAGTTTTCATATCCTCCATAATCCTTAAGAATCAAAACCCTAAAATGGATCAAAATATAGAAACTTTGGAAGAAAAAGTGGATCAAAGATTAAAGATTATACCTAGGGCTGCTGCAGAATTCATAGAGCTTGCCACGGTTAGAGAAAATGAGAAGAGCAATCTCAGCATCACATAGTACAGAAAGCTCATAAGCCTTCTTGAGCAAACCATTCCTTCTCTTTGCAAAAGTAACTTGTCTATTGATCTTGTTCTCTATCCTCTTCAGCTCCACTTTTCCTCTTCCCATCCTCTCTTTCTCTCTTTTCTCTCTCTCACCAAGAAACCAAAACCCAACAGAAAAGTGTCTTCCTTTATATCACTAAACCCACAAGTGATGAAAAAGAACCTTTATATACATATAAAGTGTATAAGTGTAAATGTGGAATGTGTAGAGTGTTATAGATCTTGTCTCAAAAGGATTCTTGTTCTTAATCTAGGGCATGAATTAGTTTCCGGTGACTGGTGGTGGTGGTGGAGGAGATTGTGGTAGTGGTGGTGGTGGGCCAACTGTGTTCAGGTTCTTCTTTTGTTGGAATGATTTTTAAGAGAATATAGCTTTGTGTTGGTTTTGCAGATGCTAAGCCATTCTTGGCCAAATAAAAGCTTCCAAACTTATATCCAATCTTATAAACTTTCCTTTTTTAAAAAAGAAAATAAAATATCATAAATTCTAAAAGTATTTTTGTGTATATATATACCACATTATTTTATTCTTACTTCATCAGGGAATATATATTATTAATTTTCTCTTATATTTTTTTTGTTTTTTGCAGAAAATACAAATTGATTCCTAGTACTTTTCTAAGGAGAGTTAAGAAATCTTTCTCTCTCTCTAGTCCAAACAAAATGCTTCAACTTTTCTCTTTCACTCTCCTCCATTGGATTTTAAAGATAATATTTATGCCATAATATATATAAATAGATTGCTTTCTTTCATCAGATCTAGTCCATAGTTCAATAATATGCTCAAAAAAGAAATAAGAAAAAGATTCTAAATATAACCTATAAAGATGCCTTAAATAGAGCATATTCACAAGTCCAAATCCTATCTATTATCTGGTTATGTATTGTTCATGAAATGAAAGAAGTGTAAATAAAGTTTTTGTTTTTTGTTTTGTTTTTTCAGGTATTGACACGTTTAGATTATGTAGATAACAACTATAATGTGTGTGTTTGTGAATAAAAGTAAGAAAATGATATGCTTCTAAAAGATATGTTTTTTTTTTTCTGCTTTGCTTCTCTTGCCGACAAGTTCTTACGTATGACAGCTACTTCACGATCGTTTTAATGCATAAAACCGATCTATACGGTTACAAACAAATTATGTCACTCTGAAATGGTTAATTTGATATAGTACTATTTACTATTTAAACAGAAGTTTTATTTACAAGGTTTTTACGTCTCAGTTCTCACATGGATTATGTCTTGTTTTTTTTATATATGCTAAAGAAATTAGATATTGAAAATACCATGTTTTTGTTTTCTTTCAAATTTCTGAAAATTAAGTCACGTTCTTGTTCAGTACTAAAAAATCAGTCCAATCATGTTTTTTCTCATACTAATAGATGTGTAAGAATATGTAAGCTACCATTAATTAAAGGGTTTCGTGTGTAGGATTTCTTCTTAAGAAGACTGATGTATTTTACTATGTCTAATCAAAGTTGTTGTTAATCGATTTCGAAAAATACAGTAGAATTCACATAACGATTCTAGATTTCAAGCTAAATATTAGATTTACTTATAACAATGGCTCGTGATGCTTGAAACAAAGATTGCAGATTTATCTTGGCAAGAAAAAGGGAAATTGTTATAAAAAAAAAAAAGAGAAATTGTTTATGAACAGTTAAGCTCTCAAATCCTAATATTTTTCAATTTTCTCGTAGGATGCTTATTGTCATGTTAATACAAATATATATATTTTTTTCACTTAAAGAAAAATGTTCGGTAATATTTGACAGGTTAAATTGTTTCTTTTTTTTTCTCACTTCTTCTCATGGCATCTTACATCTATCTACATCATGATGATGATGGTTGTTGTTAATTTACTCATGTGATATGTCTCACACAACTTTTTTTTTTAACTTTGCTTGCTGACTCATATTTCACTTGGTACCTTAGTTATTTTGTTCAACCTATACATTGATAGAATATTAGTTTTTTTTTTCTTTATTTTGGGTACTAAATTGTCTATTTATAAATCTTCTTAATGGAAACTTGATGTATATGCGCATGTCTTATCCAAGATTATCATGTAAAAATGATCCTTATCTTCTACGCACTCGCTATCCTCCACCATTCTTTTATGGTTCCAAGTTGTCACCTTACAATATATATGCAACATATAGATTAGATGCTTTAGTAAACATCTTAAAAAGAATAAATACGAGATAATACTTGCAATGTGCTATTCCATCTTTTATATGGATAATTTAGGTAGATAATACATAACTTTAAAAAATATATTTATCTCCAATAAAATAGTCATAATAACGAAATTTCTATACATCTATACATACACAAATGATTGTTGGCTACTATCATTCTAATTAACCATCTAAATATACAATATTTATTACGTGCTGCAAAATTATAAAGATAACCAAATTAGTTTTGTATTTAAGACTGACTAACATAATAAATAGTCTAGTTGAAGAAAAAAAAAGAGAAGAATAATTTTGCAAGAACCACTGATACTATTTTATTATTACTATTTGAAAAAAGGGATTATTGTTGATTTTGCCCTTTTTTATCAAAATCTTTTGAAAATGCCATTTTCATTAAAATCTTACGGATTTGCCATTTTTTTACCCTTAAAAATGTACGTATTTCGGATTTTTTTTGGTAAAAACATGTAGTTTATACAAAATACTAAACCCTAAGAACAACCACAACCGACTAAACCCAAACATAACGAATAAAACGCAAGTTAAATCATATTTCCGTAGCCTGAAAAAGGGCAAAATCCATAAATTATTCAAAAAAGTGCAAAATCCACAAATGCCATCCCAAAAAATGGCAAATCCATAATTGATTCGAAAAAAAAAACAGTAGTCATTTTCAGAACCTCTATTATTAATTCTGTTCATTTATGTATGTATATATTTGGGGTAGCTAGTAGCTCGTAGCTCGTAGCAATTCTCTCTTCTGTTGGGGAGAGCTCCCTTGTACGATTTTACCAATTTTATGAGTATTATTTTGTAGACCAAGATAATAACAACCGTAGGTCCATGTAATTATATTTTTCTTTTTGTTAAATGGTTATATACAAACACCATGTAATAAATAATGTAACGTAGGATGTTTGATGTTTTGCAGGTTTCTTCTGTATATTTAGACTAACAAATTGGAACTACATTAGACCCCATGATGGTCTAAAACCCTAGTTACTCGATGGACCATATAGAGACATTTTAAAATGTTGAGACATGTTTTTTTAACAACTTTTTCTGGCTTTCTGCATCTAGTATTAATTGGAATCTCTTTCAAATATAGTACATGTTAGATGTTTCTTATTTAAAAAAAACTTTTAAACCATATATATATATATATATATATAACCCATGCAATTGGCCCTGTTCACCTACATATTCAAATTTTATCAAAAAAGTTGGCGATATGAGTACTAAATATGACATCGAAGAATTGAAATGAATGAAATACGTGTAATAGAAAGTTTGACTTAACAAAAACTATGGGAAAGAAATTGTAAATAAATTTATATTTATTTATATCTTTAGTAGATATGATCTCTTATTAGAAAATCACTAATTCATTTCGTTTGTGTTTCTTAATCCAAATTAAAAATCGCTATCTTATAACTACATCATATATATCATTTCATGTTCAATAAAATAAACACATTTAAAAAAAAAAAATAAAAAAAAAAATAAACACATTTTTTATCCAATAAACACAAGTCTTTTTTATCAATTATCAATTATCAAGATCCATCTAAAATGATTCAAAATGTTATAAAGTTGTATGATTAATAAGAATTTGGAGAATCACTAGATTATTTTGATTACTCCATAGAGTTTCAAATAGAAATCATATGGAGTATAAAGTTCTAAAAGGATTGAGCCAAAAAAAAAAATATATATATATATATATACTAGAAAAAGTAACTTTAACCTAGTTCATAATACGAGGTAACACGAATAGAAGTTGGCCAAAAAAGTCGTAAAACATTCAATTTTGTTATTTTCTGACATAATAGTAATTAATTAACATTTTAAATTGTACTTTTTTGAAGATACTCTTCAAATCTTTAGTTTGCTTTTAACAATCAAAACGTAAGATGAGGGAAGCTTACGCAGGTTGATGGTAAGGGAACAGAGTAGGCTACGTGTCGAACTCTTATTAGTTCAAAAATATTATTATTTTGGGATATGTTGGCGATTGAACGAAACAGTCATCCGTACATCACGTGCCTGGACGGACACGTGTCGAACTATTACTGCCTTTTAAGTTTTGATACACACTATTGAGTGTTGGAGACTTGAATTGTGACGTAGATAATGATTTTCTTATTATCTACTCCCTCTCTTTCAAAATCTAATGTTTCAATTAAAAGCATATAGGTTAAGAATTTTTTCTTTTTAAGACTATTATTTAATATTTGATTTTGAAAAAACAACCAATTACAGAAAATATGCAGAGTATAAATAATTAAAAATATTAAATATATTTAATATTTGCATTGAAAGTTGTAAAACTTCCTATATTTTGAAACAAAGAAAAATCTTTAAAACATTCTATAATTTGAAACAGAGGAAATATATCAAATTGCCGGATTAAATCACAATTGACACTTAAACTTTTGGTAATTAATATAGATATACTTAACAAAAAAAATCATGTATGTAACTGGATTGACTATTTAGAAAGAATACATAAATAACAATAAAAAACAAAAAAAAATTTAACTAATCTATTTACACATAATTAATTTTGAATAAGTTTTTAACTGATTCTTAAAAGATTGTCTACAGAGTTATTGTTGAAATTGTTTAAGGGCAAGTTAAAGATGACTTACGTGGAAGTTGTAGATATGCTCAACTTGTGTGTGGAAGATTGTCGGTAGTTTATCGACCGCGAAGAGGTCTATACCTCCGACCGATGGGTTCCAAAACTCAAGCATGAAGTTTAATATACACAGCGCTGAAAAGATTCCCATAATCTTTAGAGAACAAGTTTATTTCTAGTTTCAGCTTCATTTAGTTATGTTTTAAAAAAGCATGTATATCAATTAATATAGATATTTTTCTCGAATTGAATTGTATGTAAATGATTGAATATTCATACAGGTACAAACATACTATAGATAATTTAATTTTATATAAATTCTTATTTATTTATTTAAATTGTGCACAAAAAGCTCACCAAACATGAGTGCATGATAACATTACTATTACCAGAGACAACATGTACCTATCAAACTATGGAAATCAACATTGCGAAAATGGTAAAATACAACTGAAAAAGTCAATGTTTAAAAATAAGAATAGAAGATCATACAAAGAAAAAAAACTTATAGAAATCTGCTCCTTAAAAATACATGTTCTGCCATTGGAGGAAAAGTATTGTTCATTATGTAGAGGAAAAGATGAAATCACAAAATCTGAAAAACGTGATAATGAGGAATAAAGATTGGACAGTGTTTTTCTTCACAAATTCAAATTTAACCAAACTCTACTATTTAGAAGAAAAATATTGACAGTTACGTAAACCACACCAAAAATAAAAAGAATGAATGTTAGAATCACCTAAAAACCAATTATTTATGAATTTATAAGTTATAAGTTTTGTTTAATTTTTTTTTTAATGTAAATTTAACACTGACCATAAAATTTATTTGGATCATCAAACTAAACTATTTAATCATATTAGAAATCATAAGTTCTTATTCAAAAACCAATTGCTAGTGGTAGACTAAAAAATGTTTCTTATCTATATTATTTAATACAATTACTAATTTGACAACTCCATATAAATTAATTTTTGTTTATTAAAATATTGCATTGTATACCAGTTTAACATGGCTGCGAGTTCGATCCTCGCCGGAGGCTTTTACCAATTTTAATAACTAGTTTATCTCATTTTTAATATTTCTGGGCCAAAAAGCTATTTTTCTTTCTTGGGCCTGAGTTTGACTAGATAATCTCTTAGTTTTTCTTGGCCCAAGTTCTTATGTTTTAGCATTTTTACAAATTAAAAAATTGTTTTCTTTAATTTTGTCAACTAACAAAAAAAATAATTTGTTTTCCTTTTTCTGAAAATTCGTTAAATAATTGTTTTTCAATTTTCAATAAGTAAATTCTTCAGCAGAATTTGTCATTTAAAATTTATTTTACGGAGAGGATTTGTAGCCTAGTAATTTCTACTTTCCATCGTTGTTTAAACCACTCAAATTCAAACTTGTATATTATATGGGGTTAACAATTTTTTCATTTTAGTTTTAGTATTTTCTCCAGTTTAGAACATAATATATTCACATTATATCTGAATTTTATTCTGAGATAAGTAAGTGAGATAAATTAACATTGTAACATTTTAACTTTATAATACTGGGCCTCAATAACTTGGGAGTTATATAAACTAAAAAGCCCAAATTGAAAAGCTTCAGCGAAAGAAAGTCCACGCGAAGCCATATGCGCGCGTCGCGCGTGTCATCTAACATCATCGTCGTCGTTCACCGACTTTAATCTGATTTTTAGAATCGCCGTTGGGTTTAACCAGAGAGATCTCTACGAACGATGATCATCGAAAGAGCTCGAGTTCCGTTGAGGCGATGGCAACAAGCTGCGGTGGCAATGGGATCTGCTATCGGTGCGTTGGTAGATCCTCGTAGAGCGGATCTGATCGCTGCTCTCGGTGAAACCACCGGTAAACCAGCTTTTGAAATGGTTCTTGAGAGGATGAAGAAGAGCGAAGAAGGAAGAGTGAGTTTTTTTCAAATTTCTCGCTTCTCTTATTGTTTGATCAATTCATTGATTTTGCTTAAGAGTGATTCTGGAGTAAGTAATTATACGAATTAATCAATTAGCTATGAACAATTCTTAGGTTAAATTGATTAAGATTTTACTTGATGAATTGTTTGTCTTTGCCTCTAAGATATTGGTTACTAGGCCTGGGCGTTTGGGTAAATGGTTCGGTTCTAGAACCGAACCATTCGGTTCTTAGTATTTTGGTTCTGAAATTTAGGAACCATATTGGAACCAAATCAAAATCGGTTCGGTTCCGGTTCGGTTCCTCTACGGTTCGGTTCGGTTCGGGTAATAAATTTTGGAACCAAATTATTTCGGGTATTTTTGGAACCGAGAAAACAAAACAATCATAATACAATATTCAAATGCAATTAGGTAAGTATGCAATCACATATTAGTTAGCATACCATTACAAATCCAAAAAATATTCGAAACTTGGAAAGTGTTATGTCAAAAGACACCCAAAGTTTCAAAGATACCGAAAAACACAAGTTTTTAAGACACCAAAATAACCCGAAGTTTAAATCTGTTTCAAATTACAATCTTCTGCTTCTTTTTCTCTCCAAAGATTGTATCAAAAAACACCCCAAAACCTGAAATAAAATGTACAAAAAGACTTTTAATACAATGAAATGAAATATATATAGTGGGTTGTTGGGCTTGGGTTTAGGTTTAGGTTTGTATGGATTTGGGCTTTGGGATATATAGATATAGGTAAATGGATTATATTTTTCGGGTACCCATTTGGATCTCGGTTCTTACCCGAACCGAACCAATACCCATGGATCTGAAATTCAAGATCCAATCGATATTTTTATTAGAACCAGAACCGAACCATACCCATCAATTTCGGTTCGGTTCGGTTCGGTTCTATGTGGATCCATATTTGTGCCCAGGCCTATTGGTTACAATGGTGTTTTGATGTTTGGTGGTATCTTTACTTTGAAGGCTATATTATTGGAACGTCCTCGTGTAGTGTCAGAGCAAGTAGGTCATGCTTGGGATCTACCAGAGAACACATTTGGAGCTGCATATGCTAAATTCATGGGATCTAGAAACTTCTCTCCCGATGATCGTCCGCCTGTAAGATTCATGGAGACGGATGAATTGGCTTATGTTGCAACACGGGCGCGTGAAGTTCATGACTTATGGCACACTCTGTTTGGCCTTCCTACGAATCTTATCGGCGAGTCGGCTTTGAAAGTTATAGAGTTTGAGCAAATGTATCTTCCGATGTGTATGCTTTCTGTGATTGGAGGCACTGTGAGGTTCAATGAGAAGCAGAGATCAATGTTCTTGAAGCATTACTTTCCTTGGGCTGTTCGAGCTGGAAGACAATGCACTGACCTCATGTGTGTGTACTACGAACGTCACTTTAGTGAAGACTTAGAGCAAGTCCGGAGAAAATGGGGAATTATCCCTGCTCCTCAACATCTTAAATGATGTATTTTGTTCCAGTTTAATCTGTTTTCAAATGCATTCGATTCACTTAGTTAATGTCAATTCTCTTGTTAATGTGTAGTGGATTCAATTACTCTGATGTTCAGAAGTTGTACTCGCATTTGATGGTTAATAACAGACAACTTGAAGTTTTTGATTCAAACATTTTTCAGCAGAATATTACAGATAAGAGTTGAGATAGGGAGAGACAAGAAACCGACTTCTTATCATTTTAAGGCTCACATCAAACAGTTTCATAGTGAGATAACGCAGCAAAAGACAATGGATAGGCATTTGCAATTATTTTACTTGCCACCAGTGAAGAGATAATCCAAGGATGATCCTCCTCCAGGAGCTGCATGAACTTTGGTCGAAGGACGGTCCTGCACAGAGAGAGAGAGAGAGAGATAGAGTGTGTGAGTATCAATACCTTTTCAATTCACGGCTATAAAACGGACACGAAAACGAAACATACAGTGAGGAAGTTGCCGGTGTTCTGTCCTTCAGCTCTGGCATAGTTGTTAACAGGAGTTTTGATACCAGCAGGAATCTGCTTGTTAAGCTCTGCTGGCTCAACAGAAGTAGTAGCAGTCGTGAGTGCGGTTGCGGTCGCAGCTGTTACTGGTTGTGCAGTTCCGTTGTTAGCCTCAACAGGAGTGGGACGAGAAGCTGGAACTGGCTTAGGAGCAGGAGCGTCACCACCACCAAAGAGATAATCCAATGAGCTTTGACCTCCACCACAACTGTTTCCACGACCCATTGTATAAAATGAAACCTAGCACAACAAAGCAAAACCCGAAACCTAATAAGAAACTATAACTTCGAAGCATCATTCGACATTCAGAGATAACAGATTCAGAGCTGTAACAAAGTTAGTCTGAATTTAATTGTGAAAATGCTGCTTCTAGTATCATCAATGCATCATAATTTCTTAAAATTCTCAATCAGAAATGCAAGATTCAGAGTTGTAGCAATGTCAATTATACAAAACCACATAATCATCAACTCGAAATTCAAAATTCTCGAAGAATCTTAGACGAAGAAACCTAGATTTTAGCCAATATCGGAACAAGTGCGAAGAACAATCAGATCTAAAACCAGCGAAATCAAATCACCATTTCTATATTCATGAATCTACGAAATCGCTAGAGACGAAATCTCCAAAAATTGAGGATTAAAAACACCGAAGCATAATCGATGAATCGAAACGTAGGAATCTACGATCTAACTTCGGCTAAGACATCAGAGAAACGAAATTGAAGCGATCTGGAGAATTTTAGGGTTAGAGAAACAAACCTTTTGGTGAAATTGGCGATCAGATCTAGAAGAAGAAACTGAAGGAGAAGAAGCAAAACGCAGACTCGGAACTGACTACTGAGTCATAGAAGCGAGCCACTCTATTTATAAACTCGGACCGGTTTTTTTAGTGTCAGAGTTCCGGTTTAATGGATCGGTTAACCAAAAAACAAAATTCTGATTAAATAAGACAAAAAGATTCACATCTTTCAGCGAAATATCTTAATTAAAAGTGATATTATTCCAAAACCGGTGAAAATTTTATTGGAGCTTTGTGAAATTTCAAATAATTATTTCGGATTTGGATTAGAACAAGTAAAAAATATTCAATTAGTAAAGAGATAACCAGTGAAATTATTGGTGCTTTAAGAAATTTCACGACGGTGGTGAGGTTCGTGGGCCATTGTCATGTAATGGCGAGTCTTTGTCATTGTTCGAATCTAATAATTATTAGCCGTTTTTATCATTTAAAAATTTGAACTTTGAAACAAAAGATATTTTGGTGTTTCTGAAGAAAACAAAAATTAGAAACTTTTTTGACTTTGAACTGTTTTAAGTCTCATGTAGCAGATGCTACTACTAGTTCATGTTTAGTGTGGTTGAAGTAATAATTGCCAGTAGCAAGCAACATTAAGCTCAAAACACCAAATTGACATGCGAATCCTAAACGGAAAACAGTGGAAGTCTCTTTCTTATTCTTAATCGGATTCGGTTTTGAAGGCGATCTTCTGGACTTCCTCAATGATGAATAAGCTTCGACTTCTTCCGTTGTTAATGCGGGTTTAAGAGATCCTATGAAGTTAGGAAATGGCGTTTGAAAACAGAGGTTGCTGCGATGTTTTCTCTAAGCAAGACAGTTCCACTTTCTCTGCATAGACCCTCGAGCTCGGCACCAGTAAAGAGCTCGGTTTCTTCAGCTATTTTTCCGAGATCAACGTCATCTCCTAGTGTCATGTAGCGTGTATGCACTTGTAGTATTTCAAACCGAGCTTCGAGATCAGGCGGTGGCACATATAGTTCCTAAACAAGACATTTGAAGAAAAGGGTAACAATGAGGTTTACTATTTACAAAACTCGTCTGATTTAAATATCCAATATGAGGAATTACAAGATCAAATCGACCAGGCCTCATTAGAGCAACATCAATTGCATACAGGCGGTTTGTGGCAGCCAAGACGAGAATTCCCTAAACCAATAGAATATCATTCCCTCAAACATTCTTTTAAGTTTAACCCTGCTCAAGGCGGGGATCAAAATCTAGTCTAAGAGAACTGAGCACAGCTAAATGAAACTGGATTTATCAAGGTATAAACAAAGTAAATGTGTTCTCAAAGTGGGAAAAAACTATCATCTAGGATGTTGAGGAGCTGGGATGATTCCCCATTTTCTTCGAACTTGCTCTAAATCTTCACTAAAGTGACGCTCATAGTACACACACATGAGGTCAGTGCATTGTCTTCCAGCTCTAACAGCCCAAGGAAGGTAATGCTTCAAGAACATTGATCTCTGCTTCTCGTTGAACCTCACAGTGCCTCCAATCACAGAAAGCATACACATCGGAAGATACATTTGCTCAAACTCTATAACTTTCAAAGCCGACTCGCCGATAAGATTCGTAGGAAGGCCAAAGAGAGTGTGCCATAAGTCATGAACTTCACGCGCCCGTGTCGCTACGTAAGCCAATTCATCCGTCTCCATGAATCTTACAGGCGGACGATCATCGGGAGAGAAGTTTCTAGATCCCATGAATTTAGCATATGCAGCTCCAAATGTGTTGTCTGGTAGATCCCAAGCATGACCTACTTGCTCTGACACTACACGAGGTCTCTCCAATAATATAGCCTTCAAAGTAAAGAAACCACCAAATATCAAAACACCATTGTTACCAAAATCTTAGAAACAAAGACGAATCATTCATCAAGTAGAATCTTAATCAATTTAAACCTAAGAATTGTTCATAGCTAAACATCAATCATTGCTCAAATTGTAATCAAATCGATTTGCTAATACAAACAATCTCCAATTCATTCACAAATCAATGATTTTGTCGAACAATAAGAGAAGCGAGAGATTTGAAAAAACTCACTCTTCCTTCTTCGCTCTTCTTCATCTTCTCAAGAACCATTTCAAAAGCTGGTTTACCAGTGGTTTCACCGAGAGCAGCGATCAGATCCGCTCTACGAGGATCTACCAACGCACCGATAGCAGATCCCATTGCCACCGCAGCTTGTTGCCATCGCCTCAACGGAACTCGAGCTCTTTCGATGATCATCGTTCGTAGAGTTGACCTATTGTATAAAACGAAAGCTGACAACAGTGGAATCTACGATCTAAGCTCGCCTATGACATCAGAGAAACGAAATCAAAGCAATCTGTAGAAGAAGAAACTGAAGAAGAAGAAGAAGAAGAAGCAAACGCAGACTCCGGTTTAGATAGTGTCAGGTTCCGGTTCAATTGATTGGTAAACCAACAAACAAATGATATTTTGGTATTTATGAAGAAAACAAAATTAGAAACTTTTTTTGAACTTTGAGCTGTTTAGGACTCATGTAGCAGAAGCTACTAGTAAATCATGTTTAGTGTGGTTGAAGTAATAGTTTCCAGTAGCAAGTAATATTAAGCTCAAAACACCAAATTGCCATGAGAATCCAAAAACAGTGGATGTCGCCTTCTTTTTGCTAATCGGAATCGGTTTTGAATAAGATCTTTTCGCCTTCCTGAATGATGAATAAGTTTCTACTTCTTCGATTGTCAATGCGGGTTTAAGTGAGCTTTTTGCGGTTTGGAAATGGCGATTGAAGACGGCGGTTGCTTCGATGTTTTCTCTAAGGGAGACAGTTCCGCTTTCTCTGCATAGACCCTCGAGCTCAGCACCTGTAAAGAGATCGGTTTCTTCAGCTATTTTTCTGAGATCGACGTCGTCTCCTAGTGTCATGTTGCGTGTATGCACTTGCAGTATTTCAAACCGGCCTTCTAGATCAGGCGGTGGCACGTATAGCACCTAAACAAGACATTTGAAGAAAAGGGTAACAATGAGGTTTACTATTTACAAAACTCGTTTGATCAAAATATTGAATATGAGGACTTACGAGATCAAATCGACCAGGTCGCATTAGAGCAGCATCAATTGCATAAGGGCGGTTTGTGGCAGCCAAGACGAGAATTCCCTAAACCAAAACCCCATCAATATCATAGCAACCCAATAACAAAGATAAAATCTTTAAAAGCCTATGAGCTTTTGTTTACCTTTGCTTCTTCAAGACCGTCCATTTCGGTTAACAGTGTAGATAGAAGCCTTTCTCCAACTGTAGAACTATTGCTTGAGCTCTCATCACCTCTACGAAGACCCAAGGAAATAAACATGTTAAGAAGAGTCTATAACACGAAGCAAGAGTTAGGAGAGATAGAGACAAACCTTTTACAGGCGACAACATCAGCTTCATCAAAGAATATTATACTTGGAGAAGCAAGTCGAGCTCTTTGAAATGTATTCCGCAATAATGCTTCACCTTCTCCAACATACATAGAAAATAGCTCCGCACAGCTGCATCGCACCCCACACAAAGACACAAGAAAAAATAGGTTCCTTTAAACAAGTTTCACAACCAAAAGGAGTTTTCCTTAAACGTGATCAAACAAGCTCTCAACTTTCTGATTTGCAAAAACTATACCTTAAGGAAAAGAAGGAGGCTTGAGCAGCATTTGCAGCGGCTTTAGCAAGAGTTGTCTTTGAGCAACCTGGAGGACCATGTAGAAGTATCCCACGCATTGGCGATATCCCCATTTTTACAAATGCAGCTGAATGTTTGATTGGCCATTCAACAGCTTGCTGGAGCTTTTTCTGTCACAAGGAAAAAAATCATTAATCGCAATTGAAAAAACAGGACAACAAGGTTCAAAATGAAATATTATTAAAAAGTATTGACCTTTAAGTCTTTAAGACCACCAACGTCGTCCCATGTCACTTTAGGGATTTCAACTGTGATGCCTCTGTTTATACTTGGACCAACCACAGATTTTGCAATCTTGAAGTCTTGCGATATTAGGATAAGAGGATCTGAGGATCTTTTACTTGCAGATATGGTTGCTTCGCGACATAAAGCTTCCAAATCTGCCCCAACATAACCGTTGCAAGATATGGCTATGGCTTGAAGATCGACACTAGAATCTAAATTGACTTTCTTTGTGTACAGCTGAAAAAAAAATAGAAAACATGACAATCACAAACAAACTTCCTATTTACGAAAATCCCATATAAGAACTCGATAATTACCTGCAGGATTTTTAAACGATCATCCTCATTTGGCGTGCTCACTTCAACTAAAGCATCAAATCGTCCTGCCCTTCTTAGCGCTGGGTCAATGGCATCCACCCTTTTGACAAGATCGGGGAAAACCATTGGATCATTGCATTCAAAAACCAATGTTACTTAAACTAATATAATGTTTAAAGGTAGACAAGAACCTATTTGTGGATGCTACAACAACAACTCTTGGTGCAGATGATGAAGGCTTGTTTGAGTCCATGAGTGTAAAGAGTTGAGAAGCAATACGAACATCTTGCTCTCGTCTGCATTGTAGTGAGAACCAAATTATTCTCAATCTATTAAAGATCTCATTAAAGATAGCAAATATAAACTAGGGGTGACGCAATACCTAGCATCACGACGAGGACAAAGAACATCAATTTCATCAATAAAAATCACAGATGGTTTGTCTGAAGCAGCGTGAGAAGAAGCCTCTGCGAAAGCTTCCCTTAAGACTTTCTCGCTTTCTCCAGCATGTGCTCTATGTACAGAATGAGGGCTAAACAGAGCATTTGACACACAAAGACAAATCATAAATCGCTTTAGCCTCTATCACTCGAGAGCATAAATTATACAGAAGCTACAAAACAAAAGTACCTTAAAACAATCAAATGTGCATCACATTCTTGGACAACAGCACGGACCAAGCTTGTCTAAAACAATCAAAATTGCAAAACAGAGCGGTTGAATTAGCTTATGTAAGATCAAAGTTGAGAACTTTATAGAAGCCAACACATTTTGGATTGAACAATTCGAGCTTGAAACAGAGTTTTTACCTTGCCGGTTCCAGGAGGACCATATAGAAGCAATCCTCTAGGCCACTGCAATGATAAGTAAAAGCAGAGCTAATTAAACAATTGAAAAACAAAGAGAGAAGCTATGAATTCGAGATAGGTGTTGATGTGTACTTTGAGACCAAGAGTTCGAGCTTCGAGAGGGTAACGAAAAGGGAAGATAATGAGTTCTCGAAGCGCTTGCAGAGCTCTCTCGTTGCCACCAATTTCAGCTTCCGCTCGCCATTTCTCATCGCCGACGATGTTGTCGCAGACACTGCTTTCCGTTTCCATCAAAAAGGACCAAACTTTGGGATTAACAAGTTGTGGGCTTTGCAGGGGTTTATGCGCCTGAGCACGAAAATCACCACCGTGGCACAAAATTGATTTTGGACAATAATGTTAGGGCTTTTGTTTTTTCTTGTGATATTCCAATTTTACCCTATTTTCTACTAACGTTTGAGATTGAGCAAAATACAGAATCAAGTGGTTCAAGTCTTAACATTTCCTCTTATTAGTCCCTTTCTTGTTCAATGTTCAAACCAGTTTTGAGAACATTGAAAGAATGTTTCTTTGTATAGGATACAATGGATAACAAAAATTGGTTTTACAGATAGTTGTCTAACATGAATCAGAGGAAATTAGTGTGACGGTGCTTGGAATCTCACGCTCCCGGCAGAAGCCTGGTTTGCGGCACGGTTACTTCCAAAATTCTTCCGGTTTGATTCACGAGCGATTCTCGATCCAAACTAAAAACCATAACCAAAGTCCAAACAATAGTGAGAGAGAGAGGGCTTAAAACACAGTACAAAGCTTTCAACTTTACTGGTTTTTGAAGTTGAGTTCTCTCAGAAAGTTCTCCTCTTCTTACCTGAATTGCTCTCTTAGGCATCTTTGCAACTTCATGTAAACCAAGCAACTTTGCAACCTTCAAGATTTTAAGCAACATTTCAGGTTTATGAAGCTTCTGGAATATGTTCATGAGGCTTTCTTAAAGTACAAAAATTGTAGCTTTTATTTACACTCACCTGTCTAAGAATCTTCTTGTCTCCCTTTCCACTTGGTTGCTCAAGATCAGCGATTTCCCACAATGGAATGTCAAGGAGAGTCTTTATCACATCTTCATCTAAGAACGGGAATCGCCCCTGAACATGTAATTTAAAACAAGATTTAAGAACATAGCACAAAGAATAAACGATTTGAATTTCTAGTTGTGGCATGACCTTATACCTCTTTACCATTATCTGCAATGCATCGATCATCTCGACCCAAATTTCTTTTCCAAATTCTCTGCATATCCAATTTCATTTCTTGATCCAATGCAACCCAACTGAAAAAATGAACTAAACTTTGTGAGATGAGGTTATTATTAGTTTACATCCATAAGACATGTATACGTAGACACATATCCTATACATATATGAATAATATACCTTCCGTTTCGATATTTTGTTCTGTGCCTACCATAACCAGCACATTGCTCATCAGCACCAGCGCCAACAAGCAGAATTCTAGCATCAGACTTATATTTGACCCGCTGTTTATCTTCTTCTACATTTGGATTTTCATTATCTTCGTGAATCCAACCATCACCGCGAGCAGCTAACCATAGTGCTGTTCCTATGTTAAGGTCCTAGAGCATTGCAACAAAGATTGTACAACTCTCATAAAGTTCGGAAGAATGTAATCAGAATGCTCAAGACTTTGAGGTTTACCATGTAAGTGTCTGCAGGATTTATGAGTGACATAACACGTTCTGTCTCAAAGGTTAGTTTTGACAGATCAGCATCAATCTCAACAAGTTTCCACCTGAAAATTCCAAGAACATTTGTATCAACATAAATAGTAATAGATATATGCATTTTTCATAAAAGGTTTTGGAGTTCAACCTTCTCAAAGGTGCAATCTTTTTAAGTTCCTTTATTCCAGCCCGGGCGGAGATCCTATCAGGAGCATTAGGACCGTCAAAACTGACATTAAGGAGATCAACTTCATCTGAAGAAATAGATATTAATTCTTTTGATTAGTTTCAGAATTGTTGTCCGAGACAGAAGCAGTGTGGAGGAATGGTTACATTTTGAATCAAGGCACTGATCCAACAGCGCAGCAAGAATCATCGAATCCAATCCACCAGAGAAAAGAACAGCTACTGGGACAGCTTCTTTTTCTCCCTGTTTATGCCAAGACAAAGGTGTTCAGAAGAAAACATATAGCGTCAGAGAAAAAGAAAGTTTAAGCTCATACCTGATAAATGCTATGAAGCGAAGTTCGCCGCCTCACTGATTCCTTTAACACGACCAAAACTGTCTGCGCAAATCCTAAAGCTAAACCTTGTCAGGCATATGAGATTTGGACAGAACTAGAGGAATCAAACGAATTTTAAGCAGTACCTAAAGAAGTTGAAACAGATTTGTCTTCCTGAATTCCACTATGTGATGACGTAGATAGATCTTCAGGTCTAGGTACAACTAATTTCCTTTCCCATTCAATCAATTCTTTCCAGATGGTATTTCTCCACTCGTGTTTTCTGACTTCACCACGAATACATAATTCTGAAACCCCAAAAGAAATGCTGTACACGCCACATGGAAGCTCTTCCCAAAATCTATGAATGCTATTACCATTTTCAGTATCCAATCCTGCCAAAGAACAACAGATGTTACTTCGCCTTGGAGTGTACATAAAGAGACAAAATTACTCTACTAAGCAGTACAAACCAGAACCTTGAGCAACTGAAGAAGCTGGTGAAACAGACGATAGAAGAAAACGAGGGTCTTCCACCGTCGGCCAGTGAACAAGGAGGCTCCTCCGACCAAAAGCATCTTTACCAAACCATAGCGTTCTTGAGGTTTCCTGATAGAGAAAACAGCTGTAAGAGCAAGTAAAAATGCTACATAAAATATAGCGGCAAGTTCCAACATTACCTGCCAATATATAATGGCCCAGGGGCCTTTAATCATCGAAAGAACATCTGGAACTAAAGCTTTTGCTTTCTCTAAAGACTTCAAAAGCACTTCAGTATCATTATCATAGCTGTTGAGTTCAATTCCGCCAAATACTTCGCCTGGACGGAAAATATACCAATCAATTTCATATAGTCGTAAAAGAAAACATATGATAATTATAAACCTTAAAGATTAAGACCAGACCATTGTAAGCAAGAATGTTCCCAGAAAAATCCACCAATGGCTGCCTTATAGGACTAGTTCCTCTAAGCTGTAATGTAGAACCAATAAAATGCAATTCACCCAAAGAAGTAGTCTCCTCAAGCTTATAAGTTCCTTCACTAGCCTCAGAAACAGAGAGAGTCACAGAATCTTGACCACAAGTTGATACATTTGGTCGAAGATGAATAGTCTTTTCTCCAACACTATCAGGACCTCTTTGGCCTAAGACAGATTTAACATCTTCAACAGAGACTTGTAACTGGTTTAACCAAAGAAAACACCAAATTAGCTCATCTATGAACAACCAAATTCACTCTCATTAACCATCGACAAAAACTCAAAAGTGTAGATCTTTCTTTCTAAATAAGAATAATTGGTATTGAAACTCGATTAAAGATTCAAGCTTTATCAGTAATGCTAAACTTCAGACAGAACCAAAACCTAAACTTCAAACCCAATATCTAAAATCACAAGTGACGTCGGAGAAAGAGATTTACTCGTTCAAAAGGAGTCTCAGTTTCAGAGAGAAACGAAGAAAGTGTCGAGAGTTCGATACGAACGCCGCACACAACAACCGCAATTCCGCACATATCTCCGCCGGCTTCTGTGTCTGGTCTCCGTTCCCGTCAAAGAGGCTGAATGGAAGTGCGGTACGACTCCGGTGCGGTGACCCTAATCACAGGGTCACCGACGAATGAATCTCCGATTTAACAGTGGTCCGTTTCAAAAGCGTGAAGGCTGCGATGACTTATATGAAAATTGAACTTACTGCAAATCACACTTAAAAGCTCCGTTTGTGGTGCGGCAAGGTTACAGAAACATGTCATTTTACAATTTTGTCCTCGTCTATTTAAAAGAATTACAGAGGTTCTAGAAACTTTTCTCGTCTAAGCATTTTTATCACTTTCACTTTTCTCACGTTCAGATCTTCGCCACCATAGTTACCGGCGTTGTTTTCAGGCCACTACCGTCATCTCTCTCCGTCATCATCTCCATCATCATCGTCTTCTCAATTTTGAAGCATTTTATGCTCTAATCGGTAAATTTATATAATTTTCGTTTTGCAAACAATGTTGAAATTGTAGAAGTTGCAATCCAGAAACTTCATTTTATCAATTCATTAGCTTTTGTAGTATAGTCAATGATGGATTCATTAGCTTTTGATTGAAGAGATAAAGCTTACTATATATTGCATACCATGTGTTCGATGATATGTCTAAATGAATTTTGTCCACAAGACTCATTGATTGTGTGTATTGGTTTCAGAGAAGTATGTATCTTAAGATGACAAATTGTGATTCTAAATTGAGTTTCAAATGATTATGTGTCTTAAGGTGTTACTAAACTGAGATTTTGATGAATTAAAGTTACAAGCATCCATTTTTAAGTTTGAAACAAATGGTTTTGAATTTTATTGGGTTCTTGTTTGTTAGCTCACATGGATCATAGTATATATAAAACAAAGACTTTTGATTTGGTAACTCATGTTATCTATCATTCATACTAGTTGCGTCAAAAGTGTAATTTTTTTGCATTAGTCTGTAAATAAAAGTTGTTGACGTTTTTTGTCTTTGTAGATTCTACGGTGTATTCCATTTCCTCATTTATTTATGATTTCATTGAATGGGTCACTGCAATGATGATTTATTAGTGTATTTAGAGAAACTGAAGTTGAATATATATAGGTACAGAGTATATACTAGATATTTGGTGACTCATTTAACAGCTTTTGATAAACTTCTAATGACCTTTAAGCATAACTCATCTTTAGGCATAATCATGATTATATCTTTTGACAAAAGTTCTGTTTTGTTCTGCTGAGACTCTCTTAGTATAATTGTCTTCATTTTGATCTGTTGTTATGTCTCTATTTGCTTATTGAAATCTAAAGCTTCAAATTTTGTGCTTCTTGATTCTAATTATGTTGTTTTTATAGGTTCTAGAGATCGGAGAGAATGACAAAGCAACAAAGATCAGAACAATCTACAGATGATCCAACTACCGATAGTAAAAGATTCAAGTGGTCGCCTAATTTGGCTCGTGGGCACCTGGAAATTTGTGTGGAAGAGAAAAGAAAAGGGAATTGGCAAAGTAAATGCTTGACAGAAATTGGTAGGATGAATCTTAGAGCTGAATTTTTTAAAAGGTTTGGGTTAGACTGGAAATATGACAATCGTCTAGACACTGTTAAAAGACAGCATGAATCATACAAGCGGGTTATACCTGATTCCTCTGCAGTGAGATTTTGTGAACAGACGGGAGCAATCGAAATGCCTTTTTCTTGGTGGGAGAACTTGATCAAGGTATACACTATAAATTTTATTAAGTAGAGTAAACTCATTTGCTATAGAGTAAATTTTATTAAAATCTATTTGAGACAATTGTTTATGTTTGTCTCTTTCCATTGTAGGAAAAACCCGAAGCGAAAACTCTTCGTAACTATCCTATAAGAGATATTCCGCTCATTGAACAACTTTTTTCTGAGGAGTCAATTTCAGTTGGTGATGATGGATGGCAACACCATGATGGAGCAAGTCATTTGCCTTTCGAAGGAAATTCTGTTGAAGATATTGAGCTTAACACCTCTCCCGAAGCTGATTAGGAGGAGGATTGGGATGATCAGAAGCAACCAAAATTTATTAAACAGTGATTTTTCTAAGTAGATTTTAACACTTATAAGACAATCTTTTAAAATATAAAATCTCATTTTGATGCAAAAGACAAATTTGTTCAGAATTATATTATTTATCATATATTATAATTTTTTTTTTGATGGATGTTGGTTTACACATAATTAATATAGAAATTTAATTTAAGAAATGCTTATTTACTGTTATTAATTTATAAACTGAATTAATGTAAAAAAGATTAAAAATACAAAAATAATATAACTAAAGGCTAATTTGGTAATTTTGTTTTCTAGTCACACTCAAATCGCATCCAAATCGCTTTGCCATTCAAAAATATGATGTAATCGCATCGCACCCGAATTGTATCTCCATTCATAATTTTAACTAATCGCATCGCTCCCAAATCACATCGCTCCCACACTCAAATCGCAATCGCACTTGAAACGGACTGCCATTCAGGGCCAAAGTTGTCATGAAATCGCTTAAAGCCTGTTTAACAAGTAATAATAACGTTCTTGTAAAATGATTTGAGAAAATGAACAAATTGCCTCCGTAGCATAGTGGTATTGCGTTCGCTTCGTAAGCGAAAGGTCGTGAGTTCGATCCTCACCGGTGGCTTTTTAATTTTAATTTTTTTTTTTTTTAAAAAAAAATTGGGCTTGCTAAATTAGCATTCTTTACCAAAACATTGAAAATATGTGAGACATTCGATTGGAAATTAACAGAAAACTATAAATAAAGCTCGCACATAATTTTACATTTTTAGCAAAGGAAAAAGAACATCTTATATACAATATACATATTTTTGAGTGTATTTGTTGCAAACTTACAATAGAGAAAACGTATTAGTTGAATCTAATAAGAAAAAGACGGTATTAGGCTATTATTAGTTGAGAACTTGAGATACACTTTTTGTACAAAAAGAATTAATGTGTAAAATATCCATATATGATATATCATAGCATTGTATGTCATCATGTCAAAAATCTTTCTTCTAGTGAGAATGACTTGTTCTGAACAAATTTTGTCAAGACAATTTTACTTAACAAACTATGTATTCATTTCTCCTTATGTGTAAACGACAACTTTCTAAGAGCATTTATCATACTTAGATATGGTTTTAATATTATTTACAAAAGAAAAGAAAAATAAATAAGGGTAAAAATTCTACAACATACAAAAATATCAAAAATGTGAACTTTGTAACATGACAATTAAAACTGTTCTTCAGTGATTTTAATATTTTTTAGTCTATTTTCAAATACGAAAAGGTAAAATTGTTTAAATTAAATAATAGCATGATCTTTTTTTCAAGCACAAAATCTTTATAAGGTTTAACATATAGGATATTTGTCAATAAAAATAAATAAAAGTGTGCCTCTACACGTACGTAGTCATGTTGAGACTCATCTCCTCTTTCCTAATAGTTATTTTCAGCAAAAAGATGCAAACGTTATGAATTAATTTTCCGCTAAAGAGTCTATACCCTTCTATCTAAATGAATGAACATATAACTTTAAACTTCTTTATATATAAAAAAAAAATTTAACGCAATAAACAACTGATCAGATACTATAGCATCACCAATGCCTACCTCTCTTGGTATGTAGGACATACTATGGCATCACAAAGTGTCAAATTAAAACAAACTTGTTATGGCGGTTACTGGAAAAAAACTTGAAATTACCTGCTGTGGAGCTTCAGATTTCCTCACAGAATAGTTATGGTGGTTATCCCACTCTTCATTCACTTTTCTGTAAAACGGACGCACAGCTCGCCAATCTTGTCCTTTATGTTGGCTAAACTTAACTTTCGTATGTTTACTCCTGCTTCTCGATAGACGTTGCAACTCTGATTTTTTCAGTCCGAGTTGCCTAAAGCATTTGTCCGGACGGTTGTAGGCGACCACATTGAGACAAATACACGGAACCCGCAGATAGATCATCGACAACTGATCTTTGAACTCATCGGATAATTCACCAAAATCATGATAGGGCTGCCAAACAACCTGCATAAATATAATCAAGCATTTAACTTACAAGAAGAATACATCACAATATATTTGCAGTTTATATCCTAAAATAAAGTATTACCTCATCTCTCTTCATATTCTGAAGCAAATCTCGGAATGTTTCTATCCTGGTTCCATTCACTGGGGCTTTGGACAAAACATCCATCCAGGCTAACATAAGAGGAATTTTTTTGGCTGGAGGAGTTAGAGAGAGTTCCTCACGGACGCATGCAAACCTTTCTAAAGCAAACACCTACAATAAAGTAACATAGAACAAGAATTGTGAGTATGTATTATGAATTAAAGTAATTAATTTTCACTTCATTAAATAAAGACCTTACCATGATAGCATAAACAAACCCAGATATGCTTCCAGTTTTCCTCTGATCAAGAAGAGCCTTGGTGTCATTCAATGAATCTTTTAGGAATCCCACCATCGCGGCTGATTAGGATTTGGAAACCGATTAATTTTCACTTTATTTATCTAAAACCGAATCCAAATCCAATCGATCTGCTTTTTTTCTCCACACACAAATAATATTTTGTTTTTGTTTGTGAACAATATTCAAAACTCCCAAATCTATAAAAATCAAAAACTAATTAGGATTTGGAAATCAGAAAAACAACCAATCAAATCAAATAAAAATCATAACTAAACTGTAAACAGAATGCACATGATATGATTACGTGGCAAAATATTATTGGAAAAATATCCAAAAAGTTGCAAAAAAGCATTGAAAAAAAAAAAGCCAAAACCAAATTCCCAATTCTGGTCGGAGATTGTCTGTAAAAAAACCCTAGAAGCCATATATAAACATCACAACTCGTTTCTTCTCCTTCCTTCTCTCTTCTTCACTCTAATTGCGATTGATTCTCTTGTCTTGTCCAATTTATCAGGTAATTACTTCTGCTTCATACATAATTTTCCAATCTCTCAATTCATCTTTTTGCTTCAGTTTATCAGTTTATCAATTTCTCAAAATCGACTAGTTATAGATCTGTGGAAGTTCAATTTAAGCCTCACATATATATTATCTGGAGAGAAATAAAGTATGTGTACTTGCAATTACAATAAGCTATATAGATTTTCGTACTATAAAGTTAGATCCACAAAGTACAATTCTAAGTTATGCAAATTAACTTTTTCGTTTCTTGATTTCAAACAAAAAGAAACTGTTTTATGCAAATTGGAGTTCTTGTGATTCTGTTTCTATTCAATACTAAATTTCGTTTGATTCTATATTGCTTGTGACTGTCTTAAAGAGTGTTTTTTTTTTAATCTCTTGGATTATGCAGAGATGACACCTGAATCAAACGCTCCATCAGTAGATCCACAATTTGTAGGCAATGGGTTTGTTCAGGAATACTATAACCACCTTTATGAGTCATCCTCGGAAGTACACAAATTCTATCTCGAGGATAGTTTGATTTCACGGCCGGGTCTCGATGGTGAGATGGTTACTATCAAATCCTTGAAAGTAAGTTCCTTTAATGGCATAGCCACTTGTATAGTCTGTCTTCTTTTTGGTTAGGTTCTTTTTATTCATTAGACGTAGGTTTCATCGTGTTTGCAGGCTATTAATGATCAGATAATGTCCGTTGACTACAAAAGCTCGAAGATCCAGATTCTGACTGCTGATTCTCAACCAACTTTAAAGAACGGCGTTGTAACTCTAGTCACGGGTTTAGTGATCGGGAAAGATGGAGGAAGAAGGAAATTTTCTCAAAGTTTCTTCCTTGTGCCGCGGAATGGAAGCTACTTTGTGCTGAATGATACATTTAGGTACGTGTCTGATGAGTTTTTTGAACCAGAAGCTACCAAGGAGGTCGAGGAGAGTCCTCAAGTAATTGAGTCAACAAACGCTATCATTGGTAAGTCGTTTTACCAATGGTTTATTTATCAAGAAGCTGAAATTTTTTCACCATCTTGACATTGTTTTGATTTACATGGTATTGGTTTTGATCGGTAGAGCCTGCAAATGAAATTGTAGAGGCAGTTATTGTCCCTACTCAAGCTAAAACTACAGTGACAAAGCCCGCAAGTGTCATAGCAAACGGACATGCGAATGTCCCTGAGGAGAAAGTTGTGAATGGAAACAGCAACATGCCTAAAGCTGCTGAAGCAAAACTTCAAGAGGAGGCTCCCAAGAAATCCTTTGCATTAATTGTGAGTCTCCTCCTTTTTGCTTAATTTCATAATCTATTGGGTTTTATAGTATAATAACATCTAATCTCTTGATGTAATTTCAAACATATAGGTCCAATCTCTAGCTGAAAACGCTGGTACTTTTCAGGATAAAGCTTCACTGGCCAAGGCTAAACGTGTCGAAAAATCTGTTGTTGCTCCTAAGCCCAAAGCTCCTGCCCCAATTCCTAAACAAGCTTCTGGTGAAACCGTTAAACAACCAGGTTGGTTATTCATTGTTTTAATAGTTAAGAACAATGAAATTGAAAAATCTTCTTGTTGCTTTTGTCTCATTTGATTATTTGTTTTTCATGTATTAGCAGCTCAGGGTAGTTCCATATTTGTTGCAAATTTGCCTATGGATGCGACTATTGAGCAACTCTATGAAACATTCAAAGGTTTTGGAGCTATTAGGAAAGATGGTATCCAAGTCAGAAGTTACCCGGTCAGTTATTCTCTCAATGTTCTACAGAAAATTCATTTGCATAGTTTCGAAAACCTTAGACCGTGGTTCACTCACACGCTTAAAAATTTGTGACTTCTCAGGAAAAAAAGAACTGTATCGGGTTTGTGGCATTCGAAAATGGTGAAGCAATAAAAAATGTCTTCCAGGTATGTTTTTGTTTGCGTATCAAACTCTCAGCTATAATGTAATTTGAAGTTCTTGTTATCTGATCTACAAATGCACAACTCTAGGCTCACAAGGAAACACCAATCAGAATCGGAAACCGAAGAGCATCTATAGAAGAAAAGCGAGGCAAGTTTCTTAAGGCATTGTTGTCTCCAAGATTGTAACTTTATTAAAATGTAAAAACAGAAGCCTAATCTTAATTTATTTTGGATTCTGCAGGAGGTAACAATCAAAATGGCAGCAGATCCTCTGCAAGAAGCAACAGTGGTTACAGAAACGATGGATACAAACCTCGGGGCAGTGGTGTCAATGGAGGACGAGGCTATGGGAGACGGAACAACGAGTCTGATGGGGATGGTAAAGTATACCAAAACAATGGCCATGGCAATACTGAGGCCAAAAACTAGATTAGTTTTTGCTTCTTCCAAGCTTTTTTGCCCATTGGTTGAGAATCTGAGGTTTTAGGTGATGTTAAAACAGATTTTAGTTTTCGTGGATATTTTTGTCAATGATCTTTTCGATTTGTGATTTTGTTTGGGGATAAATCTAGAACATTTTTCTTCACTCTTTGATCTATATCTTCTCATAAACAAAGGAGAGAACAAAATTGAATCGATTTAATCTCACCAAAAAAAAAAAAATTGAATCGATTTAAGGTTCTAAAGACCTACACACTTTCTTTACAGGAGATAAACTCCACAGCATTTTTTTTTTTGGTCTAATCAAACAGCAACACAGAATCAAGAACAAGAGCAGGAAGAACAACACCACGGACATTGAGGAAAACATGAGAACCACCTAAACATTGACTGCTTCTGATTTGTTGCATCTGCTGCAGGTTTTTGTGACTCTTGTGACTGCTTTGCTTGTTTCTTCTGTTCCTCTGTTTCTACCTTTCTTGAATCACTTGCAGCTCCTGCCAAACTGTAAAAGCAATAAAAAAAAACCAGAAACTTTCATTAAAACTGATCCGGAGAAAGCGAAAGGAGGAAAGGTGTATCAGGCATGGTCAAGAATAGAGTATGTACATTGGGAAAGAGAAGGAATGCGTGCTGTTTGAGCTTCGGTTAGAACGATAAGAAGTTGTAGGAGTTTTCCAAGAAACGGCGGGATGTTGTTCTTTCTCATGGCTCTCTCTCTTCTCTTCCTCTTCATCAGATGAAGATGTCTGTGTTTTTTCTACTAGTACAACTTCCACTTTCTTATCTGAATCAACAACTTTCGGTTTTTTCGACGGGTTTTGGTTCTGATCCTGGTGGAGGAGGCATAGGAAGTCCAGGACTATACGCTAGTAACTCTCCCGATTTATAGAGTTCCCCTGATTTCATCAAATCACCACCATAACCAGTGAAACTGTTGTGTCCTAGATGAATACTAAAGAGAGATTCGTTCGAAGTGCAGCTCCATTCAGCTGGTATATTCGATTTGCTTCTCTCGAAAACCGAAGATGGAATCCTATTCGGGTCATATTTTCCGTTATTATTATCTCTATCCATTACTTGAACAGGTGGTGAAGAAATCTCCGGATCATTCAATGATTCTTTTACCTCTTCAGGTAGATCTTTCGGTGGCGATAAATACGAAGAAGAAGAAGACGACGAAGATGAAGAAGACGACGATAATCTTGAATGTGATTCTGAGTTAATAATTACAGTTTCTGTTTCTTCTGAATGCATCATTTTATGCTCAATATCTCCATTTTCCCCGTCTAATGAACCTTGTTTTTTTCCATCTTCATCATGTTTTTGTTTGGATAACACATCTTCTTCATGTTTAGACTCCATAAACACCTGAAGAAGCAATCATCAATACCTCATTTAATCCATTTCTCGGGTTATTCGAAACCGATATACATCCAAATAAAAGTACAAAAACATACCTTGAAATCGATTTGACCAGAAGAACCTGATGAGTGAAGTTGTGAAATTTCGTTTCTTTTTCTTGTTAGAGAGAACGAAGGAAGAAGAAAAATTAAGATGAGGAAAAGGGGATCTAGGGTTTCGTTCGTTATCTGGAGATAAACAGAATGAAAGGTATCTCGTAAAGTTCGGAACTTTAACTAATACAAAACCATGGCTGCGTTTCGCGCCATGTCGACGACTCTTTATCTGTTCTGTTTATAAATGATCCTCTGTGTTACGGTCTATTTAAGAAACCGTGTTCTATCCAATAGATAAAGGCCTTGACTTTGAACACGTGGCATCAAATACTAGAACAGAAAAAAGCCATTGTTCTTCTTCTTCTTCTTCTTCTGTTACTTGGGGAAAGTGAAAGCTTGTAAACGAAAGGTAACGTTTTTATGGAATCTAGGGTTTGTATTTCCCTTTACGGTATCATGGTCTTTAAAAGTTTCTTCTTTTTATTTTCGGAATCTTTGGTATGTATTTGTGAATGGATATGATCCTGTAGACCTAATTGATCGGTGTGATTTGTATTCGATAGTTAACGATTGATTCTTCGAATTAAGATACTGAATTTGAGAATTGGATCTTATGTAACTGTAAATTTTGTGGCTTTTCTTCATTTTAGTGTCTTAAGAACTTAAGACCTAGATTGGTAAGAGATTTGAGGGTTTTATCAAAGGTGGATTCTTTATCGTCGACGCAGTTTCATGTCAAAATTTGTTGTTTTCAGGTTTGAAACTGTGGCAAAAGGCTTCTGTTTATCTGGAAACTGTTCATCTGAATGGTGACAGGTTTGGTTCTGGTGCATTAGTAAATTGTAAGGAAGAGAGGATATAGCAAACATGGGAGAACAACTGGATCCATTTTCCGCTTCTAATCTTCCGGATTTCATTTCGTCTCAAAAAATTGGCAGACCGGTTAATTTCGAAGGACAAAATAACCGTGGGCATCCTTTTTCTGGTCTTAAGAAGAGAGGCCAATCTAGTCGTTCTTGGGTGAAAATTGATCAAGATGGAAACTCGGCGGTTTTGGAGCTCGACAAGGCGACTATAATGAAGCGTTGTTCTTTACCATCCAGGGATTTGAGACTTCTTGACCCTTTGTTTATCTATCCCTCGAGTATTTTGGGACGTGAGAGAGCGATAGTGGTCAGTCTTGAGAAGATCAGGTGTATAATCACAGCTGAAGAAGTTATTCTCATGAATGGTCGAGATGCATCTGTTGTTCAGTACCAGTCGGAATTGTGCAAACGTCTCCAATCAAACCAAAACCTAAATATCAAAGGTCAATGCTTGTGATATAGCTTTGGTGGCCTGGAATTATGATACTGATTAGATTGCTGACAAAACTGTTATATGTGTCGGTTTCAGATGATTTGCCGTTTGAATTTAAAGCGTTGGAGCTGGTTTTGGAATTATCTTGCTTGTCTTTAGATGCACAGGTATGCCACACTGTCTTCTCTAATGTTTTAGGTTTCGGCTTCATCATTCGTCTATATGATTTATTGCATGATAGTTCGTGTAACTATAAAATGAGCTTTAAGCTATGGTTAAGCTTAAAAGTTTGGTGAACTTGATTTTAATAGGTGAATGAGCTTGAGATGGAGGTGTATCCTGTTCTTGATGAACTAGCCACAAACATCAGCACCCTTAATCTAGAACATGTGCGCAGGCTAAAAGGCCGTCTTCTTACCTTAACACAGAAAGTTCAGAAGGTGAAACACAAAAGACTCTTCAAATTTGAAAAAGCCTTAGTTCCATAGTTTGATTTTGGAGGTTAAAACTTGCAGGTTTGTGATGAAATAGAACATTTGATGGATGATGATGATGACATGGCTGAGATGTATTTGACCGAGAAAAAAGAAAGAGCTGAAGCTCATGCGTCAGAGGAGCTAGAAGATAACATTGGTGAGGACTTTGAATCTTCTGGAATAGTTTCGAAGTCTGCGCCGGTTTCACCTGTGGGCTCAACAAGTGGAAACTTTGGGAAACTTCAAAGAGCCTTTAGCAGCATTGTTGGCTCACATAAAAGCTTGTTAAGCTCCTCTAGCATCGGAGAGAACATTGATCAACTAGAGATGTTACTAGAAGCTTACTTCGTCGTTGTTGATAACACTCTGAGCAAATTATCATCGGTTAGATTCTTAATCTTTCTTTTCAACTCAACTACATGTTGTTTCATCATTTTGATTATGATCTTGTGTTTGCAGCTGAAAGAGTATATAGATGATACAGAGGATCTGATCAACATTAAGCTGGTAAGGACAGACAAAATCAAGTTTTGCAATCTTGTTCTTGTTTCATCCCATAATATTCTCTGGATCTCTGACTTTTATTCATGTTTTCTTAGGGGAATGTGCAGAATCAGTTGATTCAGTTCCAACTGCTTCTCACCGCGGCAACCTTTGTGGCAGCCATTTTTGCCGCTGTAACCGCAGTCTTCGGGATGAATTTGCAAGACTCTGTTTTCCAGAATCCGACGACGTTCCAGTATGTTTTGCTGATAACAGGTATTGGATGCGGATTTTTGTATTTTGGTTTTGTGTTATACTTTAAGCACAAAAAAGTATTCCCTCTCTGAAAACTTATGTTAGAGAAGAAGAAGAAGACCCATGGAGCTTCTATTGTAAAGATGAACAACTAATGTCTTTTGCTGAGCTTAGGCTTAACCTATAGTGAAACAACTGGATGTTTTTAAGATTAATGATAAAAAATAAGATTAAGAATGATGATTAGAGAAAGAGAGCATAGTTTAAAGCCAAATGTCAAAGCGAAACACAGAAGGAAAAGGAAGGCACACCATCACATCTAAGCAGATCCTGGAATAAACCACTGATCTATGTGAACACCGAATCTCTTAGGCCATGTGATTGTACTTGTAGCGAGATCGAAGATACCGCAACTTGAAGGACGGTTCCAATCCGGCCAAAGATCATTCTCAACGAAACAGATTGAATCACTCTTGATTCCATCACCAACATCTTGAACTGGTGCTCTTATTGTAACACCATGACCAAATATTATCATCTCATTTTCTCCAATAGAATACACTCTTTCCCATTGGCTACTCTCAAGATTCATCTTAAAGATGTAAAACAAAAACTTCTTTTCATGAATCTCTTCTTTTAAGCTCAAGATGATGAGAACCTCTCCTGAGTTTTGAATCACTATTTTCCTCTTCCAAATATATTCCAACGGTTGCACAAAATATCGAACTCGATACGGGTTTTTCATACCTTCTACTTTGGGGAAATCTCCAGAGAAATCAAGAATCTTGATGTCATGATCCAAAGTATACAAATAAAGATTACTGTTCTTATAAGCCATATCGAACAAACCCACCTTTGTGTCGTAGAGATTCCAGTTCATATTCTTATCATCTCCTTTCTTGTGTGAGAACAAGTAATGTTGGTTTGATATGAAAGCAACAAAATAATCCTCTGTTCTTTCGTTTATCCACAGAACAGCTGATCTTTCGAATCCTACGATGGATCGATGTGTTATTGATGGAAGATTGATCCTTTTGCACGTTAACAGGTTTAAAATATAGAAATCGAGACCAGAATGTACCATCAAGAGCCAGTTTCCGTAGCTAGCCATATAATAGCTAAAGTCAGAGAGTCCAGCGATTTTGTGAATCTTGTCTTCTTTGGGATCAAACAACTTCATAGAATTACCTTGGTGTGTGATCTGCCATGGACACAGAGGCCGCTTTACGCATGTTTTCCAAACCGAATACCAATCTGAGCAAACGGTTTTGGCTCGGTGAAAATCAATAGTGCTCAAGCTTTCGAGGATTGGTCGCAAGAGATCGTGACAAAGATTGGACCAATCTTGATTTTCAGACATTTTTCCTCTCGTCAAATCGGAATGTTTTTTCCGGCTTCTTCTTCTTTTACCTGCAGAACACTCTAATGGACCTAGGGTTTGGTTTTAGGGTTTAGAACCAAAAGAACCCTAATTAATGCTAGAAACGGATATATGTAGAATATATTACAATATATTTATTTTGAGTTGATATTTTATCAAAAATGAAAAAATAAACTAATCGCTAAACGATTAACCTGTTTTTTTTTTGTACCGTTTAGGCTTTTAGCATATGATGAGAACTTAAAATATATATATTATTCTATGAGTGATTTTATTTCAAATTATCAATGATTAGATGCGATGGTATAATACTCTGCTTTTCTTCTCTGTTTATTTTTTTCTATGTCCCGACGAGGCCATCAGAACCGCGACTGCAACTATGAACATAAACAACATACTAATAAGAAGTATATATGTTTTTCTTGATGATCTTCTGTATTCTCCAAACAGCAGTATCCCCCAAAATGTGCTCACAAGTGGAAGTGCCTGAGACTCATCAAAATCAAAGTAAGGATATGTTTATTTTCAATCTTTAAATCATTGAACAGAGAAGAGGTTTGTAGTCTTAAACCTGAACAGCGCCTGCAGCTGCATAACCAGCGGCTTGACCACCCATAAACTGAAGACCGTTACCAAATCCACAGAGAAATCCAGCCAAGAAAGACCAGCCTCGACCGTTCCAGTCAGTTAGATAAGCCTTGAAAGATGATCTTGGGAGACCAAGTATAGGCCAATAGAGAAATATGATGTTTAGTATCAGACCAACTCTAAATGAAGAGATTGAGAAGTAGAAGAAGGCAGTGTACACATTGAGTTTTGGAACTCCATGTTTCAAAGTGTGCATTTGATCGTTTGTCGCTAAGCTGACTGCAGGTGAGATTAGAGAGATACAGATACCGGCAAAGAATGTTATGGCCAGTCCAATTATCGTGCTTTTCCCAAAAACCTGTCAATACAAAACTTGAATATCAGAGAATATCAGTTATATCTGTTAAGGAAAAGGCTAAGTGTGTCCTAACCTTTATGGCTCTTTGTTTCTCAAGCTCAATAAGAAAATCTGCAGTCCCTACTTTTGCTTTTCCTTCGTTTAAAGGACTTGTCTCCATTTGGAAGGAAGAAGTAGTCTCTAAACTGAAACAAGATCAAGATTAGGTTAAAACCAAACCAAAATAAAACAAAACAAGAAACTAGTAGTGAATCTTTTTTTAACCCTTTGCAATCTTGGAGTTTGGATTTGCTATCAGCTGCATTTGATTTATGAACAGCTGAACCGAAAAAAACAGCGATCAAGAAACAAGCGACTCCCGGGAAAAGGACCTCAGCTCTGTTGATTCTATCATCCAAGAAATAGTTCAGAGTTGTGCCTGTGCTAGAGAACAGAAAAGTTCATAAGAACAGAGAAGAAACAGAGGAAAAAATCAGTTAAGAGTAGTTGAAGAGAAGAGTTTACCGATAACAACGGCGATACTAGCTGTGATGACTTCAGTTACCGATAAACCAACAAAAGCCCAAGCATATTGTATTGCTAAGGTCCCAAGGCTAAGAAAACTTCCTCCAGCCATTGCAAACATCACAGATGGCCAATTATCCTTTGATAAAAAATCACCGCATTTCAAAAACCGCAAATATATAGCTGCAAGAATTTGAAAGAGATCTATGAAATGTATTTGTAACTGACTTGAGAAAGCTGTGTGATGAAATTTGGTCTGCTTGGAGTTATTTCTCCTAGTGTAAACGCTATGATAACCGCAGCTAACAGATTTGTGAGTGTGTAGTCAAGATAAGTGTGTTGAGGAAGTCGACCGCGTCTTTCGGTTAGAGTCATGATTGCTGGCCATGTCCCTAAGAAGAGCAGATCAAAGATCATACAAGTGATTGCTCCTCCTTTGCTCTCTATCACATACATTTTATATTCGGTTATCTAACACAAAACACATGCTGATACAAGAAGATCTACATGAAACTCAAACCTCAGATTCCACTAAATTTCACTACTGACTAGTGTGTTTCTTGAAAGAGAAAACCTTATTAAAAGCTTTTGTCTTAACTATGACTTGAGGAAGACCACAGAACAGAGACAGAACAAGAAAAAAAATAACTTAGTTTCTCATTTGATTGGCAGATCCAGATTCAGGAAGAAATTAGCTTCCCATTTTCTATAAAATAAATAAATCTCAAGTTAAATAAATAAACTATAGTTTTCTTTCTCTGATGTGTAAACAAAGACAATAGAACCAATTGTTGTTAGCAAAGCCTTAAGACGGAAACCAACAAAGAAAAACACTTTGGTTAAGATATAAACAAAGACTTGAATATGTTGCAGCCATTAGTGAAGTAACTCTTCCTTCAGTGATCCTTTTAGCAGTTTAACTTGTAGACGTTTCTGTGAATTTCATTTTCAAGTCATTTTCTATGTCCCGAGGAGGCCATAAGAACCGCGACAGCGACTATGAACATAAGAAGCATACTGATGAGAAGTGTATATGTTTTTCTTGATGATCTTCTGTATTCTCCAAACAACAATATCCCCCAAAATGTGCTCACAAGTGGAAGTGCCTGAAACACATTCAAATCAAAACTAGTAAAAAATATGTCACTCTTAAATCATGGAACAGAGAATATGTTTATTGTCGAAACCTGGACAGCGTCTGCAGCTGCATAGCCTGCGGCTTGACCGCCCATGAACTGAAGACCATTGCCAAATCCACAGAGAAATCCAGCTAAGAAAGACCAGCCTCGACCGTTCCAGTCATTTAGATAAGCCTTGAAAGAAGATCTTGGGAGACCAAGTATAGGCCAATAGAGAAATCTGATGTTAAGTATCAGAGCAACCACAAACGCAGAGATTGAGAAGTAGAAGAAGGCGGTGTACACATTGAGTTTTGGAACTCCATGTTTCAAAGTGTGCCATTGATCGTTTGTCGCTAAGTTAAATGCAGGTGAGAACAGAGAAAAGCAGATACCGGCAAAGAAAGTTATCGCCAATCCGATTATTGTACTTTTCCCAAAGACCTGTCGTCAATGCCAATCTTGAATCTTCAGAGAACATAAATATATATCATTTATTTCTGTTAAGGTAAAGGAAGAGTATGTTTCAACCTTTATAGCTCTTTGTTTCTCAAGCTCTATGAGAAACGCCGCAGTCCCTTCTTTCGCTTTCCCTTTCGCTAACCCGTTGTTTGCAGAAACTGTTTCCATTTCGAAGGAAGACGCAGTCTCTAAACTGAAACAAGATCAAGATTAGTACCAAACCAAAAACCAAAACAAATATAAATATCTAGTTGTGAATCTTTTTCAAACCTTTTGAAATCTTGGAGTTTGGATTTGTTATCAGCTGCATTTGATTTATGAACAGCAGAGCCGAAACAAACAGCGATCAAGAAACAAGCGACACCCGGGAAAAGGACCTCAGCTCTGTTGATTCTATCATCCAAGAAATAGTTCAAAGTTGTGCCTGTCCTTAGTAAACAAAAAATTTCATAAGAACAAGAGAAGAAACAGAGGAAACAATCAGTTAAAAGTAGTTGAAGAGAAGAGTTCACCGATAACAACGGTGATACTAGCTGTGATGACTTCAGTGACCGATAAACCAACATAAGCCCAAGCATATTGTGTTGCTAAGTTTCCAAGGCTAAGAACTATTCCTCCAGCCATTGCAAACATCACTGACTGCCAATTATCCTGTGATAAGAAAACACCGCGTTTAAACAATATTTTTCGACACGATTTTTAAAGAGAAGTATGAATATGTGACTGACTTGAGAAAGCTGAGTAAAGAAATTTGGTCTGCTTGGACCTATTTCGCCTAGTGTCAACGCAATGATCACCGCAGCTAACAGATTTGTGAGTGTATAGTCAAGATAAGTGTGTTGAGGAAGTCGACCACGTCTTTCGGTTAGAGTCATGATTGCTGGCCATGTCCCTAAGAAGAGCAGAGCCAAGAGCATACAGGCAATTGCCCCTCCCTTGCTCTCAATCATATACATCTTTCTATCTCTCTTATAAAATCATGAAAAAACAGCTGCAAGAAGAAGAAAAGGAAGATTCTTTCGATTATCTGATTTTCGTTGTTTCATTCCTTTCCTCAATCTAAACACCCAAATTCCAGGCACAAATTGAGGATTGTAGTTCTGTCAAAAATCTATAAAGATCTCAAGAAAACAGAGTAATCATCTTAGACAACGACAAAGGCAAGGCAAGAGTAAAAATCTTTGAGGTTTCTAGTGAAGCAATCAAGAACAGAGACTAAAAAGTAAACATCTTTGACTAATAATGAGTTTCTTGAAAGAGATTATTATTACCTTTTGGAAGCTTCTGTTCTAACTCTAACGAAGAACAGACAATCAAGAACAGAGACAGAACAAAAAAGAACAAATTTTGTTTCTTCCCTTTGGGGAGATTCAGAATAATTGCTAGTCGCTCTCATATTATTGGCAGATTCGGATTCCATGAGATATGACACCTTCCTCGATATCTTTTTCAAGATAATTTTTTAGTATAAAATAAATCTCGAGTTGCGTTCCGATTTGATTCCTAGTTGATCATAAGTCAACGGCTGACACAAACTTGTTTTTATTTGATCTTTTTAATCGGAGTTGTTGTTACCCTTTGAATATTTCACTACAAATTGGCTAAAAAGAAAAAAAAAAGCAAAAGGAAGAAGAAAAAAACATGCAACAAAAGCAAAATGAAAGAGAAGTACAATTGTTCTTAAAACCCTGGAACAAACCACTGACTTTTCCAGGAAAAACCATGCCATGTGATGCTACTTGTGGCAAGATCGAAGACACCACAATTTGAAGGACAACCATTTCCTGGCGAAAGGTCATCTTTAACGAAACAGATTGAACCACTCTTGATTCCATCACCAACATCTTGAACCGGTGCTCTTATTGTAACCCCATGGCCAAAGATCAACATCTCATTATCTCCAACAGTTTTCACTCTTTCCCATTTCTTACTCTCAAGATTCATCTTAAAGACGTAAAACAAATGTACCCCTTCTTTTGTTAAACTCAAGATGACCAAAACCTCTCCTGATTTCTGTATCGCTATTCTCCTCTTCCAAATATATTCCCCTTGCGACATGTGGTAGTGAAACGGATGATCCCGATACGGGTTATTTTCGATTTCTTCTTTAGGGGAATCTCCAGAGAAATCAATAATCTTGATGTAATCGTAGTAAGTATACAGATAAAGCTTGCTGTGCTTATAAGCCAAATCCAAAGAAAACGTATCCCAATTATTATTCCAGTTCCACCAAGAATCATCTCCTTTCTTGTGTGTGAAGAGATATTGGTTCTTGAAAATCCAAGCAACGAAATAATCCCCTGTCCTCTCGTCTATCCAAAGAGCAACTGATCTTTTGTATCCCAAGATGTCTTTCGACACGGAAATCTTACGAAAATGATCGACGAAGTCTCCCCACTTGCCTTGTCTACAGTCACTGCTTGGCTCGAGTCTCACTTTTCCACCGCGAATTGACGGAAGATTGATCTTTTCGCAGGTTAACAGGTTAAAAATATAGAAATCGAGACGAGAATTTAACATCAAGAGCCAGTTTCCGGAGCTAGCCATATAATAGCTATTGTCAGAAAGTCCGAGGAGTTTTGTTTCGTAAATCTTGTTTTCTCTGGGATCGAACAAACTCGAAGAATCATCATCATAGTATATGATCCGCCATGGATACAGAGGCCGCTTCACGCATGTTTTCCAAACCGAATACCAATCTGAGCAAACGAGTTTTGATCGGTGGTAGTCAATAGAGTTCAAGCTTTCGATAATCTTTCGCAAAAGGTCAGGACAAAGCTTTGACCAATCGTGATTATCAGACACTTCTTGTCCGTTATTTTCTATCATCAAATCGTTACGCGCATCCATGTTGATTATCACAGACGTACTGTTGGGCTTTTCTCTTCTCAGATCGATGTCTGCGCTTACCTGTTGAATACGCTAAAGGAACTAGGGTTTCGTTTTAAGGTTTAGAACGAAAGCCTGCCAAGTTCAACTATTTTATATACATTTACATATATATAAATAAATAAAAATTGCTCTGAGATTTCTATATGCCTTATACTGTGTCGTTTCCTTCATCACCCACGCCAATCAATTTTACTCACTTAATAACAATCCTAGAATTAGAAGCTTTTTGAATGTGTACAGCTCTTTATTCTTATCATAACAATCGAAGAGAATCTTACCCAAAAAAAACAATCGAAGAGAATGTTCCTATACATAATTGTCAGTTATAATGTCTTTTCATCATAATTTTTGTATAGTACATTTTTCACTTATATACATAACCCTCTGTTACTGATGCATGATCTTTTGGATAGAAAAACAAAGGATGGAATTTCTATTATTTTCACAATATATTATTACACGTTGGTGAAAATTTAAGATGTTTATGCTAAGGCACGACTCGATATAAAAAGTCAAGCGGTGGGAAATAGCTTCTCGACCAAAGAACAGAGACAGAACAAGAAAGAACCAACTTTGGTTAATAGCTTCCCATTAGAGACAAACCCTTTCACCAATTTTTTTTTTTCAGTATAATTGTGTATAAAATAAAAGAATCTCGAGTTACGTTCAGATTAGATTCCTACCACATTCATAAGTTAATAAATCAATGGCTGACATAATTTAGTCTCTGAACCTTTTGAAATATTTCAAAACAAATCCATGCTTATAGTAAATAAAAAATCACAAGAAAAAGAGGAAAAGGACTGCAACAAACATAAAGTACTTTAATCAAAATTGAACAAAAACTAGTTAAACAAAAGACTAAACAAATCCTGGAACAAACCATTGAGTTTTAACACCGACTCTATTAGGCCATGTGATCTCACTTGTGGCAAGATCGAAGACACCGCAATTTGAAGGACAGTCAAATCCTGGAGGACCTGGACAAACGTCATCTTTAACAAAACAGATAGAACCATTCTTGATTCCATCACCAACATCTTGAACCGGTGCTCTTATTGTAACCCCATGACCAAAGATCAACATTTCATCATCTCCGATAGAATGCACTCTTTCCCATTTGCCACTCTCAAGATTCATCTTAAAGATGTAAAACAAAGGTGTCCATTCATCAAGTAGTACTTCTAATAAACTCACGATGATCAAAACCTCTCCTGATTTCTGAATGGCTATTCTCCTCTTCGAAATAAGTTCCAATCCTTGCGGAGCATAGTTGAAAGGATGATCCAAATACGGGTTATTTTCGATTTCTTCCTTAGGAAAATCTCTAGAGAAATCGATAATCTTGATGTGATCATCTGTTGTATAGAGATAAAGATTGCTGTTTTCATAAGCCAAATCTAAATAACCCAAATTTAAGCGTCCTTGACCGGGTTTCCAGTTATTATTCCAGTTCCACCACGATTCATCTCCTTTCTTGTATGTGAACAAGTAATACTGTTTAAAAATCCAAGCAACCACATAATCACTCGTCTTCTCGTTTATCCATAGAACAGCTGATCTTTGGCTTCCATAAATGAGTTTCGACACGTGATCCTTACGAAAAGGCTTAGCCGACTGTCCACACTTGCCGTATTCGACAAAGTGTCCCCATTCGCCATATTCCGGCTTGTTACTTCGCTTGAATCTCACTGTGTGTCCATCATCAAACGACTTCCACGATGAAATATTGATCCTTTTGTGAATTGGCGTCTCCATTGATGGAAGATCGATCCTTTGACACGTTATCAGGTTAAAGATATAGAAATCTAGACGAGAATCTACCATCAAGAGCCAATTTCCAAAACTAGCCATATAATAGCTGTCGTGGGAGAGTCCGAGGAGTTTCCTTGTGTTCTTGTCTTCTCTAGGATCAAACAACATCAAGGAATCATCTTCGTATATGATCCGCCATGGATACAAAGTCTTTTTTACGCATGTTTTCCAAACTATATACCAATCTGAGCAAACGATTTGTGCTCTGTAAAAATCAACAAAACTCAATCTTTCAATGATGTTTTGCAAAAGATCGGGACAAAGTTTGGACCAATCGTGATTTTCAGACACTTTTTGTCCCTTCTCTTCTCTCATTAAATCGTTCGGCGTATCCATTGATGCTTACCTGCCGAGAACTCTATTGAATCATCTAGGGTTTCGTTTTAGGGTTTATAACCAAAGAAATCTAAATTAATGCGATACTAAGATTGGGCTTAATTGGGCTTTATATTAATTATTTACGTTCTATGTCATATCATCATGTTTGTTTTGTTTCCTTTGTAATTTTTAACCAGTGGATAAACGAGAGAACAGGGGATTATTTCGTTGGTTGGCTTTTTAACAATCGTTATTTGTTCACACACAAGAAAGGAGATGTTTCGTGGTGTTGGAATAAGAAGTGGAAAAATTCTGATTATTTGGATTTGGCTTATAAGAACAACAAGCTTTATCTCTATTCTATTGATAATTACATCAAGATTATTGATTTCTCTGGAGATTTCCCTATAGAAGAAATCGAAAATAACCCGTATCAAGATCGTCCTTTTCACTACATTGGGGGACTAGGGGAAATCATTTTGAAGAGTAGAATAGCGATTCAGAAATCGGGAGAGGTTTTGATCATCTTGAGAGTTAGAAAAGATTATGAATTTTTGTTTTGGATATTTAAAATGAATCTTGAGAGTAGAAAATGGGAAAGAGTAGATTTTATTGGAGATGATGAGATGATTATCTTCGGTCATGGGGTTACAATAACAGCACCGGTTCAAGATGTTGGTGATGGAATCAAGAGTGGTTCTATCTTTTTCTTTGAATATGACCATTGGCCATATTGGGGTGTCTTCGATCTTGCCACAGATAAAATTACAAGGCCTAATAAATTTGCTTATAGTAGCCGTAGTAGTCATTGGTTTCTTCCAGGATTTGCTTAGTCTTTTGTTTGAGTAGTTTTCTTCTCTTGTTATTCTATTTTATTTTTTAATTGATTTAGCATGATTTGTAGCGAAATGTTCAAAGGCGTTACGCATGTTTTCCAAACGGTATACCAATCTGAGCAAATGGTTTTTGCTTAGTAAAAATCAGTAAAGCTCAATATTTGGATGAAATTCACCACAGATCGGGACAAAGTTTGGACCAATTGTGATTTCCAGACATTTTTTCGTCCCTTATTTTCTCTCATAAATCATTCGACGTAGCCGTGATGCTTACCTGCCGAGCACTCTATTGAATTTAGGGTTTCGTTCTAGGGTTTATATAACTAAAAAAATCTAAATTAGTGCGATTTATTATAGGATTGGGCGATTTCAGATACCAATCTTGTCACCAGAGGCATCACTGTAGGAGAAGAGAGAATTAACTTATTTTGCATAAGCTCGGTTCATTGTTTTTCTTCTTGATCAAGAATCAGTACAGAGTAAGTCTAAGTACTAGTAAGGGTACTAGGCGTTTCACTTGTATGTTTTTGTTGTAAACACCATCTAAAACTAATGGATTCCGAGCTAAGCCTCGGCGAGACATATCGTCCATGGTTAATGGGTCATTAAATTGCCCTGTGTTCTTCTTTTCTTTCAGCAAGATTTTTTTTTTTTAATTTTTTTATAACGATGTTTGCATTGTTTCATTACTTTGTTTCGACTCCTATTAAGACCTTAACAAGTTAACTGCTGTCATAAACTTGTCTTTATCCTTAATTATCAGCCTTTAATTTTGTATATTTCGTGTTTTATAGTTCTGGTTAGATTATTAGTTCTTAAATTATCTCAATGGCTGACATAATATTCTCCTTGGAGTTGTTACGTACCCCTTTGAATATTCCAGTACAAATCATGCTAAATTAAATTATTAATAATTAAAAAATCACAAAATAACGATCAAAACTGAAGAAAACTAATGACTACAAATTAAGATTAAGCAAATCCAGGAGCAAACCAGTGACTTCTATCCTTAACGCACTGGAATTTCTTAGGCCATTTAATTATACTTGTGGCAATATCAAAGATACCGCAATCTGAATAACAACGATAATCTGACCGAAGACCACCATCGAAGGCGAAAAAGATAGAACCACTCTTGATTCCGTCACCAGCATCTTGAACAGGTGCTCTTATTGTAACCCCATGACCAAAGATCAACATCTCATCATCTCCAATAGAATGCACTCTTTCCCATTTGCCACTCTCAAGATTCATCTTAAAGATGTAAAACAAAAGTTTGCTTTCATGAATTAGTACTAAATTCAAGATGATCAAAACCTCTCCTGATTTCTGAATGGCTATTCTCCTCTTAGGAGAAACTTCACATCCACGCGGAGCATAGTTAAAAGGATGATCCAGATACGGGTTATTTTCGATTTCTTCCTTAGGGGAATCTCCAGAGAAATCGATAATCTTGATGTGGTTATCGGTGGTATAGAGATAAAGCTTACTGTTCTTATAAGCCACATCAAAATAACCCAAATTTTTGGCACCGGTAATCCAATCCTTATTCCAATTCCACCACGAATCATCTCCTTTCTTGTATGTGAACAAGTAATGCTTTTTGAAAATCCAAGCAACGACATAATCCCCTGTTCTCTCGTTTATCCACAGAACAACTCCTGATCTTTTGCATCCGACGATGTCTTTCGACACATTATCCTTACGACAAGGCTCGACAAAGTGTCCCCACGTGTATCCTGACTCACCGCTTCGCTCAAATCTTACTTGTGCACCACGAATTGGAGACTCTATTGATGGTAGATTGATCTTTTTGCACGTTAACAAGTTAAAAATATAGAAATCGAGACGAGAATCTACCATCAATAGCCAATTTCCGGAGTTAGCCATATAATAGCTATTGTCAGAGAGTCCAACGTATTGTGTCGTGTAACTCTTGTCTTCACCGGGATCGTAAAACTTACAAGAATCATATTGGCATACGATCCTCCATGGACATAGACGTCGCTTTGCACATGTTTTCCAAACGCCATACCAATCTGAGCAAACAATTTTTGCTCTGTAATAATCAATAGAGCTCAAGCTTTCGATGATCTTTCGCAAAAGATCGGGACAAAGCGTGGACCAACCGTGATTTTCAGAGACTTTTTGGCTCTCCTCTTCTCTCATGTCTACCTGCGTAGGACTCTAGGATCTAGGGTTTGGTTTTATGATTTAGAACCAAAGAAACCTAATTATATTGCAACTTCAAAACTTTAATAGTCCTATCTTATTATATAAAGATTCAAAGTTAGTAATTCCGTATGATCGTGACACGTGTATGTGTATCGATCAAATTTTAACACGTGTAAAAAAGAAAATTATATAGTAAATTACAAATCCTAAAAGATTTTTAATTTTTTTTTCCAAAAGGTACATAAAAATATATAAATAAAAAAGAAATTATACAATAAATTACAAATCTTAAAAGTAAAATATTACATTTACTTCTTCTTTTTTTGGAAAGGTATAGAAGAAATAATATAGTAATTTATAATTCCTAAAATTAAAAGGATTACAATTTTTTTTTGGTAAAACTAATAATAAGATATGATATGTCTCAGTTCATAAATCCTAAATACATAAGAACCGAGAGTTTGACGGCGGATGTATAATAAGTTGACTAAATTTGCCAATCTTTGGAATTTTCTCAATGATGCTCTTATATGTATACATTCCACTGAGCATTGGGTTAATTTGAACCTATGGATTAAAAGAAAACATATGAAAAGTGTCTTTCTTGATAGGTAAGCGAGAGGACCATGGAAATGGCCAAAGGTGTGAGAGGCTGCGAAGTGATACCACCCAACCAAGTGGAAGTAAAATGCAAGTCAACGGAGAAGATCCACTCCCATGTGTTGTCTTTAACTCTCCACCAAAAAATCTCTTGGTTTGTAGTCTCCTCTGATTTGGCCTCTTCGATCTTCACACTTTTATTCACTTCATACTCTGCTATATTTACAAACCTAGCTAATTACTCTGTCACTTTCACACATGTTGCAGGAGAGATGCTGTTAACTTGCTGCTCAAGGCGTCTGGATACTTGGAGTTCTGTGTCCAAGAGGACATCAAGATTGCATACACCGACTCTGTGACCATCGGCATCATGGGTAATAAAAGGTGTGGATGGGATGACTTGGAACATCTTTGTATGAGTATCGTGTATATAGATAGAAGGTTGTAACTTGTAACTTTGCATTATCTAACTTAAGATTTGTTAGAAACAAATATCAATGTATAGATTGTGTAACAGCTGATTTGTATTTGGGTTTAGACCTATTATTTAGAATTTATAATTGAAATAAATAACATCTTAAAAATTGTGGATAAAACAGATCAATTAAATTTGTTTTGCGTTCACGTTAGCTTTTGCTAGTTCAGATCGTCAACGGCTGACATAATATTGTACTCGGAGTTATGTTTACCCTTAGAACATTTCACTTCAAATCAAATTAAAAATAAAATATAATAGCAAGAGAAGAAACCTACTCAAACAAAAGACTAAGCAAATCCTGGAAAAAACCAACGACTATAACGCTGATAACCACAAAATTTAGGCGTTGTAATTTTACCTGTGGCAAGATCGAAGACACCACGAAATGGTCGATGGTCAAATTTAACGAACCAGATTGAACCACTCTTGACTCCATCACCAACATCTTGAACATGTGCTCTTATTGTAGCACCATGACCGAAGATAATCATCTCATCATCTCCAATAGAATCTACTCTTTCCCATTTTCTACTCTCAAGATTCATTTTAAAGATCCAAAACGAACATGAATGATCTCCTGCTTTAACTCTCAAGATGATCAAAACCTCTCCCGATTTCTGAATCGCTATTCTCCTCTCCCAAATGATTTCCCCTACTCCCCGATTGTAGTTAAAAGGACGATTTCGATACGGGTTATTTTTTATTTCTTCTTTAGGGAAATCTCCAGAGAAATCAAAAATCTTGATGTAGTTATCGGTAGTATAGATATAAAGCTTATTGTTCTTATAAGCCAAATCCAAATAACCAGCTTTAGTCCACTTCCTATGCCAACACCACGAATCATCTCCTTTCTTGTGTGTGAACAAATAATGCTTATTAAAAATCCAAGCAACGAAATAATCCCCTGTCCTCTCGTTTATCCACAGAACAGCTGATCTTTTGGATTGGAATATTTCTTTCTTCACTATAAACATACACCGTTGGTCGATGAGAAGGTATCCCCAATGGCTGCAATGCCTGCTTTGCTTAAATCTCACTTCTGCACCACGAATCTTAGACTCCATTGGTGGAAGATTGATCCTTTTGCCCGTTAACAAGTTAACAATATAGAAATCAAGACGAGAATCTGCCATCAAGAGCCAGTTTCCAGAGCTAGCCAAACAATAGCTCTTGTCGGAAACTCCTGCGAGTTCCCTATAAATCTTTTCTTCGTCGGGATCGAACAACATCATAGAAGGACAATAAGTATACTTTTCTTCATATATGATCCGCCATGGACGCAGAGGCCGCTTTACGCATGTTTTCCAAACGGAATACCAATCTGAGCAAACAATTTTTGCTCGGTAAAAATCAAGAGAGCTCAAGCTGTCGATGATCTTTCTCAAAAGATCAGGACAAAGCTTGGACCAATCATGACTGTCAGACACTTTTTGTGTCTCTTCTTTCTTCATCAAATCGGTCGGCATATCCATGCGTATACGTTTACGGTTTTCCTGCCGGCTGCCGAGCACTCTATAGATATAAGGTTTAGTTTTTAAGGTTGGGACAATGATATTTTATTAATTTATAGTTATATTAATTTATAGAAAATTTTGTTTTAATTATTAAATTTTTTTTAGAAAAATATGATGGAAAACAATGTGATCTAAATAATTAAAACAAAATTTTCTTTTTTTTTAAGACTTAAAGTCTAAGACTTAAATGTTTAATAAAATATCATTGTCCCAACCTTAAAAACTAATAGAAACTTTAAGACTTAAATGTTTAATAATTTGAAGAGAAAACAATTTTTTTTTTAATAATGAATAACAAAGATTATAGAATTTCCATATATAAACGATATATATAAATTAAAATTTATAAATAATGATTCTATAGTTGTATTTGAAAAACCTATAAGACTATTAAAAAATGATGCATATTCAAAATTTAAAAACTTAAAATAAATTTTGGCTATTTTTGTGAAAACACAATATATATATACAAATTTACATGATTATTAATTTATACTATTATTGGGACCATATTTTATATAGGAATTTCAAAAAAATTATTATTTTATTATCTTATCGAATTTAGTTAATTTTTACATTAGCCCAATAACCGGCAAAATTTATTAATTTAGCGAGTATTAATTTATAGAGGTTCTATTGTAAATATAACGAAATAGGAAAACTAACTAAAAAAATAAATTTACATGTATATAAGTTTGCACAACATACTGTATATTCAATCCAAAACAATTATTTACCATAACGGCATAACCCAATACGATTAAACTTTGAGGAGAACCTAATTAGTCATCTTTCTTTCAGTTACTTGAAAGAAAAGTAACTGAAATTTTAACTGACTCCTCTGTCTTTAACCCTAATTGCGATAGCATAATTATGTAAACTCTTGTCCTTCGACAAACGTACTCATTAATATTACTTATTAATAAACTCTGCAAGTTTCTTCACGACTTGACGAGCATTATCACTATTAGGATTCTTCAAATGAAAAACATGACCTTCATTTTTAGTCTCCATTACCTCAACTTCACCTTCCCATCCACTCTTCTTCAGCTTCCCCGCGTAACACCAACCTTGTCTCACAAACACATCATCTCCAGCTACCATTACCAAAACCCGCCCGCAACCTAATCCGGATAGATCCGATGATTCGGATCCGACAACGTTGAGCCATGGATCATCAACTCCTTCTTTACTATTCGGACTTGCGACTCTCCAACTTCCTTCAACACCTTTCGTCTTCCCCACGTCTCTAACTTCAAATTCATCAATTGGAGTCTTCCCCCAAAAATATGGATGAATCAAGATTATCCCTGAGGTCACAGTTTCAAGTTTCTCTCTTTCCGCTCGAATCGTAAGATGATGTGCGATGTTTCCACCGGCGCTATCTCCGGCTAGAAACACTTTTCCGAAATCGCAGTGTTTGTTTATCCAAGTTTCCGGTCCGGTTTCGGTGATATGAGTTAAAACCCATTTGAGAGAATCCCATGAATCTTCGTATGGAATCTGAATCGGAAACTCCGGTGCACGGCGGTAATTTACTGAGATCGCTAAGCAGTTAGCGGCAGCGACGGCGGATGTGAGGAAAGTGTGGTAAGTTGGAGAAAAAGCTGTTTCTATGATGAAACCACCACCATGGAAGTAGATGAGGATTGGGAGCTTTTTAACGGTGACGTCGGAGACTTTCTCAGGGAGGTAGATGCGGAGGGAAAGGTTTTTCTCCGGTGAATAGATGACATCTTTGGAGACGACGCCGTTTTGTGGTGTTAGAGATGGTGGGACGGTTGTTTCTCCTAAGAGACGCTCAATGCGGCCACTCTTGTAGACTCGAAACGCCGGAGATCTATCGAAAGCGATTTCTGAATCCATTTTGTTGCTTGGATTAGAGATCATAGAAAGAACTGTTAGAGATGAGTGAAGACGATGAGAAGAAGATAAGAAGAGTGTTTTGTAGCAAACGAGAATTCAGTTTTTTTTTAACGGTTTGTCCGGTTTGATTTTTGTGGTTTCCGGTTTGACTCAATTATGCAATTGTTTTTGTCCAGTTTGGTATGGAACTGAGTCCGATTTTAGATTTAAAGTTAAAATTATAAATAGAATTGATGGTTAAATTAGTAATTTATTTTAGTATACATGTTAATAAAAGATGATGAATTTCGATCTATAATTGGTTTCGGTTAGATTTGAGTTCAATTTGTTTGGTATAATAGAAATGTTAGCAATCAGCTTTTGAGAATATTTCAATTTGGTTTAGGTTTGGATGGTTTGGTTGAAACCAGATGAGTGTAGGTAGATGTAGTGAATGTAGAGTTTTGATAGCGTGAAAGTGATGTTGGGTCTATCCTACTATCAATAATGTGATGCATATGGTTGGACTCTTAAAGTCTCCTAACTCATATGGATGTGACTTATTTGACAAACCGATTTCTTCAAATATTATACGGAGGAAAATAAAAATCACGTAATCATCAAATGATTCATGTTGATTTATATTAGATCAAGAACATGCTACATCTACAATTGAGAGCAAAGGATGAAATGGATAGTTTTCTTTTACACAGTTGACAATTAGGCCTTCAATGTTTTTAAGTGGTTTTGGTTTTTGTTTCTTTGAATATATATGTTTCACTTACAAGCTCTTACGTCCCGAAAACAATGCATGGTTCCAAATATTGTAATTTCAATTTGTATAGATATCAAATCCTTATACACACTTTGTGCTATTGAATCTTAACCAATTCATGATATAGAATATATATACACAACGGACAAAAAAATATCGAATATAATATCTCAAATATTCGGATTCATTGTGCATATTTGAAAATGAAAACATCACATATACGAAACATTAAATGAAAAATAAAAATCAAAACAAAAATAAGAAGAGAAAGCAACAAACAAAATTACTTCAATCAAAATTGAAGAGAACTACTTAAGCAAATCCTGGAACAAACCATTGACTTTTAACACTGAATCTCTTAGGCCATGTGATCTTACTTGTGGCAAGATCAAAGACACCACAATTTGAAGGACAATAATATCCTGGCATAACGTCATCTTTAACGAAACAGATTGAACCACTCTTGACTCCATCACCAACATCTTGAACTGGTGCCCTTATTGTAACCCCATGACCAAAGATCAACATCTCATCATCGCCAATAGAATCCACTCTTTCCCACTTGCCACTCTCAAGATTCATCTTAAAGATGTAAAACGAATATCTCTCTTCACGTTCTTGGAATAAGCTCAAGATGATCAAAACCTCTCCTGATTTCTGAATCGCTATTTTCTTCTTATAACACATGTAATCCCATGGTTTTGGAAAGTTGCGAAACGGCTGATCCCAATACGGATTATTTTCGATTTCTTCTTTAGGATAATCTCCAGAGAAATCTATAATCTTGATGCAATTATCGGTAGTATAGAGATAAAGCTTGCTATTTTTATAAGCCAAATCCAAAAAACTCAAATTTGTGCCTCCGATATTCCAATCCTTGTTCCAATTCCACCACGAATCATCTCCTTTCTTGTGTGTAAACAAGTAATGCTTGTTGAAAATCCAAGCAACCACATAATCCCATGTTCTCTCGTCTATCCAAAGAACAGCTGATCTTTTGCATCCGAAAATATCTTTGGACACATGATCCTTACGACAAGGCTCCACGAAGTGTCCCCACTCGCCGTATCCTGACTCCCCGCTTCGCTCGAATCTCACTTGTGCACCACGAATTGGAGACTCCATTGATGGAAGATTGATCTTTTTGCACGTTAACAGGTTATAAATATAGAAACCAAGACGAGAATCTACCATCAAGAGCCAGTTTCCGGAGCTAGCCATGTAATAGCTCTCCTTGACGAGTTTCGCTGTGTAAATTTTGTCTTCACCAGGATTGAACAACACTGAATAATTATCATTGCATATGATCCGCCATGGACACTGATGCTGCCTCACGCATGTTTTTAAAACGGAATACCAATCTGAGCAAACTGATTTTGCTCCGTGATAATCAAAATAGCTCAATCTTTCGATGATCGTTCGTAAGAGATCGGGACACAGTTTGGACCAATCTTGATTTTCAGACACCTCTCGTCGTTTTCTTTCTCTCATGAAATCGTTCGGCGTATCCATGTTTGCGCTTTCTAGGGTTTAGAACCAAGGAAAAGAAAATTCTAAAATCTTATTATATACATATAAAGCTTTACACGGGTCAAAAAAAATCTTTATAAAAAACTTATCTCTTCCCTTAATCAAATATCTCTTCTTTTTAATTAATATCGGAAACTTTTAAACTAAATTTGAAAATTATAAATAAATATTTATATATAAAGTAATTTCATTTTCATTAGGACGATAATATAGAATATTAATGTTAATAATAACATATAATTTTACGAATAAAAGATATTATTTAGATATAAGAAAATTTCTAATTTGAAAAAGTTAAATTTCCAGAGATCATTATGGGGGTTTGCCCTAGATATTAAATTATAAATATATAGGCTCTGTCACACCATTATCAATTGGATTCTTTAGTCTAATTCATTTTTTTATGAATCAAATTTCATATCATATGTTTATGATTTTTTTATTTACTGTCCATTTTGATATTTATTGAAGTTTTTTGTTGTGACACGTTGACAATCAAATTATTTAGGATATGATATATCTTAACTTCGGGACATAACACATTGACACTTCGCTTCCTAAGGATGATATCAAGAAAAGGCTGAGTAAACATTTCTCTTCATGTGGAGAGGTAATCAATGTTATGCTTCTTAACGGAGGCTGTGCTCCCAACAGGCCTAGGTTTGTGGCTTCTTCCTCCAATTTGCCCAACTCTCGATCTATTATGCTAAAACTAATTAAAAGACTTGTCTTTGTTGATTTTTACAGTTGTGCGCTCAAATTTATATCCTCGGAGGAGAAGATGCAATAGACAAGGCGCTGAAACTTAGTGGTTGTGACGTTGATGGGTGGAATATCGTAGTCGACTATGTGTTTCCGCCACCGGGCTTCCCAAGAAAGCGTCATACTCGCCCATGTACATAAAAAATATGCTCTTGATTCTTAATTGGTAACAAATCGCAACCTCTCATTAATTTCCTGGTTTATTTTATTTTTTTAGATTCTTAGCAAGGATAAATTTGAAGCTCTCATTCAGAAGAAGAAGAAAGAAGGCCACTGGGGGTAGAAAGCCAAGACAAAGCTCCTCTTTGCTGTTTTTAACTTGTGATACAATGCAACCTCCCTTTTTTTATTTTCAATGTACTTACTTCTGTTACTCGTATGTTTTTTGTCTGGATGTTAAAAGTAAAACGCAGCTGTGTGATCATCATCTGCCTTCCTTTTTACCCTATATATGTATGTTGATCTGCTAGACAATAGACATTTTCATTAAAATCATATCATATTCCCATATCGTAGATTGACACACCAAATCCAGTTGAGTTTCTTGTTAATAAAGACACTCAAAACCATCTTAACATACAAAAAACGACACAATACAGTGTGGAAACAAGAGCAAGAGCAATCATCTTCAAGACAACATTGGAGCATTGATAGGACTCTCCAATCTCCATACAAGACCATCTTCGTTAACACCACCATGCATGTACCTCAAGTTCTGATCAGCTTCAGAGATAATTTCTTAAAGAACACAGATCTCATGAACTGGCCTACAAGTATTTACAAAGCCAAACAACAACAAAATATATGTGTAACATATACACCAATTTATTCCTTATATGTATTTGTTATCTCTTTCGATCGACAAACTCTGCAAGTTTCTTCACAACTTGACGAGCATTATCAGTATTAGGATTCTTCAAATGAAAAACATGACCTTCATTTTTAGTCTCCATTACCTCAACTTCACCTTCCCATCCACTCTTCTTCAGCTTCGCCGCGTAACACCAACCTTGTCTCACAAACACATCATCTCCAGCTAGCATTACCAAAACCCGCCCGCAACCTAATCCGGATAGATCCGATGATTCGGATCCAACAACGTTGAGCCATGGATCATCAACTCCTTCTTTACTATTCGGACTAGCGACTCTCCAACTTCCTTCAACACCTTTCGTCTTCCCCACGTCTCTAACCTCAAATTCATCAATTGGAGTCTTCCCCCAAAAATATGGATGAATCAAGATTATCCCTGAGATCACATTTTCAAGTTTCTCTCTTTCCGCTCGAATCGTAAGATGATGTGCGATGTTTCCACCGGCGCTATCTCCGGCCAGAAACACTTTTCCGAAATCGCAGTGTTTGTTTATCCAAGTTTCCGGCCCGGTTCCGGTGATGTGAGTTAAAACCCATTTGAGAGAATCCCATGAATCTTCGTATGGAATCGGAATCGGAAACTCCGGTGCACGGCGGTAATTTACTGAGATCGCTAAGCAGTTAGCGGCGGCGACGGCAGATGTGAGGAAAGTGTGGTAAGTTGGAGAAAAAGCTGTTTCTATGATGAAACCACCACCATGGAAGTAGATGAGGATTGGGAGCTTTTTAACGGTGACGTCGGATACTTTCTCAGGTAGGTAGATGCGGAGGGAGAGGTTTTTCTCCGGTGAATAGATGACATCTTTGGAGACGACGCCGTTTTGTGGTGTTAGAGATGGTGGGACGGTTGTTTCTCCTAAGAGACGTTCAATGCGGCCACTCTTGTAGACTCGAAACGCCGGAGATCTGTCGAAAGCGATTTCTGAATCCATTTTGTTGCTTGGATTAGAGATCATAGAAAGAACTGTTAGAGATGAGTGAAGATGATGAGAAGAAGATAAGAAGAGTGTTTTGTAGGAAACAAGTAATTCAGTTTTTTTTTACGGTTGGTCCGGTTTGATTCAATTTTGCAAAAAAAATTTGACCAGTTTGTGGGTTTGGTTAAAACCAGATGTACATGTAGTGAATGTAGAGCTTTGATAGCGTGAAAGTGATGTAGTGAATGTAGAGCTTTGATAGCGTGAAAGTGATGTTGGGTCTATCCTACTATCAATAATGTGATGCGAATGGTTGGACTCTATAACTCATATGGATGTGACTTATGACAAACTGAATTCCTTGAATATTATATGGAGGAAAACAAAAATCACGTAAACAAATGATTCATGTTGATTTATATTAGAACAAGAACATGCTCTATGTTCTTAGATTTAATTACAGCCATCTAATCTTTAGCTCATTCTTGACAATTTAGAGCAATGGATGGAAAGGAATATGTAGATTTCTTTCACACAATTGTCAATTAGGCCTTGAATGTTTATTAGTTTTTAAGTGGTTTTTAGTTTTTGTTTCTATAAAAATATATGTTTTTACCATTCAAGATTTCTAAAATGAGTTTTTAATTTTTTTTATAGGAAAACTAGTTTTCGAGTGATTTTTCCAAGTTTCAAAGAGAAACTATAAACCATGGTTTTGAGGTTTTTGTGAAAAAAAAATTTTCAACGATTATGGCTTTGAATAATTGTGGTTTTTAAAGTGGTTTTAATTCTTCCAAAATTGTATTTTAAAGCTTTTGAAGATTATGAGAAAAATTGTTTCCCTACAAAATAGAGAATCTAGATTTTGACATCTTTTGCAAAATTTCAAAAAAAAATTAAAAATTATGTTACATTGGTTTCTCACTTTTTAAGAAGACTATATGTTACAAATTTCGTTTTTAAAACAAATTTTTTTTATGCAAAATCTAAAAACCATAAACTAATTGCGTTTGAAGTAGAGATGTGTTGTCTTGTTGATTTTCATGATCTATTATACACTCATATATGACTCGTTTCCTTCTTTTTCACTATATTACCTTCTGTTTCTTCTGATTTGCCGAAGCCTAGCTAGAATATTGCTGAAAGCCCAAGATACTGTGACACAGAGAACTCAGTTTGATTGTAGGGTTCAGGGAAACATGATGCTAGTGGAATGTGCAGCTAAAGAGGTCATAGAACTAATCAGGTGTAACCAAAAGTATGACTACATATAACTCCATGATCTAACCTATGAATGCAGTGATTCTTGATGTAATGGCTTCTGTATTATTGAGCAAGCTAGGTAAGGAAGTTTGGGCTATCGTCTTTTGTAGATCCGATTTGACCAAAAGTGAAAGCTATGATAATGGCAGCCAACAAATTATTGATGGAGTAATCAAGATAAGTGTGTTGAGGGAGACAGCCATGCACCTACGTCTCTCAAAGTGTTGGCACCTCCTTTGCTCTCCACTAGATACATAATTTTTCGGCGAAAAAAACCCAATCAATATAGTTAGCCCCTGGAAGAAAACTGTTGGTTTAGACATAAGACTTTTTTTAATCCTCTTAGGAACCACCTTTACTCCGACTTAGTGCTAACATTTGGTCTACTAATCGATTTCTAAAGCAAAGAGTCTAACTATACACTATGGAAGCATGATCAAGGATTAAATCTCACAGTTGAAGGATTGAAATACACTTAAGAATAAGGCTCTAAACATCAGTGAGGTTCACCTATGCCGATATCTTTTTATTCGGTAGATTTTATGATTCCGTTTACAGATCATTTCTTAGTAAATCGGAAAGAACTAGACGGAGGCAAAGAGGTTACACTTGATTATTATTATTTTCTACAAAAAATTACGATAAATAGACTCAATCTTAAAACCATTTATTGAGATTGTTACACAACTATCTAATGAAGAGTTGTTGTTGAAAAAGCGAAAACGGATATAAAAATCATGGTGAAAATATAAAACCCTGAATGGTGTATTAAGAAAAAGTTATAATGAGAAGACGCAACTTACTAAAAATAAAACTATTTAGTAACTAAAATAAAACTATGAGTATATTTTACGAAGATGTACAATAAATAGTAGTAAAAGGCATTTTTCATATTGTTATAACTTTTGGCTCGTTTGATTTCAATGCTCACATGAATTTGACAAAACTGAAACAACTTCATTTTTTTTTTTGATAGGAATGTGAATTTCGTATAAATGAAGTGTTGAGGTTTTACAAAGAGTTGATTTCAATGCTCACATGAATTTGACAAAACTGAAACAACTTCATGCTTTAGGAGACTTTAGACGCTTCAGTATGCATATATGTCCCAGATTTTCCTTCCAATTGCTTTATTTTCCTATACAATTTTTTATTCAAAGAGTCTCGATTTTGGTTTAGACATAAGGCTTCTTGTAATTCTCTTAAGAACCACCTCTAATCACTTTGGTCAAAAGAAAACTTCATTTTTACCGAGGAGTCTCAACCAAAAATGAACCGACGACGCTAACTCTATACAATGAAAATTTGTTCTATTGTGCCTTATTGGTGACCTACAATATAAGATTCAAGAGCATGTTTTCCTTTTCTTGATTTAGTATATATCATTCAGATTCTAGCTAGCCATCTACTGACTTGAAAAGCACCAATGTCAGGCTCAAAGATACAGTAACTAAAGTGATAAACACATATATACATTATTATAAGATCGATCCAGCTCGAAACAAAACTCATTTGATATAATTAAGCTCATGAGCACCAATGATCAGGCTCATCCTCTTATGCATACTTCTTGGGAACCGCTGACTTTATATTTACGTAACCTCTTATGTTGCAACTAATCTGATATACAATACTATGTAATGTTGAAAAAAAAAAAAACTATGTAATGTTGCTTTAATAGAAAATATATAAACACAAATCTAACAAAAAATCGACATGAAAACGTGTGTTACTTTACGCACTCATCATTAATAAAGAAATCAAGATCACATTTGGTTAAATATAAAATTCTGGAGGCCCAATACATTTGTTTTTTAGAAATCTGTGGCGGGCCGGGCCTGGCTCCCGGACAAGTAGAAATCCCAACCCCCTACACCATCTGCAACACCAAAAGCTTCCTCCAGTGTTCTCTTTATTAGGATTGCAGTAGATAAACACAACCCTGAGACAAGCTTCAGGGGATTAGTACATAGGGCTAAGCCGCTACAGATTCTCTTACCTATTCCTCGGTGGTGGAAGGCGCATTTCCATCTGCAAAGTGATTGAAGAATGAGCTACTATGCAAGCCTTTTTCAGGTCGTTTGACAGGTTTGTTTCCTTCTTTTGGTGGGCCTGGCTCTATTGCTGTTCTTTTTCAGTTCTTCCGTTGTTGGGCCTGCGTGCCTGGTTTTGGCCTTGTATTTGTTTTTGTTTTAATGGAAATTTAAAGTAAAAATAAAATAAAAATTGCAACGTTAATTGGTGGGACGATACAACAAAAATTATGGAACCAAAACATCATTTCTAGGAGTATAGCAAATGATCTAACAACTAGTAATGGCCCCGAAATTTGGGTTAGTTAAGTGGGCTTGTAACTTGGGTTAGTTAGAGAAAGGGTAATCATAGTAACAACGTTACGTAGATGAGAGAGAGAGAACGTACAAATCCATGCACCCAATAAATAGCAAGCAAGAAACATAGGTTTCGTTTATTTATGTGACCAATTTATAAAAGCCATGACAAGATGATATCTTTGACATCATCAGACTACTTCGCTATTCTATGTCACAACACGTTTATTTAGCATATCTAATTAATAATCAGTTTACTTTCGGCATCTCTTAAAGATGTAAATAAAAATTTCTCTTCATTTATCACTTCTATAAAACTGAAGATTTAAAACAATAATAATAATAAAAAGTAAGTTGACAAAAAAAAAGCAAAAAAAAAAGCAAAAACTAAGCTAAATATATGTAAAATAGGGAAAAAAAAACACAAAAACTATCAAATTTAATCGAGTACGATTAAAGTCAGTTAATTAAGCATCCATCTTAGTGTTGGCACTTGGCAGGTGAACATATCGTCAAATCATTCACCACTCAAATTTAACAGTTGATGATTACTATAATATTTTCACTTAATAGTTATTCAAAAAAACCACAAATGATGATGATACTATACTAGATGTTTTGGTTTTCCTTTGATGTCATATCGTCAAAGACTCGTGTTTAAACTATCAATACATGTGTAAAATTAAGGGATCTTATTCTCTTGTGCCCTTATATCCAAAACCCATTTCTTTCTAAAGTTTTAACCAATATTAAGGATCCATCATAATATTGGTAGGTGAACATTTTCTTTCTAAAGTTTTAATTATTTTAGAGTTTTACCCCTCAAGTCTTCATACACAACTATTCGATTTAATATAACCCACTCAGATTGATACCATAAAATAATAAAAATCCAACCAACAGTTACTTCTATATAACCTAACTAGATTTTAACCCGCGGTACACCGCGAGATGATTTATTTTTTAAAGTTAGTATATATAAAATTTTATAAATTGTATCTCCTTATAAAATATTTATGTTTTATAGTTTATAATTATTATCAAGTAACGGTATATCACGAGTTCACGGAACAATAACAAACTGAAGATTTAACTCGTATTAAAGCGGTATGTTAATGATATTTTAAAATTTTATAAATATTGATTCAAACCCGTTCGCCATATAAATCCGTTCCGAAATATAACCGTCCCATAATTTCTTAACCCGTCCCGTGATTTGTTTTCTAAAAGTAGTGATTTTAAAATTTAATGATTTTTTATTATATATAAAGTTTATAAATTGTATCATTCTCTAAGACATTTATATTTTAATAAACTAAAGATTTAATCTGTATTAAAGCGACATGTTAATGATATTTTAAAATTTTATAAATGTTGATTCAAACTCGTCCACCATATAACCCGTCATGTAATTTCTTAACCCGTCCCGTAATTTGTTTTCTAA